TGTTTTATTTTATCTGATCATGCAAGTAAACAGTAAACATTCACATTTTCGTCTAAATATTTCGGAATAATTCTACGTTCGGTTTTTTTTTTATGTTGTCTCACTACTTCCTGTATTTCCTGCTTGTAATTTCAATTTTTAGATGAGCAGTGTGGCGAGGGTAGTAGATTCTATTGGGTAGTAGATTCTATTGGGTAGTAGATTCTATTAGTATTAAAAGTTTAGTTGTTAATTTCTTTTTACTTTTGTCGATGCATATAAGCTACCTAATTATGTTTCTGTTAATTGGCTCAAGATAAAGACGCTATGAAAATTGATGACTTGAAATTACTTGAAATGTTTGATGCAACATGCGATGAAAAGGGGGGAGGGGGTGGCACTTAAAACTTTCATGGGATGAGGGTGGGGGAGGTTGTGGGGTACGTTTTCGGGGGTGGGGTGACTACACTGGTAAAGTAAACATATATTTTCTAAATAAATTCGGGGTGGGGGTGTAAACGTGCTGGGAGGGGGGGGGGGGTGGAAAGAAACTCTTTGGTGTCCATTGTTAATGGGCTTGTAGTTTTACCTTGTATGTATCCAATACTAATACATACAAAATGTTAATACAAGACAATGATCAACTTTAATGAAGGAACGCGATTGGGTGGGTAGGGTCAGGGGCGTAGCGAGGGGGGGTGAAAGTTTGTCCCCGGGAAGGGTAGCTACGCCTCTGGGGGGTGACACCATTAAGTGCCGCACCGGGTGACACCCGACCTCGCTACGCCACTGGGTAGGGTAGTGTTGGATGATCCGTTGCTTCGGAGCTGAAGCTGGGTGCAACTCTTTCGTCATTGAAATAAAAAGGAGCTTTTTCGCAATTATGATTTTAATTAATCTATAATAATATGGCTCTTTTAACTGATTACATACAACATGTTGTATCCAGGGGCGGAACTACAGTGCCGCCAGACCCCGCAATGCGGGGGGGGGGGGGGGGGGCCACGCCATTTAGGGGCCCACAGCCGACCATAATCAATTTTTTTAGTTAATACAATTTAATGTTCTTGCATTTTTGACTTGATGGATGTTTTGTAAATGAATACTGTAGCTGCGGCTAGATTATCTTTATTCTATAGACACCATACCACGCTCTTGTTAATTCTTTTTCTCTTTGTTTTAAACCACAAAATACAGTGTGACAGATAGGCTAACGTTCAAAACACTTCCATGAATTATTTCCCTTTTTTTAAATATTTAAATAGGGGTGCTTATAAGCTCCTTTTAATAGATTTGTACTGAACAAATTAAAAAGTAATTACTTCTCTTGTTTATTATATAAAAAAATACATACTAAAGAATGACATAGTATATAAAAGAAATGTATTTAAACTTAATAACATAAATACCAAAAAAACATAAAATAAACATAACACGAGAAACCATTACACATACAAAGCTTTCACAATTTATATTTTTTTGACTGGCTTAATGTTTTTAATTTGTCAGGAAACTTAAAATATAACAGATTTTCAAAACAGACTAATGCACTCACGCACATATTGTTGTAAGTTGTATTAAAAAAAAAAAAGTTGTAATTTGTTTTAATTGGAAAAAAACACCCAAAAACAATGCATTTTTTTCGAAACCCGATCAAGCCAAAAATGAGTATCCTATGTTCATAATCTGTGTTTGTATATATATATATATATATATATATATATATATATATATATATATATATATATATATATATATATATATATATATATATATATATATATATATATATATATATATTCTGGGGGCCCAGAAATTGTTTTTGCGGGGTGGCCCTTTTTTTCTAGTTCCGCCACTGGTTGTATCGGCATTTTTAAAAACAAATTTTAATTAAAAAATACTCTCAATGCAAAAAAATAAAGTACCCATTCAGATCAAAGTGTCTTTGGGAAAAATGAAGTAGAGGTAATATCACATTTGCTGTGCTAAAACCTCGGCATATGGAAGGATAGTGTGATCAGTGCAATGCCATGCCGCCTTTTCCCCCCTTTAATTATTATTTGTTTCTATTGGGTCGGTGCGTTGAACTTGCTACGGGAGGCACTGCCGGAGTGATGTACATTATATATTGTGTTAGGATTCACCCCACCTCGAAACGAAACATCCATGCTAAACTTGCTAAATTGTGTTTTTTATTATGCTTTTGGAGGTGGAAATGTATGGACAAGTATAGTTAAAATCAACGAAAAAAAAAAAAACAACTACAATTCATTTACTTGCTCGGCCATTAATATAGCCATCAGAGTTTCTTCAAGGCATCTCTTCGGGGGGCGGACCCCCCCCCCCCCAAGAAAGTCTACCCCCCCCCCCCCGAACGAAATGAAATTTATATAGAAAATATATACTTTTAACAGTGTCCGCCCCCCCCCCCCCCCCGAAAATTTCAAGTGCCACCTTATCCCGAGAAAACTACCTAGAACAGGGGTCGGCAACCTTTTGAGGCGGAAGAGCCAAAAGTGACAATTTTCAAAATTTCCCTGGTTTTAAAGAGCCACTAACATTTTTTTAATTTCAAATATTTTATTTTTTTATTAGTATTATTAGTAATTGTTCAAGGAGCTGGAGAGCCGCATCTTGATATCAAAAGAGCCGCATGCGGCTCGCGAGCCGCAGGTTGCCGACCCCTGACCTAGAAGAAACACAGATGTCTGGTTTTTCGTGATGAAGTTTAACGATAGTCGTGGGTTGAAGAAAACGGCTGAATTTGCGTGGCGTCTTTTGTGGACGACCCCTAATAAATCGGTTAGCTCCTTGCGATTTAAAAAAAAACTAACATGTTACTAAGAAAATAAGAGACTAAAGTGAACAGATGCATTATACATATAGCTTTTGTTTCAATGTAGTTTCTTCTTTTAAAGTATCTAGATTAAAATATAACTGATTAATAAGACTTTTCTCCAAATCCTACCAGAGACTAGTGGCATCGCTAGGTCGGGTGTCACCCGGTGCGGCACCTGATGGTTTCACCCTCACCGTTTTCATCGTAAATTATTAGATTTTTTTTGTTTACCCCCCCCCCCCCCTTTCCCCCCTCCGGTGGTTGATTGACTTATCAGTTATTCAAAATACTCAACAAAGCCTTTTTGTCTATGTAAATTTTGCACTTGGTGTCACCCCCTCCCCCTCCCGGTGACAGTTGTAAAATGTGCACAGTTAGTAGTAAATATGTTTATCTATAGTCAGTTATTTAAACATAGTTTCTCTAATTATTCATTAACTGCATTGGTAAAATGCATATTTCTTGAATATATTGTGCAATTTTTTTCCATGGTGTCTCCCCCTAAATGGTGTCACCATTTGCGGTCCGCACCTCCCCCCCCCCCCCCCCCCGTGCCTCGCGTTGCCACTGCCAGAGACTTCAAAATGCTCCCTGGTCAGCCAAAGGGAACAAGAAGAACCCTAACAGTCCAACAGTTCTACGCTAAACTTTGTCCTTATAATCTAATAATTTCCTATGATAAGCTAATATTATCACTTAATCAAACAATTTCCTCAAAAATCGAGGTATTGCCCTATCGCTAAACGGTAACAAGGAAATGTACACATTACCCCCCCCCCCCCCCCCAACCCCGCTCACACACGCACACACCAGCTCTAAAAGCATTTTAAAAACTACGAAGTTCAAGAGAGAAGATTTTAACGTGTCATACATAACATAACAACAACTAGTCAAGGCCTAAATAGCTGACATCAAGACAGATTTTTGCATTGTTACTGTCACATTTACATTAATTCATGTTAAATTTTCGTGTTCTGTTTAAATAAGTCTACACCGGACGACTAAAAAGAATTTTAAAGTTATGCGCCCTTGGTCTCTTTTAAAAAACGTAGGAGTTGGCTAATTATAACTATTACAGTAGTGACTGGGTCTACCCATTGCCTTCCTCCCTTCCTTTGACTTGATTTTGTTAAACTATTTTTAGTAAATAAATTCTACTATCCTAGATTTATCTAGGTCTACGTAAAATAATGTCAGCCCTATTCGGGACTCACACAAAATACCTGTTTGATCATGTAGGACTATAAAAAAAAAAAGTGAAAGTGAAATGAACTTTAATTTAATATTTAATTTATTTTCTTTTACTTTTTAGTTTTACAAGCTTCTTTATTTTTTTTTTTTTAAAGAGGTCCTGATTCTAGGATCTAGATTTCTCGAATAATTGATCTAGACTAGTCTAGATCTCTTCTAGAGTCTAGATCTACTTTTAAGTAAGTAATAGCCTATTACTGTTTACTACTATTTAGTATTCTCAGTATTTACCATGTAATACACTTTACTACACTTTGATTTATTACTATTAGACCAGTCGCTAGACTAACTTTCTTAGTCTTTCATAGTTTTAAGTTTATTCACTTTTTTAATCATGTAGGCATAATTAAATTATTGTTATTGTATGTTAACAATTGTTAACTATTAGGCTATAATATCAGAGTCTATTAAGCTGCGCATATCCTCTAAGTTAATATAGCCATATTACCTCTATTAAACTCTATTTTGTTTTCATTTCCAGATTGAAAAGCTTGTCATCTACCATTAGCATTACACCCATTAGTCAAGTACTGCTCTACTAAGATTTTAAAATGGGAGGAATGAACAGCTGCTGCATTCCGCATCACATAAACAATGACGTGGACATCAGCACAACAACAAGCACGCCGAAAAAGAAGGGTCATAGCCGGAATCTTAGCGAAACCTTTAACTTATCAGTTATTGATGACCCTAACAGAAAAATAGAGAACAGCCTGGTTAACATCAACTCGGCCACTGAGGAGGAACTGATGACTCTTCCTGGCATATCCAGAGCCACAGCCAGGAATATCATTGACTACAGAAATCATATTGGTGGATTTAAATGTATCGAGGATGTGGCTTTGGCTTCAGGGGTGGGAGCTGCAAAGTTGTCACATATTCGTGGTGACATATACGTTTCATCAACAGCAGATCCTGAACCGAAATCTGTTAACGGAAATACAACCTTACAGCAAAATGGAACAACTGGGTCTAAGTTAATTGTTAGTGTCAATTCTGCAAATGTTTTTTCGCTTATAAAAGTCAAAGGAATTGACATGACAATGGCTAAAAATATTGTAGCATACAGAGAAAAACATGGCCTGTTTAAGTCCATTGAAGACCTCTTGAAAATAAAAGGCATTGCGCCAAACAATTTGGATGTAATTCGGTCATTTTTAACGCTTGAAGTCAAGCAGGAAACTTCCACAGCAGCTGAACCTGCGACTAATGGTGTGACTAACAAAGCAGCAGTGAAAGAGAAAACAGAGGATTACATCAGAAGATCTACATCTTCATTGGAGAATTTGTTGGAAATTTTAGGTCCTTTGGCCAAGGTGCCAGATAGGCCTAGTGTTGAAGCGGTGGCATTAAAACACAACAACAGAAATGTTTTCAGGCTATCTTCTTGGAATTTAGAAAAATTTTCATCGGAGAAAGCAAGTAACCCTGGCGTGAAAGATGTTGTGTGCATGACAATACTGGAAAATGGGTAAGCTCGCTAAATTTGTTCATCACTGAGGTTACAAGTCAGTTGTTTGTAGTAATTCATTAGATCTTTTAATAATAAGCAATTTTAAGTCTAATTAGTCTCAAATTCAACAATGATTAAATTAACTATAGGCCCTATAAACTAACTTTTCATTTAAATATCTTTCTTTGTTAAGCTGGTTTTTAATATTTTGGATGATATTTCGAGTCGTCCCTTTGAATCCCGTTATCTTAATAGTAACAGATTTTATTATTTTTTCTTCAAGGTTTGGTATTTTAGCAGTTCAAGAAATAGCTGACAAAAAGGCATTAACTGAAGTGAGTTTTGCTTTTATTGGCACATAATTTTCTTAAACAACATGTTTCAAAACTATATAGGCCCCTATAGAATCTTTTCTCTTTTTAAATGATTTGATATGTTTGTGTGCTGAGGTAATCCGTGATCAAGCTTTTTTTTTTCTAAATTTATCTGCATTTTTCTGCTAAATGTATTGCATAACATACTCAGTAAGGTAATCCAATACTAAATTTAACAAATTACAGATTTGTAAAGAGCTTAATTCACCCACTTTACCCAATGTGAAGAAATGGAAAGGCAGAAGAGGACAGTGGGACTGTGTTGTATCAGAGGCAACTGGTCGCATGCACCAGGTGAGTACAGTGTTAAATACGTTAAGCAAACAAAAAAATGTTGTAATCAATATTGCAGATAAGCTCTTTGGTTTTTATCAGCATGGCTTTTGATAGAATAGAGTTACTCAAATCTAACCAGCTAAAAAAAAATTATATATGGTTCAGTCTAAGTAGAGATTCTGTACTTTGCACAATATCTGACTTTTGATGGGACTTTTTCAGATCTAATGACCAATTGAGAGCATGAAAAATAGTTTAATTATCTGTTACTTTGATCTGTTTATAAAATCTTGTATTAAAAGAATAGTGTAGTCAGTACTATGCCAAGTATTTTCCCTAAGTAGAGTGTGGTATCTATCTGAGTTAAATTGAATTAGTCACATCCCACAAACTCAAGCTCACATGCAGTCTTTAGATTTTCCTTATACTGTAGCCAGCATTATGCCCTGTATTCTCTATAAAGAACTATAGAGTGGTATCTATCTGAGTTTAATTGAATTATTCAAGCCCAGAACCACACTTTAGATTTTCCTGTTAGTGCTCAATCATTCTGTGATGGTCACTTGTTAAAAAAATGTATGACATTTTATTTTAGTAGATAGTGGCTCAGTTGTTTTTTTTTTTAATTTAAAATTTTTAAAATCGTTTTTAAATTCTACAGAGTATGGAGTATAATGGATTCCTTTATGACAAGTCGCAAGGCATTGAACTAATTAAATCTTGTCTTATTGAAAAATCTTTGGGCAAAAACAAGGTTTTCACTCGTTCACCTTTTGTTGGGATATTCAAGGTAAATGTTGACAATTTTATTCATTGTTTTTTTTTCCATTGTAGCAAGTGTGCAACAGTCATGCCAGTTATATTTTCTCATTAACTGACACTAATAAATAAACTAAGTTTTTTTTTTTACTTAAACAGTTAAAGCTGTCTATTCAATCTTAAAACGATAATACGCTGATGTGTTTTTAATATAGATTTTGTTCACCTCTTTTGTTAAGAAACCCTGTTTTTATTATCAGTTGATCATATAATGATGTCTGATTTTTATATACTTGTATTTCATTTTCTATGAAACCATGTTTCTGAATTATTAAAAATAGTTTAAAATTTAAAAACAACATTTTCTCTGATGTTTCTTCACAAGAACACATACTTTATTTTTGTTAAAGAAAAGTACTTCCCTTTTCAAACCTGACGATCTATAGGGCAAGAAGTGATGTAGAGTTCACTTGTTTCTGTGACCTCGGCATATGAAGAGATAGTGTGGTCAGCACTATGCCCAGCTGCCTTTACTTTCCCTAACGTGAGTTAATTACCCATCAGAGTTGGGTGCACTCAGGGATGGTCTCCTGACTTGAACCCGGATTCAAACTCGAGACTACTCCGTCCCCTTATTTTTGTTACATTTAGAAAATGTCCTTGTTTGCTTTTACTGTTTCATCTATCTAGATTAAAGGTATTTTTGACTGTGTGGTGGTCAGTGTCCACCTGAAGGCTACAGGGCTGCATGGAGAAGATATGGACAAAACTGAGAAGGAGGTGGGGAGCATTGACGACATGATCACAGCCATTAAGGAGAAGCTAAAAGGTATGTTGAAGGGTTCTATGGTTGTATTATTGATTGTATCATAAGGTACTTAGAAATCAGGCAAATGGTATAGAGTGGTATGAAGATTTATTTTTAAAATTGATTATCAAATGAAGGGTTTTACTGTCATTATTATTAATATTAAATATATAATAAGACATAAGGCGAACAGTATTACAAAGTGGTATGAAAATTTATAATTTGAAAAATTAATTATTAAAACTAACACTAATGCCTGTATATTTCTTTTTACCATACAGCACATCCATATTTAACGAATATCCCTTGACATCATCAGTAGACAATGATTATTTTTGTATATTTGTAATCATAAATTTTTTCTCAAATAGGTGAGGAGGATATCATAATAGTTGGTGATTTCAACCTAGGCCCTGAGGCTAATGGTGAGTATGATTCTAACATTTTATAATGTCTTACTCTGCTTGCCTTATTCTCATAATTTGTTGTTTTTTTTTTTGTCTTAATGTTAGTGGGGTTGCGATTTAAAAAAATACAGTGACAGAAAATAAATGTTAATTCTGCTATACAAGCAGCTTTACTGCATTGACTGGTTCACACCAGAAGCAGGTTCTGATATTCCTTTTCTTGTTGTTAATACATTTTCACTCTTTTCAGCCTATGAAGATCTACAGCAGCTGGACTATGTCAACTGTATCCCAGCTGACACCTTCACAAACATCAGCAACAACAAAGCTTCAGGGAGCAAAAATTATGATAACATTTGGATTAGTAAACAAACACAGAAGGTTTATACAGGTGGGTCCTACATTTGAATGCTTTTTAATCTCAGCACAGTAAACATTACAGATCTTGCAAGTTGCTATGCTGTTGATTTGTTTAGCTTGGTATTTTAATAGTTTCAGAGAGCTTTATACAATACATTGGTATATTTTTAAAAAGTAATATTTTTTTTAATTCATTCAAAATTCAGTTGTGAATGTTTTTGATAGGATTTTTCTGATAAAACATGAGTTTCTTGCTGGATTTTTTAAATGCTAATGTAAAACATTTTCTTAGTTTGTGTTTATATATATAAATAATGTGATTTAATGGTATCTTGATCACTATCAGTTCTATATCTATTCCTCTTTTTCTGTCTCGTAATCTGTGTACTGTTTAGTGCCACTTATGTCTTTTTGGTTATGATCGTCCATTCTCACTCTGTCCTCCACTATCCTCTGTGCTTCTTCCAATGTAAAACCTGCCAATTCTCTGATGTCTTCCTATTTTCTTTAGCCTGCCTCATTTTACTTTACCTGGCACTGTTCCTTTTATCAGTCTTCTCTGATAACCTTGTGACAAGTTTCTACCAGTTGTTTGTGTTTTCAATGATTGTCAGATCATCTTAAAGATCAGTTGACCTACTATGTTATCTAGATATCTATTACGTTTATAAATCCTGTCACAGAAGATATCTATTACGTTTATAAGTCCTGTCACAGAAGATATCTATTATGTTTATAAATCCTGGCACAGAAGATATCTATTACGTTTATGTATTAGCTTATGTTATGAATATGATGTTTTTCCCACTCTAGGTGTGAGTGGTGTGGTCAGAGAGGGTCTGTCTAGTACCTGGATACCCAACGGGTGGTCATGGGGTGGTGTGGTTAGTGACCACTGTCCAGTATATACTCAGCTGTATGCAGACAAAGACCTGGATAAAGGAAATCTGCCTAGCAAGGACGACGAACTTAAAATAAATGTTTCGGCCATTTCAAAATGAAAGGCACGACTTTTTTGTCGAACCATGAATTACCAAAATAACATGTTACAAAATTTTGTTATAATATTCTTAGCTTTAAGTAGGCACATAAAAAGCAATATTTGAAGTGATATTGGCAAAGGATTATATTAAGGTTAATATTTTTGTTGAAGGATATTCAGAACAATGCAATTATTTTGTATATAAATTTGCAAATGTAGCACAACACTGGTGTGTTTTTAATTGAAGGAATACTATATACAGAAAGTAGATTATTTTGAAAACTCTGCATGTGTATATAATCTGAGAATCCTAGTTATATATAATTAACCTTGCTATTTATTTAGCTTATGTTTCAATGAGCTTTATTTTATAAAAAAAAAATATATATATATATATATATATATATATATATATATATATATATATATATATATATATATATATATATATTTAAAGAACAAAAGTTAAAATTACTTGCAGGATAGGGCATCAAAACCTCAATGTTTAACACTAAATATACATATTCTTATCAAAGAATTGTTTACTAATTATTGTAATGTTTTTGCTTTTATTTAGCAAAGCATTGAAAAGACAGTAGCTTGTAGTGTATTAAAACTAACTGTGAGCTAATGTTAGAATAAACGTCACCTAAATTACTTAACAAGAATATTTTTTTACTGGTGACATTTTAGTTGTATTTTTTTACACGTGTTTGATACCTTGTAAATATTATGTTGTTTGAATCCATATGCACATTCACTGTTCAGACTAAAATCTATCACACGAAATTGTATTTTAAGAACTGTGTCCTATGTAACGACATGCAAAAATGTAGTTCTTTCTAACCCAGTTTTATCTGTAGTACAAGATATCCTTGATCAGTTCATGTTGTTTTTTCTATGCTAAATCTTATGTATTAGCAAACTGACCTTTGCTTCTTTATTTTGATACATTGGTGTATACATACATGCAAAAATGTAGTTCTTTCTAACCTAGTTTTATCTGTAGTACAAGACATCCTTGATCAGTTCATGTTGTTTTTTCTATGTATTATTTCTATGTATTAGCAAATTGACCTTTGCTTCTAATATTTTGATATGTTGGTGTATACATAATGTAAGAAGACTATTGTTTGTGTACATTTAGTTTAAAAAGTTGATATGCAATATTGTTTTTGTCAGACTAACAGTGCTGTATGAAGAAACCATACAGTTTCTCTTCTTCATGTATATATTTTTGACTTGGCACTTTTACACATAAGCTTAATAATTAAACGCAAAACATTTGCATAATTTGGTCCAAGGGTAACGTTTGCTGACTTGAATGCCTTGAGTTTGTCTACCTGGCTCAAACCAGTAAAAGTCCCCAGAGTCCACCCAACTCAGGTTACTCTCTCAAGTCTTGGAAAGTAAAGATGGCTAATCAGGAGTTCTGACTATGATCCCTTCAACCAGGTCAGACTAGCCAATGATCTCTGTCATCTGCCCTTTTGGTCACCAGTTCTAAAAGGAACTTTTTAAATTATTATTTGCATAATATGCCGTGTAATACAATGTAATTCTAAATCCAAGCAGATTATTAATGAAAGTTAATTTTCTATATAATTATTTTAGTCTTTAAGTTTAGCTTTATGTAAAGCTATTTTTCTAACTTTCCTTGTATGGTGCTCTGCTTCCTTTAGAAATATCTGCTAGTTTGAATTAGTTAAAGGCTTGCAGTCATCCTGTCATAATTTTTAAATCTGTTCATCACCAGGCACTAAAATTATCATTTTTATTGCTAAACTACAGACAAGAAATATGAGAGATTGGCTTTGTCATACCTGCTAGTTTAAATTTGTAGCTTGTAAAATTTAAACTTGAAGATTGTAGACATTCTCTTATTTCTTTCGTAAAATAATGTAATTTGTTCATCACCAGGCTCTAAACTAAACATTTTTATTCCTAAACTACATACAAGAAATACGAGAGATTGGCTTTGTCATACCTGCTAGTTTAAAGTTGTTAGAAGCTTGTAGCCATTATCTTACTTCTGTAATAAAATAATTTTATTTGTTCATCATCAGGCACTAAACTAATCATTTTTATTGCTAAACTACAGACAAGAAATATGATAGACGAGCCGACCCGCTGCATATCATACGCCGCTATTTAGTTGTTATTTTTTCTACTTTTCAGTAATTCATAATTTGTGAATTCGACACTACCAACGCTGACACTGAAAATATTTTTTTAAAACACTATAAGTAGCTCGTTAAGGACAATAACACCCACCACCACCACCCCCCCCTCTCCGTTAAATTAAACTCCACTTAGTTTCCCCCCCCCCCCCCCCCCCCACATTTAAAATCGTTTCAAACTAAATTATCTGCCCCTAATAGTCGTCACTAAACCCGGCTCTGCTTGTAAACATTTAGCGTGAACACAGATCACCAGACCATGTAGGGGTGGGGGTGGTAGGGAGCGCACTTACAGCTTGTTTTCTAGTGTCTCCCAGAAGAGAATTATATATAGAGATTGGCTTTGTCAATGTACACACATTGTCTTAATATTTTTATTATGTGAGTTAATGTGCTAATGATAAAGTTTTGATTGTCAATAGAAAGCCTAGCAGTGGATGATGTGTAAGTGATTTTTCTATCCTTCAATCCAACAAATTGTTTTAGCAGCTGAGCATATGAAAATAAGAATAAAATCTAAAATTACGCAAAAATAAACATTTAATCACTTTAAATTTTAAATTATTTTAATGATTGATCTCAAAAGCTTGTGTTTTTATCGTGGGAGGTGTAAAATACAAATTTTTAAATGATTTACACTTTTTAAAATTTAAACAATCAGTAAATCCAATATTCTGTGCAATTCTACCTCATCTTTCCATGATTAGATGTTGATTATTTATTTCATATGTCTGGGCAATTCGGCAGATGTATATTTTTTTATTTATAATATATTCTGGCTAGTTGAAATAAAAAATAATTTTATGGTGCTGTTCATTTTTATAAAGATGTTAATTAATTTAACGAAATAATATCCAAAAGTGATGATACACGCATAATAATTAATTGAATTATTTTTAATGGATTAACATGTTTTTCAGCTCTGATTTTAAAATATCAGTTGGTTTCTATCTTAAGCTTTAAAATGTTTTATAGTCAGGGTAAAACTGATTCTCATTTTGTTAATTTTTACACTTTAAAACATTTCATTAAAAATTGTTTGGATGCCTTTAAAAAAATTAGGTTTTCTGTACAAATTAATTGAAATATTTGTGCTGTTCGTAAAAAGCTGGAAGTTTTTTATCTAGTCACCTTGTTTTAATAAATAAGCATGTTTAGTTAATTGGTTATATAAGCCTTACAAATTAGTACCAAATCTTGCCTTGTTTTTTGTTTTACTTACAATCCTGTATTCAATCATCCCTTCATGTGTGGACATATAAATAAGTTTTTATTGTTTTTAAATTTAACGAGATGAGTATCTTTTTTTTAAACATTAATATGTATGGGGAAAATGTTTTTGCAATACCTGTATTAATAATTATGACATTTAAAAAGTGGGATTTTAATTTTGTAGTTTACTGATTTATGTTGCATATATTTCTATACATAACACAATAGATTATCTCTAATAATTTGATAAATAGCTTCTATTGAAAATCAAATATACTTTTCAAATAATCAAATATAAAATTATAAATTTATATAATTTTTTTTGACAGCTTCTTTTTGCTAAATAAGTGTTTCAACCTATAATTGCATTAAACTATCATTTTTATTTATTTGAAATAACAAAGAATTAGTTATAACTAAATTCTTCACGCAGATGAACAATAAAAATGTGTTTTTAAAGTAACAATTAGCCAGTCAAAAATATTCCAGATAATTTTCATATTGAAAATTTAAGATATTTTCTCTATTTTTGTGGTCTACTAGAATAACGGCTGCTATTTGTGTAACTCGTTAGAAATACAAAGTGCTTCTCTTATTGTTCTAGTTTAGTATTCCTAGAAATGACATAACCTCATGTTGAAGGAACAATAGTTTCAATAACTAAAAAGGCCTAATCAACAACAAAATTTATTTTATATTGACTTAATTTTATTGATATGAATTTTAAATGTTCAAAAATTCAGGCCAGATATTTTTTTTTAAATGCAGTATATCTTTTAGCTATACTTGTGATTCCTGTTTAAAGTAACTCTATGAATGCTAGTAATGTTGTAGAATTTAAATTTGTGTTCAACTATAATGTTAATGTTTTGATATGCATTTCTATACAGTGCCTTACCTTACACTGTTACACTTTTAAAGAAATAAAGTTTTTAAAAAAAAAATCAAACTTGTATTTTGTTTGTTTTTAAAAGGATGCTTATAAGTCCTGAAACATATATTAATAAAAAGCAGGTTATATTTTTAGAAGTTTGCATCAGTGTGTGCTTTAATCTTGTCCTTTGATTTTAAAATTTAAAAAATCAAAGGTGAAAATGAGAATTAAATTTATGAGGGTTTATTAGATTTTTTTTCCCTAAAATAAAATTGAGTTCTATTTAAATACATTACTGGATTCATCTAACACATTTTTTAAGGTTCAGATCCATATAGGTTTATAAAAATTTGTATTGTGTATACTGGGTGGTGAATTTCTGTAAATTGTTGAGCACACTGTTACAAACTTTTTAAACATCTTAATTGTATAAATAAGCAGAAGGGATAGCTGAACTTTCACCCCTAATGTCTTGAATCTGTAGGACTTCTGAGCTGTCAGATCTATGCTGTTTCTTGCACACAAGTTTTGTACAGTACCTGAATCAGGTCAGGGAAGTAGCAATAGCTTGAGTTATACTGGCTAAAAATGTTTATGTTGAAGTCTCAGTAACAGAAAATCTCTTAATCTTTCCATTGAACGATATTGCCTTTAAATAATTGGTTAAAAAAAATAAATTAAGTCAAATAAACTAGGTTTTTCTTAGATTTAACCTAGAAAAAAAACACAACATTCTTTATTAAAACACAAATGTTTTAGCAGACTCCAACAGACATTATTTTGTAAGTAAACTGTTTATTTTTAAAAACAAAACATTAACAAGAGAGAAAGATTTAATATGTACATATTTGTTCTACTTTGTGTGACCAGCTGTCACTTTACATACTAAATTCAAACAAAATTACATATCCTGTAATTTAAAAAAAAAAACAAGAGAAAACAAATTCAGTTAAATTTATATTAATGTAAGATTTTTCAAAGTAAATAAATGCAAAAATATTCTTAAATATTTAAATTCTTAAAATGTATGAAACAAAACAAATTTATTTTGTTTTATACTGGATTTTACTGTTAAGCATAACTATAAATAATAATTTAAACCTATGGGCATTGAATGAGCTTTAAAATGTGTTAACAAAATGTTCAATAAAAAAGTATCACAGGATAAAATTTAAATAAAATTATTGCATTTACATAAATTTTATTACTTTAACGTACAAAAATTCAATAAAAATTGTATTCAATGTTCTAAACAAAAAAAGGGGACATAATGTATAGCTACAATTATCAAATTTAAAAACAAATTATCATTCAATCAGCCTTTACTTAGCAGCAATTCATAAACCCATTTCTTGTAAACAAAGATCATTTATAGCTACAATATATTACCTCCCATATTTAATAATTGTCGACAGAAAAATACAAAGGTCTACTAGTATAATTCAAATAACATAAAAAAAAGTGCTTTAAATTTTCACAGGTTTATTCTCAATTAAAAATATCTGGTATTTGACTTTTTTATACAAAAGGAAAATTATTCTCATATTTTTTTAATCATTTAGAAATTGCATGCTCAAAATCTGAGACATGATTTTAAATTTAAGAACACAATGTGACCACAGTAAAATAGAAAAAAAAATTAATATGTTACAAATGAGGTCTTCTAATGATTTTCACCAAGTTAATTACTTATAACTAAATACTATACTTTTATAAATCAAAAGTTTTAACTAACCTAATTACAATCAGATTTTACATTTTTTTAATAGTAGATAAACTTATCTCCTTTATTTTATCACATATTAAATTAAAATTATTTAATCTTTTTTGTACATTCAAGATTTGTGTACTGCAAAGACAAATGGATGACATCAATAATACTGAGAATTATGTTTAACAAGTTTAGAGATCATGAATTATATAAGCCAGAGATGTGGAGTCTGCACATTATTTAACCCTTTCAGCCCTACAATCAGTCTCTTCTTTTTTCTTTGTTTTTATTGTAAATCTAATTTTTTAAATATTCTAAGTGTACTGTGATTAATTAATTTTTATATTTAATTACAAACCATTTTAAAGTAAAAAAAATGTTTTCTGGCAACTTCTACTGATTGGGATTTTATGAGTCTAATAAGGTAAAACGTTGAGGTATTTTAAATCAATTATTTTAAAACCCCTTACTCTTCTTTGGTGGATTTAAGGCTAAAAGGGTCAATGTGTGACCAATAAATAATAAGTTTGATCGGAGGGGAGGGGGGGTGCGTGACAGAGAGAGAATAACAATTTTAGCACATTTTTATTAACAAGTGTAGAAATTCTAAAAATTTGTATTGAGTTGAAATTATTTGTATGTCTATAACAAAAGCTAGAAACCTTAATCTTAGATAGGTATAAAAAAAAATTTGCATTAAACAAGACTTAGATCAGTATACTATAGATGAAATAAAAATTGATATGCACAGCCATATATATAAGATGTTTTATAATAAAAAGTTGTTTTTTTTATTTTGGGATGGTTAAATGACAATGATGTGAACCCATTATTTTGTAAAAATTTAAACATTGATTCAAAGAATGATGAAAGCTTTGCATGCTTCAGAAGAACAGCAATAGGAATAGTCTCGCATGCTTAAACACCACGTCAATTTTTATGTCATTTAACATTCTCAGTTTTACAAATAGAAAGATTTAATGAATTATTAAACACGTAAATGTCATTTCTAAAAAAATTGGTTGAAACCACATCAATTTTTTCATCAATCAAGTTTTAAAATATAAATTATATTAACCACATTACACATTTCCAGTAACATCAATTTAACATTTAATATAATCATTTAACATTTTAAACTGCTGTTGGTGTCACTTTATCATTCTTAACACTTCTTAACACTTGCTGTAGCTCAGGGGTCTCCAAACTACGGCCCGCGGGCATGATGCGGCCCGCCAAGTCCTCTTATCCGGCCCGCAGAGATCTTTTTGTCCAAGGAAAAAACGTTTGTTGGTGATGGCTGAGGATATTTTCCCAGAAAAATCACGACATGTCTGGAAGAAACTGGCCCCCGAACTGAAATTTGATAGTTAATGCGGCCCTTGGACTGAAAAGTTTGGAGACCCCTGCTCTAGCTAAATGAACTGAAACAATTTGTATCAAAATTAATCAAATAATGCATAGGTAATTTCTAGGAAATGAAATGCACTTCAGTGTTAAACATTAGACCTCATTAAATAAAATGAATAAATATAGTCAAACATTGCATGAATCAGATAACATATAAAAACTTCAGGTTAATAATTTTAAAAAATGAATTTATGCATGGTCCATATTTAACTTTCATTTACCTCATTCTTTTTAAATATGAAGATCTAAAGTAAAAGAAGTATCAAAACTTTGAAATCACCTGAATGCTAAAGTGCCTTGAAAGTTGTTGTTTTTTTTCAACAAGATTGTTACAAAAAAATGATTCAAAAATAAAATAAAATATGCAGCCTAAAACATGTCTTAATGTTTAATATTTGTATGTTGTTGTGTATATATCTAACAGTCATCTTTTCATATATGAAGATCTAAAGTAAAAGACGTATCAAAACTTTAAAATCACCTCAATGCTAAAGTGCCTTGAAAGTTTTTTTTTTAACCAGATTGTAACAAAAAAATGATTCAAAAAATCAAAATAAATATGCAGCCTAAAACTTGTCTGAATGTTTAATATTTGTAAGTTGTTGTGTATATATCTAACAGTAATCTTTTCAATTATAAGATTTTAAGAAAAGAAGAAGGTTGGGTTAAAAATACCGGATAAATAATTCCCCAAGATCACAGTTTCTTCTTTGGTCAATGTTTACATTGTGTAAGTCAACAAGTAGGCCTGATGCCAGTCTTACCTAATTGCTGCTAACTAGTAACAGCTGTGTATTTTCTATTTCCACTGTCCAATGACGATTACATTATAAATAGTAAATAGTGTTAATGCATGTCAACTTATTATTGATAATTTACTTTAAAATTGTTCAGAATTATTGACTAGACGTTTGTTGTCGTAAGACTAATTTATGACACATTTAAGTTTAAAAATTAGTTATACTTGGTGGGCTAAGTCTTCTCTACTACTTTGGTAGCAATATAAAAAATAATAATAAAATGTAAAAAAAAAAACTTACATTCAAAATCTAAGCAATTTTCTTATTGACAAACATTCTTATAAGATGAGTTGTTTAAGAGATTCTACTCCTTATGGGTACTGGTTAATGTTTACTACACTGTATTGATACATTTTAGTACAAGTCCCAATTGAACCTTAGAATGGAATTCACAACTTTTGGATAAGCAATCAAACTAGTTTTCTAAAGTGTTTTTTTTCCAATCAATAAATGTAATACAGTAAATTCAAACTATTATTAATTATTTAATTTTAAAATACATCTAATTTAAAAATTACACTGTTTAATTTAGTTTAAATATATTATTTACATAAAATAAAATACATTATATTAAAGAAAATCTAAATAAGACCAATGATTAGAAAAATGTTAACTGACCAATGGCTGATGAAATAGAAATATTAGCAAAAGGTTGGTTAAAAAAAAATATTAACTAACCAAAAGTTGGTTAAATAAATAACTTTTCAATGTACAAATATTTACACTGTTCTCAATCCATCAGAGGCGAAGACACCATAATTTTAAATAGTAAAACATGGACTGCTATGCAAGGGCCTTTTAAAAGCAAACAAACATAGATAAAATTATAATAGTTGCTCTATTTACTTTGCTCCCGACACTTCCTCTCTGTATTGCTGACCTTATTCACATAAATATATAGATTATAGCTCTTGATCTTTCCCTATCACATGTATATATTTATATAAATATTAGGTGCAAATGCCCATATGCTACCACCTCCATAGCAACACCTTAGTAATTTCATTTATGGCACAGTTATAATTCAAGAAGATTAATACAGATACTGTAGGAATTCAAGACAAAATAGATTATTTTTCATACACATCCTCTAAGACACAGAAGGGCAATAAGTATAATTTGTGCACTTTTTTTAAAGTGTACCACGTTTTTCTTTGATTTAGCATTGAAATATCAAATCAGCAGTAGTGACAGTAGATAAGGACAAGAAATGTTGTATAAGCAAACCGTATTCGCAACTAAATAAAAAAACTCACAGAGATGGTTGAATTAGCTTCTAAAAAGCCGAGTCATTATGTGACTCTGACAAAGTGTTCAGGGTCATATTTCGGTTGTCAGCAGGCCTGTACGTGTCTGTAGACCTCATTGTAGCAGTATACGGTTTGAATGAATTCGAGCTCTCGATGCTGCCACGTAAAGCAGTCAGATCCAACGGAGGCACCTCGGCCTCCCACTTCCTCTTCGGGACTGGGGTAAGGGGGAGGAGTTTCTTGTTAGTGCTGTACTTTAGGCTCCCGTCTGCGTTCAGCTCAGCGCTGTGGTTGAGGTGAAAGAGGTGGGTGGTGTTAAGCTCTTCGCTGTCAGGCTCCCCACCGCTGTCAGGCCCACTGCTGGAGTGTTTACGATAAGATTCTGTCCTAAAATTGGCGTTTGGTTCTCCTTTACAAATGAGCTCGCTGGAGGTTGATCTGGAGCCCATTTTTTGATATGGTGGGGTGGTGGATGATAACTTAGTATGCCAGACTTCTTCTTGGCTGCTTTTATAATACATTGATGGATTATCTGATAATTGTAAAAAAGAAAATTTTGAGTTACTATTTGTTTTGTTTTGTGAAAAATTTAAAAAGAAAATAACTTTTAAGAAATAATAGTAAAATACAACATTTCACCTCTCATACATTCAAATTTAATTTAGATCAACTGCATGTGGCAACTTACCAACAGCTGATATTTCTATCTCCTGGTCTGGAGAGCTCAGCAGTTTTTTCTTTTTCTTCCTCTTCAGTTTTCTTATATGTGTCTCCTCAGTGGCCTGGTGAAACTGTGCAGGAATGGGAGGTCAAAGGTTAGATGGTGATGAAGGGCTTTAAACTGGTGGGTTTGTTTATCAATCGAGCAAGCTGTATCTTATTGTCAGTACTGTTGATGTTGAGATGCTATGTATGTGTTATCATAGCTGCGAGTAAGAGGTTTGTTTTGGTGGTTGAGAAACTAATACAACTACATTTGTACTTGGAGCAGGCAGAAGCAAAGAGGGGAGTAAAAGAAGTACTCTGGACATTAAAAGATGGAGAATGTGTACAGTATTAAGCCAAATGGATGTGTAAATATTATCATAACCATTACGTAAATTTATCAGGTTTACAGTTAATTCTTACATACTAGTTACACCAAAAAAAAACAATTAGCAGAATTCATGTGTGATGTTCAAAGTCCAAAAATCATGTGTTGAGATTTTTTTAAAGTTTCATGAAGTGATTATCTTATCAATTAAAAAGTTTGCAAATTGACCATACAACTCAAACATGGTGTAAAAACAGAATGCATGAGAACGAATATCCCTAAAACAAGTTTAAACTGGCTTAATTGTGTTTCAAAAATATTTTCTCATTAGAAAATTGATTTTAACATGATCATTGGGACATAGTTGTATTTGATAGTAAAATATAATTTTGGTATTTAAATAAACACTATCAAAATGTGAATATATCTATGTATAGTTACTAAGACACATACTTTGGAATCCTTTATTGGGCTGGTGAGTGGAGGGGGTGTTTCCCCACCACCATTTCTTTCTGTTTCCTCTAATGCCTTTTGATAGTTGTGTAAATCTTCTTCAGATCTGGTAGTAATAAATGTAAAGTTTAAAAATTGGAAATGAATATATTAGATTACAGATCTTTTTTCTACTGCACTGTAAACAACTAGAGCTACAATTAATGCATAATGTACATTTCAAGACTAATGTATAATTCCCTTTTAAGAGCTAGATGAATTTATATTACTCCTAATTTTTTTACTTACTTTGTCTTAGGCTCACACCCAGAATTCTTACTTGGTGTTATCTTATTGATCTGAAAAATGTAAAATGTGCCATTACATATTTTAATACTGATTAGGTGACACCTTGTCCATAACTCTATGGTACCTACATATCACTTAACAATGTCCTATTAACTATAGCAATAAAACATGACTGAACGTTGTAATGACAACATTGATTATGCAGTTACCTTTAAATATTAAGTTTATTTGTAGTGTTCAAAATATATGACTTTTAATCAAATGGAGGCTTCTGTGATAATAACTGCATTTTTAATACTACTTTGACATTTAATTATATCACTGATTGACACCTTACCTATAGTTCTAAGGTAACTACAATTTTCTATTAGCTATAGTAATAAAACACTACTGACTGTTGTATTGACAGTATTGATTTTGAAGTTGGCCTTAATTACTAAGCTCATGTATGTTTTTAAAAAGGGTGATTTCTAATCACATTAAAACATCTGTGATAATAATTCAGCATTTTTTAATACTACGGTACCTTTAAAGGCTGAGGCTTCGACAAGGGAGAATTTTTCCCATTTGCTGAGCTCTCTTCTTTCATACTTTCTTTCTCTCGTTGCATAATAATAAAATCATAGGTAGACAGATCTTTATAAACTGGAAAATAAATGCATTTTTAAGCCTTAGTCATTTTGAAAGTCAACGGTATTTATAATTTTATTCAAACGTTGTGCTTCCTGTTACACCAGAGCATTGAGGCTAAGCTTAGAGTTGGAATCAGAATGAAGTTAAATGTTTAGGCAGGGACAGCATGTCCAAGCGGTAGAGCTTAACCGCAAGTCTCGAGTTCAAATCCGTTTTCAAAAACAATGTCCCAGATCATGTTAGGGAAAGTAAAATGCTGCTGGACATAGTGCTGACCACACCATCCTTTTGTATTCCAAGGTCAAAAAAGGTTAACTCTACTTCACTGACCCCTTGGACTGTCATTGTCATGATTGAAAGGGAACTTCACTTTTTTTTAATGCTAAGGTAATAGGTCTAGGATTAGGTTTGGTTTATTTTTTGTTAATGTTGATAGTATTTATTGAAAGCATTACACTTATCATTGTCTCAGATTTACAGGCAAGCATGATATTTTATTGCATTAAACATTATTATTTTTCATCATTAAACCAATTAAAGTTTTTTTTTATATATTCTAGAATAAAATACTTTAAAAAATGGCTATCTGAAAACTATGTAGGTAATGTACACTGTAAGTTATAAATCAGGTCACAGAGACAGAACTAATAACTAAAGCTTATACAACTCAGTGAAAGATTAAACATAAGAAAGATAACAAAGATAACTTACTGAGCCATACATGGAACTGAGTTAAATGAACAAGGAAACCAAAAGCAATGATTGCTAGTATCACAGTCAGAATATCAATGGCCAGGAAAACTCCATTGGCCACAGGCTTATCAAACATGAGAAGTGTTGCTGCCTCACTTGAGCCATTGGAGCCTAGAAGTAAAGTTATTCTCAAAATAGTTTGTGTAATTATCAAATGTATGTACTGTAACAACCATATCATAGGGGCTGTTGTTTACATTTTAAACATTGCTTAATAAATATTAGTAAATATTATTTCAAAATTAAATTAAATTTGATGTTAAGTCCAATTTAGACAGAATTAGGTTTAATTAGAGTTGCTGCAGATGTACTAGTAATATGGCTCTTTCAATTATTAAAAAAAAAATATTTCTTGTATTGTGAAAATTTATTTTTAAAGCCAATTTTTTAAAAAATATAAACTACTTAAACAGCACAAATATAGCTACCTTGGTAGACATGTAGAATGTTCCCACTTTTTTTATCAGTAAAGAAAGCAATAAAATCCAACAGTCCTATGCAAATAACAATGGAAGATGACAGTATAGCAAACACCAAAGTTGAGAAGAACCACCTGTTGAATACATTTAAAGCAATTCTTTTAAAGAATCTGTTTATATTTATACAGTTAACTTTAAAAAAAATATGGCTCCATAATCTAATCAACCATTGGATGATTGCGCATTGGAAATCCAAGCAGAACACCTGGGCCCTAAGTTGAGAAGAGCCGGATGTTGTCCATCTATCAGGCCCACCTCTCTCAACATAGCTGATGGACCCGAGGGACAGGACTTAAAAATAACTGACATGACAACGTATAAATAATCACGTCAAATATAATTACTTTACACACCTTTAATTTATATTCAAGTTTTTAAGAACATTGAATCTTCAGAATTATAACTCTTTTCAAATAATATTTAAAGTAAAGTACTTATTTTGATGTTAGGCATTAAGATTTCCACAAATTTTAATGTATGCATATTTTTTTACCATACACTCCCATACATAGTTACAAACTAGAGTATATCTATTTACAACTGTTACAATACATGCATATCATACTGCCCTTACACATAATTATATACTAGTAATAAAGTTCCCCGCACAACTGTTAATACAAACAACCTTCCCCACCCCCTTACCCTCCCCCCCCCACACAAACAATCAATACATACTTGTAATTCCTGTCCCCCACACAGTTGTTCAACCATCTACAGTGGTGATCAAATCCAGACACACATTTATTGCATGCACTGCAATGTTTGGACTTTGGACCCCTGAAAAGTTTAAGATACACATTTTAGCAATGATTATCATTACACATCACACATTAATAGCCTCATTACTCCATTAACAAATGGAGGTGTAATTCCACAATATTTCTAATAAACCTAATTCAGGTCATATAAAATATCCTATGTTTAATGCATACAGTAATTCCAGGCTTGTTTTTCTGGCCTTAGATACTCGTTCTTAGCCTTACATAGGCCGTATTCGTTCCTAGCCTTATATAAGCCGTATTTGTTCTTAGCCTTACATAAGCCGTATGTCTATTAAACGTAACAAATAAAAGTTGTATTATGTTACAACTAACGTGATGTCCCTAACAGACAATCATCATCTTGAAACAGTGTACAATAGAAGGTTCAATGTATCCTTCAGAGACCTAACCACCAAAAATAGAGATAAAGTAGTTTTAAAATGGACTATGAGAAAAGAAAACTTGCTAATGAGCAGTTGAATGTTTTACCCCATAAAAACGCTTTTTAATTTTAACTTAAAAACCTATTAACATGATGCAAAAAATGCAAAAATAACATCTATGAAAATAAAAACTAAAGGAGCAGAGATTTTTCTTAATTTGGGTCTTTCAAAAAAAAAAAATTGCTTACACATTAACTTGACACAAGGAACATGTCTGGTTTTCAATGGCGTGCTTGTGTTTGGTTCTGTCCAGTTTTGGGACATGTTTGTTTCCCCCCTTCTCCCTCACAGCCTTGTCAGCGGGGTCCAGTGAAGTAGCAAACAGCATTGTGACAACCAGACCAAAGACAAAAAATGTGGTTATCTGGATCTGGTTAAAGGTTTGTATTACTTTTCTACTTATATAATGAAATTTTTTACTATGAAAGAACCATGTAAAAATTATACAACACAAAGGGGGATGGGTGGTGGTTCAAGATGTGAAATATAATATTAGGGCTGATGGTAGTCTATGCATTTTATAAGATGGTGGGTTGAAATGCAAATGCGTATTGCATATAGTACTAAAATGCTGCAGTTTCTTTAAATGTTATGTAGGTGGGGGGAGAGGTGATTCAAGATGTGAAATATAATATTAGGGTGGATGGTGGTCTATGAAATTATAGTATTTTATAAGATGGTGGGTCGAAATTTCCGTATAATACTAAATACACAATACCGCAGTTGAATACAAATGTTTGTACATAGTTTAACTTTAAATTAGCTAATTCCTCATGCATCACACACACGTTCCCTATTTTTAAAATACACAATCGAAAATTTCAAACGTCTGTTTTTAGAAATATTATACATTATATACCAAGTAAAGAAGCAATAAATAAAGCTAAAAAGGATACACAGTACAAAGGAATGTGTGCAGCAGATATCAGTGCTGGGATGAGGCATCCATACTGAATGATTATAAAGTAGATAATGACAATCCAAGACAGCATCTGAAGGCAAAAAGAAATTTAAATATTTAACGAACACATGGATAATAACAATCTAAATATATACTGTCATCTGTAGAATTGACATCTAACTTAGCTTAAGGAAAAAACCATTTACTTTAATTTTTAAAAATATGTGTTTATATTAAGGATATTGAAATGTAATTCTACTAAAAAAATATGAATTCTTTAAACTAACAGTTATTTTTTTTTATAAGTAACATAAATTAGTACGGTTAAATATATTAATTAATTCCAATTGATAACTTGCCTGTAAAAAGTGCCATGGACAGTCCCAGCCATGTGTTCGACTAGTATCAGCATTCTCATCCATTGTGATATACAGTTACAACAGCAGAACAACTTCAAAATCAATTGGTTAGCTGACTCACAAAAAGAAATAACATCTCTGTTTCTATGATACCTAGATTTTGAAAAGATTTGGATACAACTGTTTAGTTTAGGTTGTACAATACAGCCACAATATGTTAATACGGTATATGACTAACCATGGTACCTAAATAAAGTTAGGAAGGGTCTTTCATTTTTTATAATAGATCTATAATCCAAAATTGTACTTATTTAGAGAAAAATTAAACTTAACCTGATAAAGAAATTAAAATGTGACATACAAGTTGTATTAGAAGATTGTAAATTATAATACTAATCTTTACAAATATATGTCACTAAGGGTCCTAAGGCTAAGGAAGATGTGGTCGAATGGTAGAGTTAATTACTGCTAGCCCAAAAGTCTTACGTTTGGATCCCAGTCTCAAGTCCTTAGCCTTAGCCTAAGGCCTAAGGCAAGGATTAAGATGTCCATGAGTCCACCTAGCTCTGATAGGTACCTAACTCATGTTATGGAAGCAAAGGTGGCTGGGCATAGTACTAACCACACTATCCCAATATGGATATGTGCTGTTTTCATTTAAAGTTTAAACAGATTGAATTCTACTTAATCTGCCCCATGTGTCGGTGGGGGGGGGGGGGCGGAGCACAAATGGGCAATGGGTAAAGAATCATTAATTGAATATGAAGGGTCTTAATAATTTCTGAAAGAGGTTGGATAAGAAGGACCTGTATAAATATACTTATTCAAATAGACTAAACTGACTAGATTTAGATTTCTAGGTCTAAATTGCTGAGTAAATCAACAAACAAAAAAATAAATTTAAATAACAAATGTAGGAGGCCTAAAAAAAAAAAGATTGTTTTTTTTTAACATTTCCATAACCACAAAGCTAGAATTTAGTCTACAATTCTATATTATATTATTTTTGTTTTGGGGATTTGTTTTTAACCAAGTAGATCTATGACAATCAATTAAGTTATTTTTCATAAATAGATCTACCTGGTAGTAAAATTATTTCCTTTTAAAATGCTGCAGTTTCTTTAGCCTGAACGCCATCTTGAATCCAAGGCAACAATTCCATAACTTGTCCCGTAACACTTTTGCTTGTTCATTGACATCACAAATAACAACCAAAAAATATTGATCCATTTTTTATTCATGTAGAATGTAGATCTATATAAAATTTTTATAAATAAAGGTTTGTTTAAGGTGACTTTTTTCTTGTATCGGACTGTTGTTAATTGTTTTAATTCATTTATTTTAAAAAAGAGGCTGAAAAAATAAATTAGAAATTTTGGACTAGTCAGTTATTTTGCAGTTTATTTAAATTTAATTATTTTTATTCTGACTTTGTACTTGTGTTTCGATTATTTCCGGGTCACAGATTCTGCGTACTACATGTAAACAATCACGAACAGAAATGAACTTCACCTTTTCTCATAGTTTGTTGTTAAACCGGCTTCTAATATTGACACAATGTCAGGAGCCGCCAAACTTATACGCAAAAATATTTTTCAGACACATAAATCTGTTTTTGAAGCACTGTCTTCAAAATGTCAACCGATGCATGCACAGTTGTATCGCACCAGACCAAGTAAATCTCACCCGCTACAGCTGAGTTTTCATTCAACTTGTTTTTGTGAGAGATTACCATTCTGTAAGTACTTAAATGTAAAAATATAGATCTAGATTAATATACAGATCTAATTATAAGAATTAGTCATAAATATTAGTAGGCCTAACACTAATAGATTAATTTAATAATTATTATTAAATTAAGTAGGCCTATGTGGCAGTATGTGCCTCATTTTTCTAGTAGGGATCTACTCAAAATATCTTATCTCCTAAATTGCCAAAATGAATATTCACTAGATCTAGATCTATCTATTCACTCTCAGTTTCAACTAGATCTAAATTTAGCATAGGATGTCTTAATTATTTAGTAAATGATATGTAATTAGTTAGGCCTATGATATGACTAATAAAAAAAAAATAATGTAGCTTATAATAATAATAATAATAAACCATTGGACAACTTTAATTTTTTAAATCGAAATTTTGTCATTGAATATTTATATGCAGGTTATTTTTCACGCACATGTGCAAATGATAGTAAGCATGGTGCAAAAAATACTTGGAATCTAAATTCTGAAGGATGTCCACAAGGTATTCAAGGAGATGACTGTACTACCTTTGAGCTTTGGAAAAAAAACTGTCAAAAGTAGGCACATGTGGCATGTAAATGTCCCTTTTTACAAATCAGAGGTTTCATTTAACTTTTTAGTCTTCATCTAGTCTACAAATTATAAATGGTGAACAGGAAGCCATTTATATCTTAAATTAAAAGTTGGATAACCAAATAACATTTAGTCTTTTTTTTTAGCATTTATTGGCATTATAATATTTCTAGTAAAAGTGTGTCTACTGTTATATAAATTTATACAAGTAGGCTTATGCATATACTTTTATGTAATGTCTATTTTATTTTATTTTTATATATGCTACTTTCTGCAGGTATGGTTTGCAAAATTGTAATGAACAGCTACAAGGAGTACAGTCTGGAAGGAAAACTATGGGAGAGATTTTAGCTGAACAGGAGAAGATAATAGCAGAAATAGCCAAACAGTATGCTGCAAGAAATGACAAGCACCGCAGTAGTTTCCAAGGATCTCAAGATAATGCTCCTGTATTCACTACTAGAGATGATTCTGGTCATCAAGGTGTTCAAGGTAAGGTTAATTTTTTCATTACAATGATAGTTAAATAATAGTTCAAAAGGAAATCAGAAGGGCTAGTAGCAGATAGCCTAAATGAATTACCTAAATAGCATAAAGGTACTGTGAAAACTTTCAATGACCAGTACCAGTAAATATGTCACACTTAACATTAATAAGTTACAGTTTTTATTGTAATAAAAATCACAATGATTATGACTTAGTTTAAACTTTCTATATTTTCTACATTTACAGTTAAAGCCATTTCTTTCAAGTATATCAGAAGCCTGTATTTCATGTTAAAGTTTTATTTTGATTCAGTTCATTTGTTTTATAAATATCATTTACAGAAAGCACCAAAAACGGCCATAGCAGTGACAGGCACCACAGTAGTGCCCAAGGAGCTCAGGACAGCAGCCCAGCCTTCTCTGACAACAAAGATTACCCAGGACCACAGGGTATCCAAGGTAGGATGAATAATTGTTTTGAAAAAAAAAAAGATATTGTACTTTTTTCGCACTTTATAATATTTGGTCTTTGGCTAAAAAAAAATTTTAAATCAAGTATTAATCAAGATGTGTGCACTAAAAATTACTACTTAAAATTCAAATTCATATAATAAAGAAAATTTGAACCATTAAAATCCTTTTTTTTTATGTTTATGTTGTTGTTGTTTCAGTCATATTATTTGATAACCCATAAAAACCAAAATTTGTTTGTAATCCTTTTTAGTTAATAAATGATTTAAATAAACTGAAATTTCCACATGGATCAATAATACTTGTTTAAAAAAATGTTTAAATTTTCTTTGTTTTTATGCACAATTTAAAAGTTTTCTTTTATTCATACAGGTACACAGCATGAGAAGAAACAATGTAATAAGTGTTTAAAGAAAAAATAAGTCGTCCAGTGCATGAGTCTGTAACCAGTGCAGACATAAAGTGAATAAATCTTGTGTATTCATTTTTTTATAATACTTTCATAGAATTATAAGTTAAAATAACTGGCAATAGAATTTACATTCAGACCAGTTGACGTTTTTTATATTGGCCTGAGTTATAATATTTAAATATTTATATTTTGAGTGTGTTGTTTCTTTTCACAGTTATATTCCCATAGAAGTATCTCCAAGCTTTTTTCACAGATTTATGTTACACTGAATTTCAGTTTTTTAAAGAAATCGTTAGGTGCTTTTATTTCAAGTAGCATTGTTGTATTTAATATATTAGAACTTCTTCACATTTTACAATAGGTGTTTTAAACACCAATTTTTGTTGCTGATATTACTGGCATTCTAATACAAATGCCTAAGGATGATAGATCTTACCAACACTTTTGTGCTTGGTTGTCCGTGTGTGATGTTGCTGTAAAGGGCAGGCTTTTAAAAAATTATTTTTCTGTACCTCGCCAAAGGTGAACAAATATAACAGAGGTGTTGTCATTCCTATATTGACAATATATATTGTGGTGTGTTTTTTTTTTAGATTTAAATTGTCACTGTCACAAGCCAAAATGTTTTACACATTAAGAAAAAAATAAAAATATAAGCCTAGTATTATGGTGCTTATGTAACTCATCTATTCTTGTTGTTTATTTATTTTTGTGTTATTTGTTAGAAAATTTTGTTTTGATGTTTTAAAACAGGCTTGCTCTTATGCTAAAAAGTTGAATATAGCCCACTTTTTTCTCCAAAGTAGTAATAAGAAACTGATACTTTTCCTGTGCTGTTATGTTCTCTTTGGAAAGTGAATTTTTAGAGTGGTAATGTTAGGACATTATTCCTATTGTTATAATAATGCCAACAGCCGTTATAGCTAATACTCATGGGAATTATTTAATTTGATATTAAGTGTATACAATATAGGCTTACCAGGTAACATGAGGTTGAATGAAAATGTACTATAGTAGGCTTTTGTCACCATTTAGATATTTGTTGTGACCTATTTTGAAATCATCATTAATTTATTAAACTTAAATTTAACATTAATTTAATTAATCATGGATATAATTTGTCTATATTGGATACATTCTTTTAAGAAATAAAATCATTTTGCTCTACAGTTTAAACAAAAGGTTTTTTTGTTTGTTTTTTGATGAAATAAAATATGATGCGTAAATGCGGATTTGTTCTCTTCAATTCAAGGAAAGCAATGTTTGGTGGGGTAAAACTCCTTTACCGGTGGGTGGATAGTCTAGATGTTTCACATTGGGTTATTTTCCTTTTAATAATTTATTTTCAAAAGTTTTTTTTTTTTTAATGTGCATCGTCACGGTATGAGAGAGGTTAGGAAAAAGTAGACCAAGGAAGAATAAACGCCAACTGTCTGTATCTATGCTATGTCATTGCTCTTAGAGTACATGTGCCCTTACAGTACATAGTACACATAGTAATAGTATTGTTTCGATTTATGTGCCAATGGTTTTTTAAAGAAGTTAAAAAACGTAACAATACAATCCTTAACTTCCGGGTCAAATTAGTGTTTGTTTTCGGTTTGAGACAATCACGCAACGAGTGAGTGTACTCTCAGTGTGAGTGTACGGTTATGTAACGGTAGCGGACTTAACTTGTCGACATTTAGATATAGATCTTCTCGATGACTGTGGTAGGCTATTTTGAAAAGATTTAGACTATTTATTTAGATTTAATAAAACCCAGGTAAACTTAAACGGTAATCTATCGTTTTGGGTACGTAAAATCGCCTGCGACTAGTAATGTGAAAAACAGGTGACTCCTTACATTTTAATAATTATTTCACATTTTGATGAGGATTTATGTTTTGAAAAATACAAAAATGTTTCCTTGTTTCATTTATTTATTGTTTTTAAACAATAAATTAAAACTTTTCAGTAATAGTTTTTAAATGAACACCAGTGATGTTTCCAACAGATGCAACCAGGCTCATTTACTATAGCAGCCATCTTGTTAAAGTTTTATTTTTATAGACTTAAAGCGCCAGATTCAGGCGGAAGTCACTATTTTACAAATGGCTGCTGTTTATATAGTATATAGCAAATATTGCTTGCAGACACTGCTGTTTAAAGTTGATTTCTGGCCGATATTGATATATTTAGCCATTGATTTGGGTTTATTATTCATTTATCTATAATATTTGACACAAACATATCACAATATACTTCTATTACAGCCTTGACAATGAGGTAACGTTTTCGTACATTAATAGCCGCGGGCGATTTTACGTACCCAAAACGATAGATTACCGTAGTCACTACTACTACTAACTACAGTTAGTAACAGTTGACTACACTCAGACTACCCTGACTTAACAGTACTTACACTACTTTCTACTTTCTACTAGTGACTAGACTACAGCTTTACTTTACACAAACAGTTGAGTGAGTGTATACTAGGTTAAATTATGGATTTTTTAAAATAAAATATTCTGTTATTTCAAATACACCATTAAGTTCCTTACCCCTTAAGAGAACATTTGACACCACATTTAAATATCTAGCTTACTCATACTCGGTTGACGAGAGAGAGAGAATTTGAAAATTAATCTAGAATGGAAAATGAACGTTAAAATCTCGTTCTTGCCCCTCGACCGGCATAACATGACGTCTTGGACTTGTGTACATGAGCTTTTAATTCCCGCCATGGTAATTGCGTCAGCTTAGGTTATTTACTCACTGGAAAATAACAAAAAGCAACTGGTTGATAATAAAACTAGATCTAGTTATTTTATTATTTATTAAATTCTACTCTACATGTTATTCATACCATTTTATGAAGTAATGAACACCTGCATAAATCAAATTACCATAATAAATATTTTTATTTCAAATTCTAATTTTAAATAATAAATATGCTTAAAATTAAAATAATATGATAGTAATAGTTATGATAATTTATAAATACATTTTACACTCAATTCACATTATATTGAGTCAACAGTGTGGCAGCTGAGTTTCATACATGTGTATACAGTTAATAGTAATACAGACACACTGTCTGTAGTGTAGTATACTATACACTATACTCATTATTCACTATACAGTCACAGTGTTGAGACTTGAGAGTAGTGTAGTAACGTAATGTAAACAAACAAGTTAGCCTACTGAAATTATTAGTTTTATTAGGCCTACTGGGAAAGAGGGCTCCGGTATTACTGTAAATCCCTAATAAATTTTTAATTAAAGTGTCATGCTGTAAACCACTGTCTAGTTTATTCTACTGTTGAACTAGGCCTGCCTAAAATAAATTTGAAAAAAAAAAACGTGAACATAATTTTTTTAAACTCTTAACTTTATTTTTAGTTTGTTAAAATATTAGGCCTATAATAATTTCAACATAATAAAAATATAAAATAAACACAGTGACTTCGTGGTATGTGGCCTGAGTTTGGGGACCGGGACGATCTGTCAGTAATTCAAAGGGTTGATTCTAAATATCATCCTAATATTTAATATAGCATCTAACATTTAGAAGGCTATCTCAAGTAACTTGGAAAGTTCAGGTTTTGTGATGATTTTATATTTTATTATAGATCTAGAGAATCTAGATGTTTTTAATAATATCATTAACTCCTCAGAATTTCAGAGCTTGCCATCAGATGGCATCCAAGCTATTACTAGGCTGCCATGTCAGACCTTCTGGGAATGTAGCTCTGAGATTGTTTTCAAGTGCTAAAAAATATCAGATCTTTATGAAAAGTTCTGTTTCTGCATTTCCATTCACAAATCTGAATAGTGTTCGTGGTAAGCACGTTTTATTCTCATTATACTTTTGTTGAGTTAATATTTTAAGACAAATATGAATGTGATTATTTGTTGGTATTTAGTTCCACAGCTATGTAGATACTTTACAGTAAATAATTGATAACAATTAGCCATGAGTTATGTAGATAATTGTTTAAATTTTGATTATTTTCTACAAGTCTCATAGTGTCATAGTTAAGGATGAACATGCTTACAAACAAGAAATCATCATTAATGTAAAATGCCTTGCAAGAAATATGTGTACCTTAATCTATTCAAGCATATCCTTTACAAATGGGAAAAACAAACAAAATAATTCAAATTTTTACTACATTTTATTTAAAACTGGATTTAGCTAGATCTTATATAAGTTCTATATGTTTTAATTCTGCTACTTATCTAGCCAGCTCTACAAAATCAGACAATGATTTAAATCTCACTCGCGATGCTTGCCCTCAAGGAATTCAAGGAGATGACTGTGTTACTTTTAAGCTCTGGCTGCGGAACTGTCAACGGTTTGTTTATATTATTTTTTTTTTCAGATACTCTCCTTAAGATTGGTTAAGTCATTTACATTTTTTAACAAGATATCAGATCATTTAGCTAGCCATATTGTCGGTGTCCTTTTTGGTGAAAGAACCAGACTTTTTAAATTGCTAAGGCTTAAGTCAAATATCTTTAGTTTTGAATCCAAAGATTAAAATGTTGAAATCTATTATTTAGCCATTTATAGATTTTAACATTTATTGCATACTTTACAATATGCTTTACAGAAAAAGACTATGCTGCAATAAAATTATATGCTACAATAACCTGTTTCGTTTTGTTTTTTATTAAAGAGAGAACTTTCTGCCCTCTCACAAGAGGCTTTAGGTTAAAATATAATGTTGTATGGTGGTTTCCTACAATTAAATAATATTATGAGATCCTTAAGTTGCCTTTACTTTGTATAGGCTTAATTATTTTAGGACATTATAGGTAATAAGCTATGTAATAATTTTTTTATTATATTCAATTTAAGATAAAGTAGAATATTATTAATTGTGTATTGTACATTTCTGTATCATTTATCTTACAGTTATGGCATTGAAAATTGTAATGAACAATTACAAGGCATACAGTCTGGAAGAAAAACTCTAGCTGAGGTAATGGCAGAGCAAGAAAAACTAATAGAAGATGTTGCAGAACATTACAGAGCTGCTCATAGGAAAAACCATCAACATAGCAGCATTCAGGGTTGCCAGGATAGCTATTCGTCATTGCCAGATAAAGATTTGCCTTGCCCTCAAGGAGTGCAAGGTTAGAGATTTTTAAAAATATGTGAGTGGCGGCTCATCATGGGTAGAAACTGTAATTATAGTTCTAGGTTGATTTTATTGTGTTGCTGAATTAATTTATGTTGAAAATGTTTATTATCATAACTTAATCCAACAACAGTTTTTAAAAACTGTGTCAAAAACATTTGTTCATACATGCTATTATATATATATATATATATATATATATATATATATATATATATATATATATATATATATATATATATATTTATTTATATATATTCTGAGACAACTCTGTGTGTGTATAGTGTCAGATACATTAGCTGAGATGTTTATTATAGCTGAATGCCCTAATCTTTTTTGTGGTGTTTTTACAACAGAATATAATGGAGTTTTAAAATTTTATACAACTTTGTGTGATATCAGTCGTTTATTTGCTCAGGTTTAGATTGTGCACAGTTCAAACTATGGCTTGAAAACTGCCATAGGTTTGGCCTACACAACTGCTTGGAGCAATACAAGAGCTTGAAAGATGGACAAAAAACTTTGGCTGAGGTTGGTTTATTTATTGGTTGTCATCTGATTCTCAAATAATATGTTGATATAATTGTAAAAAAAAAAATTTTTTATCCCGAGTACTTAGAAATGACATACAAGCAATCGAGATATACCCCAAATCCTTAGTACACTAAAGAGGCTCAAGTTCATAGTATATTATAATGGGTACCTGAGTGAAGCAAAGTAAATGCAGATGGGCATAGGAACAACTCCACTTTTATATGCTAAGGTTACAGATACAGATGAACTGAATGGAATGCCTGCTCTGAAAGGGTACTTAGGCCCATTGAGTAGAAGTTTTTAAGTGTCGGAAAATGGTGTGAATATTAAGCCTATATCTTTAATGCAATGACACCTTTATTAGATGTGTTAATTGTTACAAAAATATATCTGTTTTTGAAATCCTGTTAACTATTTCATTTATAAACAGCTTAACATAATTAACACTATCCCTTCATATGCAGAGTTAACAGAAACAGGTGGACTCTACTTCACTTGCCCCATATAATTAAATATACAAAATAAATGAATCAGAACTAGCAGCAAAAATTCCAAATATCTGAAAAAAAAAATGTTTCAATTTGAAGTAGAGATTATTTAGAAAGGAAAATCTAGAACTAAAGTTTTTAATACGTTGTTTTTAAATTTAAATGTTAAAAGAAAAAATTTCTCCCACAGATATTTTCAGAGCAGGATAAAGTGATCAGAGAGGCTGCCAGCTACGCTTATCAGATAAAAAAACAGCAGTTCAGGAAATACTCAACATCCAGTAGTAACTCAAGTAACATCCCACCAACAGAGGGCGCTGCAGATCCGCCTGGTCAGCTGACCCAGAAACAAAAACTGAAGAGAGCTGTGAAAGAATATGGCAGCACTGTCATTGTGTTCCATGTCACAATCTCGTTAATGTCACTGGGTTTTTTCTACTTGCTAGTTTCAAGGTAAACAGGGCTTTTTTTTTACCTGTTAGTTTCACGATAAATGGGGGCTCTTTTTACCTGATAGTTTCACTGTAAATGGGGGCTTTTTAACCTGGTAGTTTCAATGTAAATGGGGCTTTTTTTTACCTGATAGTTTTAAGGTAAATAAAGTTGTTTTTTTAACATAAAGTCTCAAGGTGACAGTAAAAAGGGAATATTAAATTTTTTAGTGCTAGGAATTTGTACTGTTGAGATTGATCAATCACAGCTAACTATTTTTTGTTTTGATTTAAAAAAAAAGAATTGTTAAAAATTGGTATGAATAGATTAACTAAATGGTTTTTAATTAATGGTTTGGAATCTTTTCAATTTTTAGAACTATTATAGTTTTAGCATTAAGTAACCTATTATTACACAATTTCGATCGATCACAGCTAACTATTTTTGTTTTGATTTTAAAAAAAGAATTGTTAAAAATTGTTATGAATAGAGTAACTAAATGGTTTTTAATTAATGGTTTGGAATCTTTTCAATTTTTAGAACTATTATAGTTTTAGCATTAAGTAACCTAGTATTACACAATTTTGATCGATCACAGCTAACTATTTTTTGTTTTGATTTTAAAAAAAGAATTGTTAAAAATTGGTATGAATATATTAACTAAATGGTTTTTAATTAATGGTTTGGAATCTTTTCAATTTTTAGAACTATTATAGTTTTAGTATTAAGTAACCTAGTATTACACAATTTTGATCGATCACAGCTAACTATTTTTTGTTTTGATTTTAAAAAAAGAATTGTTAAAAATTGGTATGAATAGATTAACTAAATGGTTTTTAATTAATGGTTTGGAATCTTTTTAATTTTTAGAACTATTATAGTTTTAGTATTAAGTAACCTAGTATTACACAATTTTGATCGATCACAGCTATTTTTTGTTTTGATTTTAAAAAAAGAATTGTTAAAAATTGGTATGAATAGATTAACTAAATGGTTTTTAATTAATGGTTTGGAATCTTGACAATTTTTAGAACTATTATAGTTTTAGTATTAAGTAAGCTAGTATTACACAATTTTGATCGACCACAGCTAACTATTTTTTGTTTTGATTTTTAAAAAAGAATTGTTAAAAATTGGTATGAATAGATTAACTAAATGGTTTTTAATTAATGGTTTGGAATCTTTTCAATTTTTAGAACTATTATACTTTTAGTATTAAGTAAGCTAGTATTACACAATACCTTATCAGAAAGAAACAACTTTGATTGAAGTGTCATTTAAATTTCTTGGTTTCTGTTTAGCTTTCATGTGTCAGAAACTTTTATTAATGCTTTGTTTTGATCGTTTCAGTTAATTTTACTACCTAGCTATCAGAGCATTATACCATCAATTCATTGAAATTACTTGGTTCATTTTTCAGTGGCATTGATGTGGTCGGCCTTCTGTCAAAACTGGGCGTTGGAGAGTCGCTCCTCCAGAACAAGTTAGCCGCAGGAACTGGGACTTTTGTTGTGGCATACGCCGTCCACAAGGTGTTTGCACCTGTGAGAATAGCCACCACACTAACAGCCACGCCTTTTATTGTTAGATATCTACGCCGTGTTGGATTCTTGAAAGTACCCAAGTCTTGAGGCACGGATTTCTCTCCCTTGTTGATTAACCAGAGTTATCTTGTGTTCAAATAATGAATGTACTGTGTGTAAAGAACAATGAGATTTGTTTGTTACATTTTCTGACCAGATAACAGAATGATGAGAAAACTTTATTAAAAACTTATTGTTATTGTATCCATGTTGATTAGGTTTATATAATCTATATACACATCACTTGCAGTAAAAAAAAAATACAACACAGTATCTATTCATTGTAGACTTTTGTTGATTAGTTACTGTATAACCTCGATTATACTGCAGTGTTATGAAGTGCATTAATTGAATAGTTAGTGATTAAGCATTATAAAACAGTCAAATTATTTATTAGTTTATGGAGGCATAAGGTGACCAGGACATCTTTGGGGCAAGGATTTAGATGTTTGGAATGGTCATTGATGTAAGTTCCTATTAGTTTAATTCCACCTTTTCTGGTGCCAAAAATTTCGTCTATAAAATTTTCTTTGTTTTGTAAATCATTTCTTATGAGGTGCTAGATGGTAATTTTTTATCTAATATCTAATAATTAATAGTCTGTAATCATGGCTTGTAGTTGAAACTAATACAGTATACTGAGACTTAGGCAATCAAATTGAGTTCAATGAAGAAGTGTTATTGAACATCAGATTAAAATAACGCTTGTTGGTTGCTCAAGTATTTGATTTGCTTATACTCAGTATTCTGTAGTGATCTTGTAATATCTTCAATAAATCCATGACGTATTGAAATATCACAATATTACTTTTTGAGGGTTTATAAAACAGGTATGTTGAAAATGCATTACTTTAGTGTGACTAAAATGGCTCATTTTATTTTAACCAGAAGCAAATCAAATTTTACTTTGCTAACCATTTTTCTTGTCAACAGCCAGGGTTACAGCCCTAAAGCTGTTGGCAGCCTAGTGCCATGGTACACCTTTCATTATTGCTTTTATTGATTGATATTTATTTATTTACAATTGAATTTTTTTTATTGTTGTTATACTTTACCTTTCTTTTTTAGTATACTGACAAGAAAATAGATCTTGTATTTTCTCTGATTACATTTTGATAGTTATTAACGAAAATAATTCAGACAGATAACCGTAGTATGTTATTATTAAGCATCTGTATCATTTAAAAGTTTTGTAAAGGATATTATCCCCTTTATATTTGTTATTTATAAAGTCCACATTTTAAGTTTTAAAATGTTGATACTATTACTAGACTATTTTTTAATAATAGTCAGAGAACGAATTTTGTCTCAACATATTTGAAAAGCTTCAGATTGTGTTTAATTTCACATCAAACTTTAGATTGTACACGTTTTAAGTATGCCTTGTGAATATCAGATTTTTCAGATGATTTCACTTTAAAAGATATTCACCAAAAATTGGTTGGTTTCAAAATAATAAATTTGAATACAAAAAGTGAGAAATACTACCCATTGTTTTTTTTTTCTTTTAGAAGGCAGTTTTTGATCTAACCCTAAAGGTTTGGTCAGTCAGTTTCAGGGGTTCGGCTGAGGTCAAGACACTTTTTATCAGTGCAGACGATAGAACTATTGAGAAGGGTTATGTGAATGTGCATTTGAATTGAAGCTCAAGTTCAAGCTTGAAGGTGGAACCCATCTTTGTGTCACATTTTCAAAATTCTCAGTAGTGAACAGGAATTTTGCTCAAAAGTTAGTCTTAAAAAATTAATGGGGGAAAATTGATGGGTAGAGTGTTTTAGTCAGTTAAATTGCTGGGAGGGGGGTGGGCGCATGTTGACAACAATGCATAGTTGTTTTGTTGTCGGGCCTTGGGGTTTACATAAATAACAGATTCGTCTTTTGAACAAAATTTAACTTAAGAACAAGTACACAAGAAAATATTTTTATTGACTGCACTCCGTCCCTGAACGATTTTTGTTTTATAAGGGGAAGTAAGAATATTATGGGTTTTATAGCAAAGGGAAACAACGCATAAAAGAAGAATATATACTTTATAATATTAAATTAGAAATATGCGTAAAGGAATAAAATTATTATTTTCTTGTAAAAAAATTACATAATATTTTTATTTTATATTTTTCATCAATATTGCTTTATCTTTTGTTTTGAAATTTTATGTATACCAAATGCATAAAATTCAACGCTTTAGCTTTCTATAATACAGTTTTGTAAATGAAGAATCTCCGTCGAGAGTCAAGCATACTTACCTGGCACAGGAGGCACCTTGATCAGCAAGGAGGTCCTCCCAGGGCGAGGCCTGCACATTGCACTTCGTGTGGGTTGACCCCTGCGATCACCCCAAATGTGGGTGACTCGGGTGCGTAATTTTTTCGTAGGGGGGACTGCGTTCGCGCTATCCCCTGATAAATAAATTGAAACAACTGGTAACGACTTGCAGCGTACGCTAGTAAAACTGAGTATGCTCTACGAAACCAATCCATTTGGGCAGCTACTACCAGTAACAGGTTGTATTAAAATTTCATTTTGCGCATTTTTCCGATGCGCAATTATTTTTTAATTGCGCTATTTTCCGTTGCGCATCTTTCTGGTCACCGAAATTAAAATCATCCTAATCTTGTTACTGCCTAGAAATGTACCTTTGGTCGTATAATATGTACAACACCCAAAAATCGACTGGCAACCATCCGGGAAGGTAGTAGGCCCTTATCGGAGACAAAACATACACCAGTTGCCAGTCAGGGGTTAAATAATGTCATGCAGCGGCATCAACTTAACGCTGTCACTTATCACATTCTCACACTAGTCTCGGCTCGGTGGCGTAGCATCCGCCGTGGGCCCATGGACATTGAAAGTTTGGGGGCCCTCTTAACACCGAGTCCCTGAGTCCTCCCAGCTCTGATGGGTACCTAACTCAAGTTAGGGAAAGTAAAGGTGGCTGGGCATAGTGCTGACCAGACTATCCCTTCATATGTCGAGGTCACAGAAACAGGTGAACTTTACTTCACTTGCCCCATAGACCGCCAGGTTTGAAAGGGAACTTTACTTTACTTTACTTAACACCGTACCGTGTATGCCAGCTATCAAAAATAGAGGAAATTTGTGACACTCATTACTATAGTTCTGTATAATATTTATTACGTCTTTTCAATTTTATTTTACTAAGTTATGTACAAAATTTCTTTTTGTTATTTATCTTTTCAATTTTATTTTACTAAGTTATGTATAAAATTTCTTTTTGTTATTTATTGTACAGCCCATTTTAGGCCTCTTGTAAAATTAAATATACGAGCCGGCCCGCGGCATAACATACGCCGCTATTTAGTTGTTTTATCTTCTACTTGTCAGTAATTCATAATGTGTGAATTCGGCAGTATCAACGCTGCCACTGAAAATATTTCTTTAAAACACTATATTATATAGACTATAAGTAGCTCGTTAAGGACGATAACCCCCTCCCCCTCCGTTAAAGTAAACTCCACTTAGTTAACCCCCCCCCCCCCTTACGTTTAAAATCGTTTCAAACTAAATTTTCTGCCCCTAATAGTCGTCACTAAACCCGGCTCTGCTTGTAAACATTTAGCGTGAACCACAGCTCACCAGACCATGTAGGTGTGGGGGTGGTAGGGAGCGCGCTTACAGCTTGTTTTCTAGCGTCTCCAAGAAGAGAATTATATATATAGATAATTATATTAGGCCTAAACTATTAAAATCATGACGCAAGCTAACAGAAACTAAATTATTATAAAAGTGCAAAATGCACATAACCTACATCTAAATTGTACACATCGTTAAAAACTGGAAAGTTTTCAAAATACCCAGAGGCGTAGCGAGGGGCGGGGGGGACATATGTCCCCGGGCGCCGACCTTAGGGGGGCGCCAAATTGAAAGTTCGAGGGGGGGTGCAAATCGAAAGTTTGAGGGGGGGTGCAAATGAAAAGTTCGAGGGGGGGGTGCAAATCGAAAGTTTGAGGGGGGGGGGGGGTTGCAAATGAAAAGTTCGAGGGGGGGGGAGTGCAAATCGAAAATTTGCTCCCGAGGGGGGGCGCCAAATTGAAAGTAAGTCCCCGGGCGCCGGGAAGGGTCGCTACGCCTCTGAAAATACCTAACCTTCTCCTAGTTCGATTTAACGGCATAATCACCTTTAAATAAATTGGCTATAACCAGCGTTTCTTCCAGACTTTTTTCTCCGGGGGGGGGGGGGGGGGGCACTTGAAATTTTCGGGGGGGGGGTAGACTAAAAAGTATATATTTTCTATATAAATTATATAAATTTCATTTCGTTCGGGGGGGGGGGGCGGTAAAAAATTTTCGAGATGCCTGGAAGAAACTCTGGCTATAACACATTTCTTTCCAATACTCGTGATTTAAAAATAATCAAAGAAAATAATAAGTTGTTTTAAGGGCGCGATTTATTTACTTAATCTGCCAGGAGGCCTTCGGATCTCGGGGGGAGGGGGGAGGGGGGGGGAGGTGCGTGGACTTTGTCCACCTTGTTTACATGGTTGTTACGCCACTTACTAGCCTTATAATCAACCCGAGAGTTCATAGTCTACGATAAGCTTAACAAACGTACCACATGCGCCCATAATTCAATCTTAGAGGCGTCGTCAAGCAGAGGCGTCGCGAATCGGGAACTGGGGGTGCGGACCGCACCGGGTGACACCAATTGGGGGGGGGGGGCGATGACACCACGACAACAAAAAAATAATTATATGTAGAAGAAAATGTTTTTGCTAGTTCAATTGAAAATTATAGTTAAAAAGTATTTTATGTACAAATTGACGATCCCAACATATTGAGGGGGGGGGGGGGTGAGACCATGACATAAACATGTTAACTAGAGAGAAAACACAATACTACGTCCATCTATATTAATAACCGACTATGCAAAAACAACGTTACTATTAACTTTGCACACTTTAAAGCTGTCCCTCCTAGAGGTGGCGGTGTGACAACAACTGCTAAATTCACAGAGGAAATAAAAGTTTAGTTGAATATTTTCAATAACTTATAAGTCAGCCAATAAAAGGGGTGGGATGACACCATAAGGGGGGGGGGGTCAATATTTTCTAGGGTGGGGCGGATATAACTTCCGTTTCGATCGGGGGGAGCCAACCCCCCCCCCCCCCCCCAAGAGATGCCTGGAAGAAACTCTGGATAGATGCGGAAAGTTTTGGGCTTTTTAAAAGCAATGTTAACTCTTACATTTTCAGCTAGGCGACTTAACATTTTTACCCCCACTGAGATAGGCCACGTTTACTTTTTTTTTCCGAAAATCTGCCTAAAGCCTCACAAATGTCAAACCTTGCCCAAATGAAAGTTAGAAAAATTCGCTAAAAACCAAATCCTGCCCAAATATGCCGAAGCAGAAGTCGGGTACTTCAGTGATTTAGTCGGCAACACGAAGTGCGTGGATAAGTTGCGTTTAATCATTTGTTTTGTGTTATTTAAAAAATATGTCTTGAGCCCACCACACGTTATTGAAGTCAGAACTCTCTCTCAGTAGTGCAGGACAAAAGACCGATATCCAAAAGGCCGACATGTACAAAAGACCGACACGGGCGGGAAGGGCCGACACCATTAAAGTCGACTGGATATAAGGCCGGCAAACATAAAAATCCTAATACGCAAATTATTGTTTACTTCATAGCTCCTCTCTAGACAACCCACAAATAATAAAGTCAAAGGTCTCCGGCATCACATGTTTAAGGCGGAACGTTCAAGAAAAGTGACGGTGCTAGTTGCTATCCGTAGATGGTAAAAATCGGGTCCTTGAGATGACACAAACGATCAACAACATGGGTTACTAATGTCTGGCATAATCAACCTGCTTTAATGTTTGTGAAGAACAAAACGAGCTTTATACTAGCTTCATTTTATCACTAAAACTACTTTAACTGAGAAACCTGACAGCAAAACCACACTTGAATTTTTACGTGGTAAAACACACAATTTATTTTACCTGGCGCTATTTTTTCTATGTTGTACTTTAACTTCCTTATTATGTAACTTGATTTTAATAAACACTAAACACTTTTGAAATTGGAGTTTGTTGTTTTATAAAAATTTGTCGACATTATGACTGATGTTCGGTCGGCTTATTTATGTCGGCCATACGGTCTATCGGCCTTATGGTATGTCGGCTTATTGTCCTGTCGGCCTTCATTTGTCGGTCTTTTAGTTGTCGACCTTTTTTCCTGTCGGTATTTTGGCTTGTCGGCCTTTTGTCCTTGTCAGACTTTTATCCGGATCCCCTCTCTGACGAACCCTTACTTGCTGAGGCAACATCTCTAATTGTTGGGTTACGGTTTAGGTTTATTTATATTATTTAGGCTTAGGGAGATACTATGAACAAGCATAGATAGTGGTTATGTTGGCTACATTATTTATTTTAAAAACAAAAATAAAAAACATTTGTTGCTTTATAAATCTGGGTCTAATAGCCTAGTTTTTTGGTTACCATTGTTTATTAACCTAAAATTTACGTGGAAATTTGGAACGAAACGAAACGCTCCTTTTTCATAAGCATGGCTACCCCACTTGAACAAATTTTGGCGCGGCTTCTTGAGCCTGATAACGACGTTATTCAAAAGGTATTTCAATTTTGAAGATATTAGCAGTATATTCTTTAAATTACCCTTTGTTAAAAAAACGTGAGGATTTTGTCTAGTCTTACAAATAGCGATTATTTCACTCGGTCTCAACAGCAGTGAAGAACCGACCTTCCTTCAGAAATTTTCTTCCCCTTTTCCTTTTTTTCTTTTCCAGTTCTTACACCCTGCCTCGCATGCTCACTAGATCTAGATTTCTAGATTATAGAATAGATTCTGTTTCTTTGATATCGATTTTTTGACAAAAATGTATTCTAATTTTCGCTAATAGGCCCAACTTATAATAATAATATAATACTGGCGTAACAGATCAAATCAAATGGGGCCTGTGGACATAACTGTTACTACTGTTTAGTTAGTCTCATATAAATTCAATTTTCTTCAAATTATAAAAAAAATAGCATATAATTGTAGAGCTTTAAAAATGCAATCCAACAGTATCAATTTTATTAATTTAGCATAATCGGTTGATTAAATATAATTTTTTTAGTGTCGCAAATAAAATATATAGTATTATATAGAAACGCGACCAAAAACGCAGGTAAAAAGTCAAATTCACTTGTTTTAAAGCTAGTAAGCAAGAAAAGACATGATTCTTTCTTACTATTGAAATCAGTTTGCCTATACCTACATTTTTTTACACCAAGGTGAAAGTAAATAGTTTATATAAATTTATAAAATGCCATTTATATAATTTATTGTATGTTTTGTGATGAATTTTCATTGGAAAATACCGCATTTGGAAGCAGAAAGGTAAATTCTACAGAACAGATGTTGTTAGGAATGTTATAGATTATAGATCTAGGCCTATATCAAAATGTTTGTTTAATAAAATTCAATTAGAGTCCACCCATTTCTGATGGGTACCTGATATACATTGGGGAAATTAAAGGTAAAAAGTAAAGGCGGCTGTGAATATCGCTGACCACACGGACAATCACTTCATATGCCGAGGTCAAGAAACATGAACTCTACTTCATCTGCCAAATAGATTGCTTTGACTACAGAGGAATCTTAATTAATGTTTACAGGGGCCTAATAAAATTGAGTTATGTTTGTAAAAACATTAGGCCTAAGCTTTAAAAACTTATTTTGGTCAATATCGGAAAAAAAAATCTTTTCGACTAAATGGGTTGAAAAAAGCTTTGAATTTGTTTCATTGTTTGTTATTATATCTTGTAGTATTTAGAATTGAAGCTTTCTTTCTTAATTACAAGTTGTATTAATTTCAAACCTTAATGTAATTTCTTTTTAATTCAGTATTAGCCTAAATGTAAGGTAGGCTACAGAATTCAGATATTACCTATGGTTTTGTGGTTTTATATGTTTATAACATTTGTGTTTATGAAATGACCTAATGAAGTTATCAAGCAAACTGTTTTATTATTATTTTAATAGGCCTGCAAGTTATAAGTACAAAATATAGATATCTAATCACTAGATCTAGGTCTAAGTTTAAGAAAAAACTACCAAAAGGGTTTGAAATACTTAAATATAGTACTAAAAGTAGCTATGTTTTGAAAAAAAAATATCTTAAACTGGAGACATTGAATTTAAAAGTCATTATAAAAACTCCACGATCTAGAATCTAGATTTATTTCTAGATCTCTAGATCTAGTAGGAATACAGATTTAGAGGCTTTCCCATCAGTATCAATGTACTATCTTAGCTATGTGGGAGGTCAGTACGAGTTCACTGGGAAAAAAATCGGATCTGCCGTAGGGGGGTGGGTTTAGTGCGCAAATGCTCCTGACCGATTGCCAAAAGGTACAGAAATTCTAAAGATACATTTTAAAAGAAAAATGGACAGCTGAACTGCAGTTATCAAAATATCTGTGTAAGTAGAAGTATAAATAATAATATTTTACACAAATATAGCTGTCTTTTGCTAAATTTAGCTCAATTTCCACGAAAATCGCATCCGGTCGCAATAATTTTTATATCAGCTTGTCAGCCATTCAACGATCTATCACGTGTAGCAGACGCCAAACAGATTTACCCGTATGGTATTGCGCGAATGCTATTTTTAGCAACAGTGCCGAGACGCGATCGAAAAAAACGAACTAGAAAGTGGCCATAAAAAAGCGGGTCAGGGAGGTAATTCAACTCGCGTTATGAGACTAGCTATACTGTTAGTGTTACTCAGTTACTGATATGACTGTCAGTGATTGACCGTGACGACACTGAACCTCTTTCACCTGGGGCATTTGCAGGTTGTTGGGGTAGGGGTGGAAACACCAGGCGTAAGGGCCCACTGTCTTTTTAATACCCTTGGGCCCCTGGCTATCTTTTATCCCACTCGGGGGGGGGGGGCATGGGTCCACCTTCAATCACCTTGTTTAGTTGTTACAAGTTACATGGTTAAAAATGCCACGGGTAATAAGTTAGACAACTTTCATCAAAGGATGGTGAATGCAGCCTATATTTAATATCGAAGTGTCTACTCGGAAGAAGATTTTTTCTCCCCAACGTCTCCATTTAGTCGGCAAAAGATAGTTCTGCGCATGCGCAGTGACCTATGGCTAGGGTTAGGGCTAGAATGAGGGTTAGGGTTAGGGATAGGATTAGGGCTAGGGTTAGGGATAGGGTTAAGGATAGGATTAGGGTTGGTGTTAGGGTTCTGCGGTTGTAAACACACGCATGCGCAGTACCATAGAAAACATCGCCGCTAAGGCAAGTCGTAGTTTCTCTCCATTGCGCATGCGTATCGCATGCGTATCTTATTCCGACTAGAATCGGCCATTTAATATTATATATAGATCTAGATTACTATAGGCCTTGGCATATAGGCCTATAGACTATAGATCTATATTAAAATAATCATTCACTCATCAACACTACAACACTGACACAGAACAGCCTTCTGAAGATGGCCAGCCCTTTTACTTTTCTATTAGTATTGCTCACTGGCTATTAGATTTCTATAGAAATCTTCTAGATTCTATACCTGTAGTTTAACACAATGAGAATAAAATGCATTTCGGTGTAGGCTAACTGCTACTCAGTAATTCATTAGGCTACTTTACTTAGTAGATATTCTCGCTAAATCTGAAATTTTCTCACTAATTTTGAGGTTTTTAGGTAGTTTTAAACTAAATTAATTAATTTAATATTTTTCACTCACTGCCATGGTACAGCACACCTCTCCATTACAACCATCTTATGTTTGTGGCCACGACAAACCACAAATCGGTTCAACTTTTTAACTGGCTATGATCCAGAGTTCCTCACTAGTGATAATCCAAATAGGGGTCACATGGTTTTAAAAAAATGGTTGTGATATGAATGCTGGTCTTAAAAAAAACAGCTCACAATATTTGATTTCTGATAAAACTAATAATGCTTCACCTATTCGCTCATTTTTGTATTATATTATTCTCCATTTAACAGTAGGCAGTAATATTTTAATATTAATTTTTAGCTTAAGCATAACCTAATTACTTGAGTAAAAAGATATCATAGGTCCACTCGACTTTATTAAATATTTCATAAAGAATTTCAATTTATGAAGCATTCTTGTTTGTGTAGGCTACTCTTGATTTGAAGGAAGCATTCAAAGACCCATCCACACTTACAGCACTATGCCAGATACTTGGGACATCTCCTCAACCTCAGGTAAAATTTACCTGTAATTTACTTATGCTACTTACCATTGTCACAAAATCAAATTTTTTCACTTGTATCTACATTGTTTAAATTTGTAATTTTGTAGGACTTTCTATATTGCTTAGGATGAACTTTATATTCTTTTTAAGGTATGGATTAATATTTTTATTTCCATCATAAATAATTCAAAGGATGTATATTAATATAAGTAAAGTGGCCTTTCAGACCATAGATTCCATACAGCATTTTATATAAATAAAATTTCCTTTTTTTTTAGATCCGCCATTATGCAGCTGTTTTGATCAGACGTAAGATTCATAAGTCCAAGCAATGGGCTGCGCTGAGCAATGAGTTTAAAGACAGGTATTTGATGCTGATTGTCAATTTATTTGCCTGTAAATAAATATTAAATAAAAAAATGTAATAAAATAATAATTTTTTTTTACATTTAACAATGGGTAGGGCCTACTCAAATAAAATGAATTTGAACTTTTAAATTTCTATTTACAGCATCAGAGGTAACATACTTCAGCTGCTGGTCCAAGAACAAGAGTAAGCACATTAAGTTTTAATATGAGATGTAGATTTTTAAAAAAAATTTTTTTTTAGTGATCGTATTAGTAACTTTATTTTTTTTTTTTTAAATGTATGTAATTCTATTGTAGTAGGCCTTACCTTGTATACGATGTAACATTAAAATGTTAAACTACCTTTTAAAATAGTAAAAGTGCAAGGTCTGCTATAGGCATGATAGTTGGTGTCATAGCACGTCTTGATACACCAAGCAATAGATGGCCTGCTCTGTTTGAGTTCCTTGTTACCTTTACTAAAGATGAGGATCCTGTCAAGAGAGAGGTGAGAGTATTTTTTTTACCTGTAAACCCAATCTTTTCACTCACAAAAATTGATTTGTTGTACTCATGTCCCATAGCTTTTATTTGTGTTGTTTGTACTATTATTTTTTTAATGCTGCAAAGTATTTTTTTTATATAAGAATTGATTGAAGTTAACGTTTTTTAACTTTTAGTGTCACAAGTATGTTGCTATTCTACTCTTACACTTTGTTTTATTTTTACATATAATTTTTGAAAACCTGTTGAAATTGTGTATAAAAATGAAAATTTCTTTTTTTAAAAAAACATTACAAATTTACATCACTCAACAGTATAAACAGTAGATTAGAATGTCAGATCTAACATTAGTATCTAGATTTAAACTGATTTTAATTGCTTAAAACATGTTGAATTTTTTTTTTTTGTAGGTTGGAATGTATGTTTTGTCAACTGTCACGTCCATTGCTGCAGAACAAATGAAGCCTCACATGGTCTCTCTCTTGACACTCCTTGCTGAAGCTCTTAATGACAAAGCTAACATTCAAGTCTGTTATCTTGCAATCAAGTGAGTTTTTGAAGATTTTCAAGACAATTTTCCAACCTAGTTACACAATTTTTATTAGTTTGGTTCATATGTAGAATGTTTTCAAATTTTTACTAACAATTACGAACGAAAAATATTTCTAAGTTCATTAATATATCTTACTACCACATACCTGCCCCAATTTAATGCCTTTTGTGACCTTAACAGTATACACATTTTTAGTTGTAAATGTGTTATATGGTTTAAAAATATGGTTTATTTTTACTTTTTTGTACCACAGGTCTATGACTGATTTGGTGTTTTACATAGGAGATGCTGAAATGGTTAGTTTAAACTGTCTGTAATATTAGCTTCACCAGTTAAGGCATTTTAAACAAGGTTTAGTGTTTGTTGACCAGTATTACAATAATTGTATGATTCTAGCATGTTGCTGTTAATTTAAGTAAGTGCGTAACATGCATTTTCAGTATATTGATTGAGTGTTGTAATTAAATTAAAGTAACAAACATTTTAGTTAAATTCACTGAAAATAAAAAGAAATTGTGAGATTATTTTATTCACTCAGGTAGTTCAGTCTGTGATGTTTATGCTCTGTTTAGTAGGTTTTATGTAAAATAATTTTAAAACAATTTTTTTTTTCAGAAATATGTGCAGAATGTTGTCCCTAGAGTTCTAGAAGTAGTACAGGCATTGGCTGCCTCAGATGAGGTAATGAGAGGTTTACAAGCAATCATAGAAAATTGTCAAAAACATATTTCCTTAAGGGAATTTACAATAGCTTTGTTTAGCTTCATTTTGATCAACAGTTTTAATTATAGGAGTTTAAGATTAATACTCTTTGGTGGCTGTTACAGAGAGATTTAGAAGCCAGTTGTAATATGAAAGATAAAAAAATTTATTCATGTTTAAATTCAGATATTATAAAGAACTTGGGTAACATTTTTTTTTTAGGAAAAGGCTTGTGTTGCGCTGGAGTTCTTTGATGAACTGCTTGAATCAGAAGTTGCCATCATTGTTCCTCACCTGAAACCTTTGGTGCAATATTGTCTCCAGGTAATGGTGATACATATTGCATTGATGTGACTTAAATTAATACTTTTCCCTTTTGATTTTGACTTGTTTGTTAAAAGTATTAGTTGTTTTTTTTTTTTGTTGGGAAATTGAATTTTAATGGAGATGATAAAAATGAAAAACCCAATAGTTTTACAATTATATTTCTTGCTGTAGACATAAAGTCTACTGACAAATTGCACAGCTTGGAATTTTAGGGAATATGAGGCTTCAAGAAATTGCAAATCATTAAAAGGCAGTTGGATTTTTTAATGACTTCAATGTTGAGCAATTATTTCACTATTAAAATACATTTTTAGTTGGGTATATTTTGTTGATAACATTTTGTGATATTTGTATTGATATGAATGTTTTGGGTGTAAGCAGCTTTACAAGGTTCTTGTAATGGTGATGGTCTGAAAAATATTTCAACTTTTTATTTTTTCTTTGGCCATTAATTTGACATTAAATACTTGAAAGCTACCATCATTAATTTCAGATAGCAAAGAACAAAGACTACACTGACTCCTTGCGAGTTAAGGCCATGTCGTTTGTTGCTTCTCTTATTCGACTTAAAAAGAAGGTAAGTTTTCAACACATTCAATATATATTTTTAAAAACAGCTATCTGTGTGTATTTAATTTAAATGAATACACTTTTTTTCATTTGAGGATATGTTTTGATATAAATTTCTTTTACTAAATTGATAATTTTAAACATTTCAAAAACTTTAAAAAATGTCTTTCTATTAAAGACTGTGATCAAGCACCACTTAGTTGACCCCATCCTGCAAGTTTTATTTCCCATTATCTGTGATGATGAAGAGGAGGAAGATGATGGTGAGGAGGAGGAAGAGGTTCACAGTCCATCTCAATATGCTGTTCAGGTCAGTTGCTCTTTTAATTGGTTTAAAATTAAACGACCATATTTTTCAAATTTATTAAATAAATTATGGTAATTCTTCAGCTATTTTATCAGAGAAGAAAAAAAGCCCTACATTCAAACTTTTTAAAAAAATATTCAAATTTAAAATTACAAATTCAGAGTCTATTATTGGTTTGTCGCTTAACAGTAATTTATGTTGTTATCAAAAATAAAAAAATTTATAAATAAAATATAAAACTACTTCAGTGTTTTTTTGTAAACTTATTCTTCACCACGTAACTTGTTTGAATTGTTTTTATCTAAACCCTAAACAGAATTACAAAAATAATCCGCATTTACACATTTTTTTTTACAGGTTATTGACACAATGGCACTACATCTGCCACCTGAGAAATTTTTAAGCAAAGTGGTAAGTTCACTGGGTTTTTCTGATGATTTAAGTTTTTGCAAGCTGATATACAAGAGGTACAAACCATATTTAAACTGAATCTTAAGTTCGCTTTTTTTTTTTAAAGTTTTAAAATCGAGGAACAAGAAATTTTGTATAAAATTAGAGCATAACACGTCTTGATTTTCATTTACCATTACTGTAAATTATCTTTAAGTCACCCGTGTATAATTGTATAGCACCATGTGAGATTCTAACATGTTTATAGACGCCCATGGTGGAGACTTGTTTGAAGAGCGCAGCAGCCTCCCACAGAAGAGCTGCTTACCTGGTGATGGCTGTCATTGTGGAAGGTTGTGGTGACTATGTTATGAACAAGTAAGCTTTTGGTTTCTTCTTCTTTTTTTTTTGACGTTTTAGTTCTGGTGATAATGTTTAAAAGTAGTCGAAATTTAACAGTGATTTATAGCACAAAGATATGGGGCTACCTAGCCTTATTTTTTAAAATGGTATTAGATCTTACGCTTAATGCTCAATACTGTTCAGCCAACAGTCATGAGAGTACCAGATCAGTCATGCACTATTTTAAAATGTTTTTTTGTTGAATGTTGTAGATAAACTTTAACAGTGATTTATAACATATATAGGGCTCTTACGTGACTATCAGGCTTTAGTATTTTTTTATTGCTACTTTAGACCTTACCCATACAGCTTAATATAGTCCTGCCAGCAAGTATCAGAATTAGTTCAGTCATGCACTATCAACTTGTATTATGTAACTTTATTGACTATTGTAGAATGCTGGCACAAATGCTGCATACTGTGTGCCAAGGTTTGAATGACCCCTCCCACATTGTTAGGAATGCTGCACTTTTTGCTGTGGGACAGTTCTCTGAGCACCTTCAGGTAAAGTGATGTAGTACTTTTTAATAAGCTTGTTGGCTTTTGTTAGAGAAGTAAAAAAACAAACTTTTTTGAAATCTTTAAATATTCTTATATTAGATGACGTTGGTTTCCTAAAATTGTCTTATTTTAAAAGTTTTTGTTGGTCTTTTTTTAAAGCGAACTACTTAAATTAGTCAAGTATATAACTAACACTTTTAGTGTTTTTAAAAAATGTTTTAAATTGTTTTGTACTTTCAGCCTGATATTAGCAACTATGCAAACGAGTTGCTTCCCATATTATTCCAATACTTGAATAAATCAATGGAGGAAGCAGATAAGAATCCTAAAGGTGTCATCAAAAGTCACTATGCCTTGGAGATGTTCTGTGAAAATCTAGGTGAGTGTCTTGTCAACAGTCATGACATAATGTTGGCAGTGTAACGCACTACATTTTATCTTAATTTTTTAACCTGTTTGTGATGAAGCTTAATAAATTGTAATAGAAAGGGCCATTTATTTATTTTGTGTATGCAATTTCCATGTTAGTGAAATTGTTTTTTTTTCTTTTAGGTGTTGGCATTTTGCCCTACTTGTCGGACTTGATGAATTATCTTATGAATGTTGTCAGAAATTGTAACCTTTACAAACCAAAAGAACTGGCTATTAGTGCAATAGGAGCTGCAGGTAAAAGACAATCCATTTGTTTTTATTTTTAAATAATAATAAATTGAGATTTCAACTTAAATATAGACTTAAAAATATAATTTTTCAAATGTTTTAAACATATTTTTAAAAAATGTTTACTGGTTTTCTATTTTGAGTGAACTCAAATTTTGAAATTAATTTTTACAGCTAATGCTGCGAAAGAAGATATGAAGCCATACTTTAAAGATATTTTAGAGATGTTCAAAGTGTATCTCACAGTTAGCAATAATGTTGACGAGGAGACTAAAAAGTTACAGTTAGCCGCAATTGGTAAGTTTTAGTAATGCAATGCAACAGTTATATTTCATCATGTGCTGTCTATGAAGCATGATAAAATAGTGACTTCTGGCTTTTGTTCAGGTTGTTAAAATAACATGGTTGTAATTGTAAAAGCATTATTTTTGTCTTTAGGGGAATTGTTAGATAATTTGTAAAAAAAAAAAAATTATTTGTACTGTGGTTTGGCTTAGTCACCCAAATATGTGGTTTTAGTTTACCATATGTTATAAGGGATCACTTTAGTTTTTCTTCCCACCTGACTTTAGTGTAATTTACTTGATTAAAGGCTAATGCTAAATTTTAAAATACCACCTGCAGTAACACAAAAAATAATCCAGTCTAATTGAAAGATAGAATGTATTTGCATACTTAAAAAGCTAAGTTCTACACCACCACTGTAACCAAGATAATATTGGGTCTATCTAACAAATGGTACCTGACATGATGATTTTAAAATTTTTTATTTTGATAAATTAGCTAGAGGTAATTTTAAAAAAATACACTTTCAGATACCTTGGCTGTTTTTGCTCGAAGTATAGGGGAGGAAACTTTCCGTCCTTTAGCCACTGAATGCATACAGCTGGGTCTCAACCTCCTCAACAATACCACAGATCCAGATCTTCGAAGATGTGTGTAAGTAGTTCTTGGCACCTAGGGCGTCAGGGTTGGTTTTTTCTTCACAAGCCCAGTTTTTACATACTATTTCTTGTAAGCTCAATGTAAATGTAATTCAGCAAGGTATTTTGCTATAAATGCATAGAACTTTTTAAAACCTCTTTGTGTTAATTGATGATTTCAGATATAGTTTGTTTGCTGCAATCTCCACTGTACTTAAAGAAGAGATGGGGAAATACTTAGATGCTATTGTCAACTTTATGGTGTCTTCTATGAAATCTACTGAAGGCATTAAGGTAAGCAATGTGCAGTATTTTTTGTATTTCATAAATTCAAATACATTTTTCATTGCATCTGTTTCTAATGGGGGTTATTCTATCTACATTGCACAGGCGCATTACAAATCTGATGCAGAGGCAGTGACCGTGTTTGATGAGGATGAGTTCAATGATGATGAGAATCTTGAATATGATGATGCTGATGATGAAGAAGAAAACTACAAACTTGAAGGGTAAGTTTAAAACTGGCTTACCTTGATCTCCTCAAATTTCAGGAAATCCCTTAAATGTTCTTAACTTTAGTCATGCCATAAATATTAATGTTGGTAAAGCATGCATGGCTGTTTACTTGGCTATATATTTTTTTAATTTTATGACCAACCCCTTTTTTAAAAAAAATACAGGTTTTTTAAAAAAAATTACTTTTATAATAACTTTTTACTTTTGAAATTTTTAAATTTCCTGACAGGATCTCAGTAGAGAATGCTTACCTTGATGAGAAAGAGGACGCATGTTGTGCATTGGGAGAAGTAGCCCTTAACACTGGGTAGGTTGGACTTAACATTTTAGCTTTATATGTTGTGCTTTACCCGCTTTTGTTTTGTACCAATATAGTGTTAGTTAGCCAGCACCATCGCAATTATGGGTTTTTCTTTCATTCTACCATGCGGCATATATTTTTTGTTATAATCACTAGTCTATACAGGATTGATCTTTGTTGTCTGTTAGTTGGCATTTGTTAATGGGTATGAATTCTTGGCTAACTGTTCAAATAAAATTTCATCTTGGTTAAAATATCTATTTGCATTTTATTATTTGTCTGTAAAATCTAGAAATAACTTAACCAGCATCTGTCACAGTAATCTTATATGTGTTATTATTTAAATTAAAACAGTGATTCTAAATATTTGTCATTAAAACTGACTTTTCAACTTGCAGGAAAGCTTTCCTCCCCTATCTCCAGTCATCCTACAATGAAGTCTTGGATCTTGTTGCCTATCCAGCTGTAGGGATTAAAAAGGGTGCTTTCTCAACACTGGGACAGTTGTGTTTATGTGTTCATAACTCTTTTAAAGAAACCAACTCAGAAGATGCATTAACTGGTAGGCACACATTTTGAATATGTTAAACCGTTAACCATTTCTTTTTGTTTTTATGAGTTATCCAACACTTTTTCTATAACTGTTTTTATGAGTTATTGAGTTATTGCTTTAACTTTCCCATTCTAGTTAACTAAAACAAACCACAATATTTATTGTTGCTATCATCAACTTTGTAGATTATACACCTTAGGTAAAAGTAAATAAGTAAGGATTTCTCTTTAGATCTAGCAATCCATTTGGCAAATGAAGTAGAGTTCATGTTTTTCTTGACCTCTGCATGTGAAGTTAGGTATGGTAAGCACTTTGCCCAGCCGCCTTTACTTTCCCTAACGTGAGTTAGGTACCCATCAGAGCTGGGTAGACTCAGGGACGTTCAACTGGCTTGGACCCGGATTTGAGACTTTCGGGTTGGCAGCCTAGCACATACACCTTATGTAGAGGCTACATATTCCCTTCCATACAGAATGTGTTAATCTTTTCCAGGACTTATAACTCATCTTTTGTACTTGTCAATCCACTTAAACTGGATTACCATTTGAGCCATCAGTTATTTTTTTTTTATATAGCTGTTGTATCTAGAATACTAACCTGTTCATAACCCCTCTCTGCAGCTTTAAAGATGATGATCGTGGGGGTTGTGCCCAAGTACCTGGAGGCAATCAAAACAGAAGTTGACCGCACAGTGGTGATGACAGCTGTTGATGCCCTGCAGGAGCTGTTGGATAAAATTGGCCAGCTAGTCCTCTCAATCACTGGAGCAGCTGATGCTATCCTCTCCGCAATGAAGGAAATTTTTACCCACAAGGTAGGATTGATTTTTATTAAAGCACTTTAAAATTTTGCTATATTAATAGTAGGCCTATGTACTTTGTTTTTATTTTAAAAATTGAAGAATAAGACTTGTTTTTGTATCATGAGATTTGAAATAAGGTCATTTAAAATTATATAAACCTTTAAAGTTATTTTTAAAATTACTGTTTAATAAATATTTCTAGATTGTTAATTTAATAATTATGCTAACAAAAATTAAAATAAATTTTTCTAAATTTTTTATTCCCTATTCTTCAGGTAGCTTGCCAGGATCAGGAAGATGATGGTGAAGATGAAACAGAAGCAGAGTTTGACAGCATGCTCATTGAGTCTGCAGGAGATGTACTTCCTGTCATGGCAAGAATCATGGGCGGTGACAATTTCCTACCATTTTTTACCTCTTTCGTTCAAGACTTGCTCAAGAGACTAGTAAGCATCATACTTCATCTTTACTTCTAAAAACATTTGTATAATTAACTTTTGTTTATAATTGATTTGTTAAGAGGGAAGTCCAATGCTTCTTTTTATACATTTTTTTTAGAAAGAGACTTCCTCCACATCAGAAAAGTCATTTGCTGTAGGCACATTAGCTGAAGTGATTGAGGCCTGTGGTCCCCCTGTTGGTTGTGCATTTACTAGTGTTTTGTATCCTGTGTTCACACGCATGACAAAAGATGAAGATGAGGAGGTGCGAAGCAACTCAGTCTTTGCTCTAGGTGTTTTAGCTGTGAATGGGGGTGATGCCATGATTAGGTAAGTGTTCATCTCTACATCACTCTGAAAGCACAAACTGCTACCCATGCTATCTATATAAACATTTTAAAAACCTGCCTATATTTTGAATCAATTTTCCAAATATTTAAATTGAGGAAATGAGAAATTGTATTAAAAAAATTAAGTGAAAGGAAATGGAACTTAGGTAGTGAGACTATCAACAATAGTCCTGAGGTTTTAGATTTTGAACTTTTTACTAAGATTTAACTGGTTCTAAAAAAAAATTCACTTAATTTCCTTGAACACCTAGTTGATTGCTTGCCATTTTTTAGATACCATGGTATAAAATACTATGGAATTTTAAAATCACTTGCTTTCTATCAATACTTTAATTATATAATTTTGTTGAAGTAGCTTAGTACATTTTATTTTGATGAAATGCTGATTAGACATTAGTATAGAATTGTGATTTTATTGGTTACTAGCCTAGTGTTCGGAACAGTGTTACTATTATGGCTCAGGTTAGAGTAGCAATAAAAAGCTTTGATATGATCTACTGCTACAATTACAACACATTCAACTGTTTATCTAATTTTTATGATATTTTTTTACTCTTAGTCATTACACAGACATACTGAAGACATTATTTACTGTGATGAATGCTGAGAGGAATCCCAGAGTGTTGGATAATGTTTGTGCTGCAGTGTGTAGGATGGTGTGGCATAGTCAGCAGAATGTTCCCCTTGCCCAGGTAACCTCTTTTACTCTGTATTAGATTAACAGTGGTAAAAAAATATTACTTTTTGCACTGGTAATTTTTTTTATCACTGTTAATTTAGTTAGGAACATTTCACCTCGAGTGGTAATTTAATTCCAGTTTTTTTTTTTGTACAGCTGTCATTTTTACTGATAAAATATTTTTTTCTCAGGTTCTTCCTGTGATTGTTCAACTGTTGCCACTGAAGGAAGACTTTGAAGAGAATGTGACAGTATTTACGTGTCTAATGAAGTTATACACAGAAAATGTTCAGGAAGTAAGGAAGACTTTTTATTTAATGGTTTCTACTGGACTAGTTGTGAGCATATTTTGTACCTTAGTACAACTGACCCAGTGTTATGTTGGTGGTTTCACTCTTGTTTATATATTTAAATAAAACATCATTTGATCCTGCTACAATTTTAATTGGATTAACATTAAGTGTTTCTTTAAACTGCTAACAGCAGCTGTTATCTGGGGGAATGGTTGTTTAAGGGGATATGCTATGTTTTTTTCTATTTTTTACACTTTAAGATCTAAAGCCTTTTGAATACTTTTATCATATTTGGCATATAAAAGTAAGTACTAAATAGCAAAAAAGAGGGTCGAAAACAATTTTGGTTGTCATGGAAACCCAAAAAACCTCCGCCATTTTGAATTTTACGGTACTTTTAAAAATACTAAGGCTTTTTTATTTATGCACCTATAGCAATCAAATTTAAACTGCTTATATTTCAGTATATATCAAAACTTTTGTCACGACAACTTTTTGAAATAATTACTAGTAAGAATTTTACAAGGTCTAAAAAATCGTACCCTTTTTAGTATTCAAAAGTTTCAAAATGTGCATATTAATTACCAAATACTTTTTTTCTATGAAAGCAATCACAATTCCCTCGTGACAAAAGTTGTATTTTTGCATCAAGAACATTTACTGAAAATATGGTTTGCATTGTTTAATAAATAAAAAAGTAGTAGGCTTTTTAGTGTTAAAAACCTGCGAACTGAGAAAAACAGCCAAAAGTAACAAAAATTGGGTCAGGAAAGTACCATATCTGTGTAAACTGCAAAGCCGATTGTAAGCTTTGGGTGTTTCCGAGATGTAGGAAATTAAGTTTATTAGATACATGAGAAATCCAGCTTTCCAATGATGTCAAATACAATATAATGACGGATATAAAACTTTTTATAGAGAGCTTGTAAGATTGGGAAAAATTATTTTTTAATTAATAGGGTCATAAAAATCGTAATTTAAACACATAAAATATTTTTTTCTCTTTAAAGTTATTATTTTCTTTATACAAAAATGGACAAAGTATCCAAAAGTGCAAGAAACCCATCATGACGTAAAACAAGAAATTTTGTGATTTTTTTCCGCTCATATCCCCTTAAAGAAGATAAAACAAACTATGGAATGCACAAATTTAAGTCAATGCTACCTGTTTGGCTAAATGGTTTAGGTGATAGTGTTTAAAAGTGATTTTTCTAAACTAATTTGAATTTTTATTAATTAGGTAAAGTGGGTTAACCACTAATTCACTTTTGGTTTACATATTTTCTTAGTTTGATTTTATAGTGTTGCTTAGTATAATTATTTTTGAGTCTTGAATTTAGGTGCTTTGATTTTAATGCGTTAAATTCAGTCAATCTCGTGGTAGTTGGCAACACTTTCTTTGGTACTCTTTAATGGGGCTATATAGGAATTCTTAATTAAGTATTGATATAAAAACACAAAGAGGATGGGTCTCACTATCTAACAAATAGTGACACCCATCTTCTAACAAATCATCACATCTCATTAGTTGTAATATATTTTACATAATTATTTGCTCGTTCTAAACTATTTTAAAACATCAATTTATTACAAAGTAGAGGTTGACCTTGTCATTTTTTCTTTTTCACTCATTTTTGTCTGTGAAACCTTGCAAATTACCAAATAAAATATATCTTTCTTAATTGTTTAACCTATTTTACTGGTCAAAATGTATTTTTTATATATTATTTAATATTAATTTAACAAAGTATTATTTTGTATATGAAAATGGGCGTGACTAAATGTATTAAAATATTTCAGTTGATCCCGTACATTCCTAAAATTGTGGAGACGGTGGCCGTGGTGATTAGAACAGAGAAGATCAAGGAAGGTGAGTGTGAGTGCCAATTTTTTTACTACAAGCTATTTGTAGTTGTGGCTTGCAGTGAGTAGAAAAATATGCACTAAAATCACTTTAATGTAGAGTAATTTTAACATGGAAGTAGTATTTTTTGCACACTTTTGACCAATCCCAACAACGTTAGATTTTCACTTCTTGTTGCTTGAGAATAGAATATTTGCTCTGGATTTATTCACCTTCTTGTAAGACTTATTTTAAAAACCTTTCATGTAGTTTATATAGAATCATGCAAAAATATATAATTAATAAACATTAAAATTATTGAGAAGCGTAATGCATTGCTGGGGTTGGTCACTGTGACAATAAGAGCCGTAAGTCTCTTTCTGAATAAAACAAAGTTCACTCTGATAGCTCTTTTATTGTTGTTTAAGCTACTTGTTTCAACTTCAGATCATAGCAACTTACAGTTTTTAACTGTTCTAGAATTCTATGCAATTCTTTTTAGAAGTATCACTTAAAATTAAGAGTATTGACTGGCAACCATGATTTGATTGAAATTATCAAAGATTTTATCATATTAGCTCTCAGTTTTAAAAAAGATTGTCACTTGTAATGTCTTTTACTTAGAAGTTTTATAAGGGTATTTGAAATGTTTTGCTATCGAAATATCATAACTCTCTCTATGTGCACTATCACATACCCAATAGTTATTCCAATAAGAATGTATTGATTTAAAGTATTAACAATTGCTTTGCTTATTTAATCCTGTAAAGAAATATAAATTGTGCTATTATATTTATTTATTCATATTACTTGCTTCAGTATGTAACCAGAACACAGCACTGCTTAAGTTTTACTTCACTTTTTAAAAAATCTGTTATAGAATGTCAACTAGGAAATCTGTATTGTGACTTAGGCTTTATATATAGTTTTCCTAATCTGTATACATAGAATTATTAGCAATAAGCAACCTATTTTAGCAACTAATCCATGTATTTAGATATTTTATCTTACTGTGTTACCTGTAGTATTTTACTGTTGTATTTTATAGTTGCATACAATGCACAATGTTCTTGTTGCACATGATCTGTAATTTTTCTTATTGTGGATTTTTATTTATTCTTACAGGGCATATTTATAAATGCCTTTCAATTTTTTAATCTTGTAGATACAATAATTTGATGTAAAAAATTAACTGCTAATTATTGTAAATAGCTATTGTTAAAAAAATATTTTTTGAAAAAAAAATTATAATTATTTTGTTTAAATTTAGGAACTAAGGCCCTTTATCTAGTGTTTTTTATAATGGGTTTTCAGGTAAAAAAAAAAAAGTATTTTTCTAGAAAACTAAGACTTTGTTTCCTCATTGAATATTTCATTTGTTTTCAGACACACAAACCCTTCTAGTCCATTTCATTCATAGCGTCCACACCAAATTTCCTGCAGAGTTTGAGCAGGTGAGGTCCCGTCTGGAACCAGAGCTTGTGGCAGTCCTTGACCTTTGCCTGAGCACCCAAGCTCCAGACATGCCAGTCTCTTGATTGTGACAGAGTTGAATGACTCAAATTTTTGTTTTGTTGTTTACATTTTTTTTTTTAAATTGTTTTTAAAACTGAGTAAAGAATTTTTAGTTGTCCCTCCCTTCCCTGTCATCAGGTGGTTTTGATAACTTCAACAAAAAGAAATCACTGCGTAGTTATTTGTGTTAAATCAGGGGTCTCCAAACTTTTCAGTCCGAGGGCCGCATTAACTATCAAATTTCAGTTCGGGGGCCAGTTTTTTCAAGGCATGTCTGATTTTTTTTCTGGGCAAAGTTCTTCAGCTATCAACAACCAACAATTTTTCCTTGTACAAAAATATCTTCGCGGGCCGTAGTTTGGAGACCCCTGTGTTAAATAATTGATGTGAGGTTTTTTTTCGCATACTTTGTTTTGGGTTAGCTACAATATACCAAGTGCAATGATTCCTTAAGTTTTGTCAAAAACTGTATACAGCCAGAGAATAAAAAGCCATGCATTTTTTTTATTTTTGTGTGCTGGAAACTACTACAGTGATAAGTCAGAATTAACTTTTGACCATACTTTGTGATTGTAATTGACCTGTTGGCTGAAAAACCAATGTATTGATCATTTCATGTTTTCTTTTTAGATTCAAAAGGCTTTATTCTATGGGTTAAACTATTTTATTCAGTTGTTTTTGTTTTTAAAATATTAAGAGTTTAAGAAAAGGACAAATTTAGATCTTTTTAAGTTAAAAAAAATATTCTATAACATTATTGAAACTCCGAAAGTCTCAAGTTTGAAACCGGGTTCAGGTCCGTAGAATGACCCTGAGTCCACCCAGCTCTGATGGTTACCTGACTTAAGTTGGGGAAAGTAAAGGCGGCTGGGCATAGTGCTATCCCTTTATAAATCGAGGTCACAGATAAAGGTGAATTATACTTCACTTGCAACATAGACCGTCAAAAGGCAACTTTACTATTGAAACATAAAATGAACAGTTGAGATTGTGTTGAAAATGTCCATCTGTACATACTACATAATGCATTGACATAATACTTACAACCCTAAACGAAAAATGATAAACATTGAAGTATTTTGAAGTCTTGTACATGTTTTTTCTACTGTGTCTATAAAATTGATGATGATGAAATGTGTCTCTGTTTTAGTGTTTAGCGCTGGTCTTTAACCCTCTCTATGCTGCTTTTTGTTGTTAACCCCCCCTCCCCCTCCTCTCTTTAAATTGGGAATTCCCTTTGTATTTATCCCATTCTTGTGAAAACAACAGTTTGCCCATATTTTTTGTATATAGGTATTTATATGGGTAATATTTCTATATGCCTTCTGGTACATGTTCTTTCATCTGTGGATTGACAAAGTATTTAATTTGCTTCTATTTATGTCATTAATTTCATGCATGGGATTTATATTTGAATAATCTCATTACCCTTTATTTAAAAAAAAATTACAGCAGTGTATTTTTACGGCTATTTTGTGTATTTGTTTTATTTATTCAAGTGAAGCAATATTTTATTACCTGCCTCCAATGCAAGACCAGCCCTTAACTCTAAAGATAAGGACCTAAAAATGTTGCTGATGAAACTATAAATGTTTAAGAAAAATAAAATTGTATCTAGTCCAAACAGCTGCTATGTTTAGTGGTGATTCTTTTTTAAGGAAGTTTGAAAAATATAAATGCTGTACAAAATAGTTCTTTAATTTATAATCTGCTTCTTTCTCCTGATCTGCATTTCTCTTACAAGTCTGTCATAATGTTGAATGTTTTTTTTTATATGATTAGAAATAGTATTCTTACATTGTCTTGACATGTTTTTTTCTTTTTTTTTTTTGTTAATCTATCTAAAATATTTCTTTGTAATGCTAATTCAAGATTTTAACTACTGACATGCTAGGTTATTCTTCAGTCAAAAAGTTCTATTTTAAGCATCCAGCCTTATGAATTATTCTGCTGCTTAGAAGTGCCACAATTCCTGCAAAAAAAATGTATATTGTAATTTTTTAAAAGTTAATTGTATAAACTAAAAGAAATTTTATAAGAAAACCTGTAATAGAAAATCTCAATTTAAAAATTACTTTACTTGATGATGTCCATATTATGTTTTAGAAATATCAGTCTTTTTATACTTGAAATGTAAAATTTAAAAACATTAAATATTTTTAGTATGGTATCTTATCATCAAAATGGAAGATATTAATTAATAATACTTAGATCATGAAAATTGTGTTTTATAAACTGTATGACAACTTGTTTTACTTTGGAAAATAAAAACAGAACTCCCTTAAGAAATTTGTTTTGTTTTAGGTTGTGAACAAAAAAACTTAAAAAATTATTTTTTAGTAGGCTACCTGTTTAAAACTTTAGGACTAATCATATATATTGCACAACACAAAATATGAGTTTAAAATCCTCTTTCACATTAAACATTGCATTCAGATCATCACAATTTGGTATTACGTAGATCGTTACTGATGATGAACAGTGCCATTGTCACTAGTGTTTCTAAATCTAAAACATTTTTTTTTTCGGGTGAAAAAAAAAATTTGACTATCTGCAGTTACAAGAATTACAGTGCAGCCAAAAGAATGTAAGTCAACAAAGTCTTGCTAGAGCCATTTTTGTGCGCTGACATAATGATCAAGGATAGTGACAAATTTTTTAAAAAATCAGCCAGTCTATTAGGCAGAGTTTCTACCAGGCATCTTTTCAGGGGGGTGGGGGGATCCGCCGCCCCCCCCCCCCCCCCCGAACGAAATGGAATATATTTAAAAAAAAAAATTACCAGTGTCCGCCCCTCCCATCCTGGAGAAGAAAAAGTCTGAAATAAACACTGAATGGCAGTAGGACATTCACTGATCCCTAGTCTGAAAAAAAAACCTACCCTTTTGTATAACCTTAACATTAAATTAAAGTGAACCCTTACCGTAATGCAAGGGAGAAGTTTAGTTTAGGATTAAGTTTATATTTAGAGTTTGTGCTGGTGTTTCCGTAGAGCTAGGGTTTAATTTTTATTTACCTTTGAGTGAATAAACGTATCCTACACTATACCGGTTACCTATTTTAGCAATTTTTGCTAAAAAAAAAGTTCGCTAAATAACGGGCTCTTGTGTTTCTTACTTAGCCTGAACGTATTATCTCGTTTTATTGATTTTTTCTTAGGGATTGTCCGGTTTTTATGTTCTATCTTTGGAACAGTCTCTAATATGATATATTACAATTTTCATAGTTGGATTATATAAGCTTGTTGGAACTAAGTCACAAAGCAGCAACATTCATCTGACGAGGTAGGCCTATCACTTTGTAATTTAAACCTACAGAATTGCTACGTATACGTATAATCAAACTCAATTGATTTGAAACTTTAGACGCTACACTTAAAAGCAGGCGTGTTCAGAAAAAACGACTCCTGTTTATAAATTGTTATAGCCTACTAAAGTGGAATGCAAATGCAGTGTCAACAAATTTAAATTTTAAATCAGCATCTTGAGCTAAAATGTGAAGTCTTTTTTACTGTATGGCTCGGAGACAGAGGGTAACCAACAGTTGAAAACGAAATAAAAGAAAAGGAAAGGTGGTGAATAGGGCACCAACTTGGAAAGGCAGCGAACAGCCAGGATCGTCTCAAGGGGGGGGGGGGGGGGGTCCAATTTTTACCCGGGGAACAAACTTTCGATTTGCACCCCCCCCCTCAAACTTTCAATTTGCACCCCCCCCCCCTCAAACTTTCGATTTGCACCCCCCGTCATACTTTTTATATAAATACCGAGGGGTCTATGGGGGGGGGGGGGTTATGACCCCCCCCTATCCCCCCTGCCTACGCCACTGACAGCGAATAACATTAACACAACTCGACAAACTGGCGTGGAAGAGGTGGAGACAAACAAGTCATGAAGGTAATCATTCGAAATAGAGATAGGGGAGTTTGGAATGTTATAGATTGAGCTTTAAAGATAAAAAGTTAATTGATGAAGTGCTGCCTTGGCCTATGTTCGTCAGGGAGCCGAAAAGAATGAAAAGAGGAAAATCGGAGTTTAGAAGTGGGTTCGTTGAAGGTGCAAGCTATAAATGGGTCCATATTCAGTCGTTTTTTAGAACACATAGAAACTAGTAGGCTTATATTATAGGCGGACATTGTTTATATATTTTCTATATAAATTCCATTTCGTTTGAGGGGGGGGGCGGGGGGGGTAGACTTTCTTCGGGGGAGCTCTGCTCGGGGGGGGGGGTAGACTTTCTTCGGGGGAGCTCTGCCCCCCCCCCCCCCCCCGAAGAGATGCATGGAAGAAACTGATCACATTTTATTGATATTGTTGCTAATTCAACTAGAAAAAATTCAAATGCTCCCCCACCCTATCCGGGAGAAATAAGTCTGAAAAAAAAAGAACAACTGAAAAGAAAAACCCACAGTTCTTGTAGTGTTGGGCTCCCCGCAGACCTCCCAAGGTGAGTTCCAGAACGGAACACATATTTTAAGCTTGACCGTCTTTAGTTATAATTGTGAAATGTCTATATTGTGAGATTATTTAATGATTTTTTTGTTTTTGAAAAAAAAAGGTTATGAATGTTATAGATGTTCAGCCTACAATTGTTATATATGAATCCTTAAGAAGAGGGTGAAAATATGAAAAATTAGCTGATTAATTTGCGACTAAAACGATTTTAGACGCATTTGTTGCACTATCTCATGTTCTATGTCTACTAACATTAAGTATTGCAATCTACAACAGCTATTGATGTATTTATTTTTCAACGTTATAATACTAAATAGACCTACCAAACTATTTTGTTTAGAACTTCTGCTCTATATAATTTTTTTTACAATAGCAAATAATAACTTAAAGTTGTATTTATAAGTAAGCGGTAAACCGAAGGTGCAAACATTTGAAATAAATATTAAGTTAAGTAACGAATTATCTCCTATTTGGAAATCCAAATACCATAATTTTATCCAAGGGAAACAACTTTCTCAAGAATAGCTAAATTAACCAAGTGTAACTAAGACATGCTTGAAAAACACAATAAACCGCTTTAAATTTCAATACTTAATAATTATAATAAGTATTTTATATAAGCTATGTAACTTTTCTAAGTAATATATTTTACTCATTAACTAATTAACTGTAGGTTTTGTTTGAAAGTCTAAATACCGTTGCTTTATTATAACATACTTTTAGTCAATTTTGATGACATTTCTTTTAATTGCGGTGTGTGCTGTCATTTATCGTTATTTTAATTATACAACATACAACAAAAAAAAAAAAAAAAAAAAAAAAAAAAAAAAAAAAAAATTTGGTTTTATAACACCAGCACAAACTGCAATACCACCCACTCCACAAGCCCCCATGCCAAGCAGTCACCAAAACTCCCCAATCAAAGACGCAGCAACTAACCCAAGAACACCGCCCAAAAAGCAGCCTCCAACACAAATGCCAACGTCACCCGCCCAGCCAGCACCAGCACCAAGCAGCCAACAAGCAAGCACAGCCATTGAACCAACAGCCCCAAGTACAAGCATAACGGAATCATCAAACATCAAATCAAATACATCAAAAGTACTCTTACCAAACTTTGCTTTACCACTCGCGCTGAGCCAGAACACTTTTACGTTCACAGCGACGCCAAACTCTAGCAACCCCAATCAAAGCGTAGATATGAGTGACAGCACACATTCAAAAAGGAAAAAGGAAGTTAGCCCCACAGACACAAAACAATCAAAAAGTCAAAAAACCAAAATGCGGATATATGATAACAAACAGTGCAGGTTCTGCACCCTCCTTTTCAAAAATGCTTCGGAAGTGACGGTACACGAACGTCACAAACATACAGACTTCTTAATATGTGAGGTCTGTGATGGCGAAGATGTGTACCTAGACATATATGCGCACTACAAACAAAAGCATCCAGAAAAAACTGTATACTTTTGCCATTCTTGCACCCTAAACCTCCCATTAAAGGGTATGAAAGCACACACTGAAAGCCACCATCCGATGCCTAAAAAATAAAGTATTTGTTCTTAAAAAGTTTAACTTTATAAACGTTTTGTATTAGAAATGCAACAATTTGTATTATTTGTATATATTTTCATGCAAACCTACTCTTGCTGCCAACCCTTGGGAAGGGAAAGCAGCAAGAGAGGAACAATATTAAACGCCAAAAAGAAAAAAAAACATTTGGTTGTATACAACATTTGGTTGAATGATTGTTTATCCATCTGTAATTTTACAAATGTGAATAGTGAATAGTATTTTGTGCAAAAAAAAAAAAAAAAAAAAAATACAACATTTGGTTATGTTGGACCCGAAAAATAATAATTACAGACCTTAAAATATTGTAAAGCATGTTACATACATAATTGAGCATTATATATTAGAATTCCATTTGGAACCTTGTGTGTGTTATTTTTTTTCTTCACATTTTATACATTGTAAGTACTTTTTTTCTTTTTTATTTCTTGTGTGTGTTGTCTGGCCCCGGGTGGGCCTCACGCACAACTATGTCGGAAAAATACATCAAACGGCTATTCCTGCCGAAGTTTGGCTTGGCAGGACATGCGCCAAAAACTCTAGAGATTTTCATAGAAGAGGGTTTTTCTTTAGCTACCCTCACAGCTGACGAACTAAAAAGAGAGCTATGTATGTTATGTAGCCTATCACCAGCTGAATTTGAAGGTCTGTATAACTATGGGACACTGCGTAAATGGTATGTCACCATTAGATCAAAGGAACTATATGAGAAAATGCACCTAAAAGAATTTCACAGAGATGTGCCACCTGGGGTAACATCCAGATACAGAGTGCAGAGAATATCAATAACCTACGCCGACAAATCTGGACAAAGAGGCATGCTGAAATGGCTGCCTTCCAAGACAAGCGACGATGATATAATGGCGATTCTGAAATCTATTAGCAGTCAGGACTCAACACCAACATCAAGGTGCAAGAAGAAGATTTTTTTGGTCGGATCTTGGGTCCTGCCCCCACCAGAGGCGTAGCGGGCTAATCCGGTGCCCGGGGCGGACTATCAATTTTGCGCTCCCCATATCTATATATAGTTATTCCTGTCTGTGAAAAAGCCCCCCCCCCCCCACAAGCTGGAAAGGTTTGTGGCGCTTCTTAACAGTTACTATCCCGTAACATCTTCTATTTCGGTGTCACAAAGTTATAAAATCAGTGTGTGAAGCCTTGTAGTCGTTTATTTTTCTTAGCTTTGACAGTATAATTCGATACTTCACCTTAAAATGAGCTTTCAAATTAATTTCTATACCCCTTTTGGCACCCCCTTAAGGTCGGCGCCCGGGGCGGCCGCCCCACCCGCCCTTCCATAGCTACGCCTCTGGCCCCCACCCCCTCCGCATTGCGGGTTCTTGCGGCATGGTTGTTCCGTCCCTGGCCACAGTATACATTAGCTTTTTTTTTTAAACTTTGCTTATGGCAATGTTTAATTGAATTAAGTAAAAGTTTGAGAGAAACGAAACTTCTTAACTAAAATGAACTATCCCAGTAAGCACACATATATTGACCCAATATTGGCTAAACGTTGGTTACCAATATTGGCTACATCTTGGTGCAACATTTGCTCAACCTTGGCCAAACACTGGTAGTGAAACTCGGCATGATGTTGGCGCAATATTGGCTATATCCTGGCTACATATTGGCCCAGCATTGGCTATATCTTGGTCAAATATTGGCTATATCTTGGCCCAATATTGGCTATATCATGATTACATCTTGGCCCAATATTGGCTATATCTTGGCCCAATATTGGCTACATCTAGGCCCAATATTGGCTACATCTTGGCCCAATATTGGCTACATCTTGGCCCTATATTGACTACATCTTGGCCCAATATTGGCTACATCTTGGCCCAATATTGGCTACATCTTGGCCCAATATTGGCTATATCCTGGTTACATCTTGGCCCAATATTGGCTATATCCTGGTTACATCTTGGCCCAATATTGGCTACATCTGGGTCCGATAATGGCTATATCTATATATAGTCATTTCTTTACAATTCTGGCTGGAGAAATCGTACATGTGAGTTAGGGGTCATTCATAAATGACGTCACGCTTTTTTGGACGATTTTTACCTCCCACCTCTCCTCCGTCACACATCGTCACAAAAAGCCAGACCCCCTAAAATGACGTCACACTTCAGCCTACACCCACCCCCCCCCCCCTCAAAATGCAGTTGAATTTTTCTAAAAACATCGATATTTTTCCAAAATCTTGTCTGAACTATGTCAAAATAGATAATTTCAATCAATTCCTATTGCAATTTATTAAAACAGTTTTCTAAAACGCGAAATAACGTCTAAAATTCGTTTTCTAACATTGCTTTTTTATAATTCAAAAGTGTGACGTCGCACCATCTGAACCCCTCCCCCCTCCCACTCGTCACACACCGTCACAAAATTACGGACCCCCCCCCCTCACCCCCTACGAATGTGACGTCATTTATGGACGACCCCTTAACACAATCGGTTTCCTTTTAAAGTGTTAAAAAAATTCTACACTCCAATCCAGTGTAAATCCTTCCGATTTTTGGTGGCTAAAAAGCGTCCCCCCCCCCAAACATATTTTTAAAAAAAAAGGTGAGCGTTTTATAGCGGTCATTAACATTCAACACTAAAGGGTATTTTGTTTTTTATTGTTACAAATTGTAAAGTGTACGTTGATACTATTGTTTTTTTTTATGTTTTAAAGATTTTTCTACTCACCAATCTGTTGTAGGCGATCCTTCTGATTTAAGTTGGCGAAAAAGCGCTCCCCCCAACTTGGATAAATTTTGTGAGCAGTTTTTACTGGTAACTGACTTATAAGCGTATTTATTTTACTGGTACACAATCAAGGTAGAAAATAGTTAAATCAGTATCTAAAGCTTAGAATCCGTTTATTTTCTTAACTCAAACTGTAAATAATTCAATATTTCGGCTAAAAATGAGCTTTTTTTGTACAAAAAAATTCAAACTCTTTTGGCGCCCCTCAAGATTGGCGCCCGGTGCTGCCACTCCCTCCCCCAAGCTCCGCCATTGGTAATGTGACCTCGATTATGAACGACCCCTTTTACATTTTTGCCTGCCAATAAAATGCAACAGAACTGAGAAAATTCAATTGAAAATTGCGTTTGAAAAATAAATGGTGACGTCACACTTTCAAAACTTTCACCATGTTTATCGTCACATTTTCCGTACCGCTTTCCATTGGAGTATGGTGTAATGTGGCGAGGGTCCCAGTAAAGTTACAAAAAAGTAAACAAAAAAACTCGTTAGGCCTAGTGTGTAGGCTAGTTTCTATGCATTGCATCACCATTCCCTACTATTTCGATTTTAGAATTTCATTATTAGCCTGCTATGAAACACCAAAATGTAATATATTTCTATAATACAATACTATTATCCAAAAAAATAAAAACAAAAAATCTAATTAGTTACAAGAAGATTATTTCAGCCTAGATTCTAGTTGAATTAAATTGATATTTCGTCTGTAATTTAAGTGCTTTGAATAATCGTCGTTAAATGTCATGACTTTAATTTGTATAATTTATTAAAAGTGTAACAATGTGTTTCCGTAGTTCAGTTCAAGTGCGAGTCAGCACTGTTAAGCACACCACGAAAACATTAGGTCTAACATGCTGTCGTAAGGGGATAGACAGTGGTCATCGGTTCATAATTTAGCTTAGATATCATCCCATTCTCATTTTGTGTAGAATCTTAGTAACATTATGCCGCCAGAACCCTTACTGACCACTGAAAATAACATCGATTCTCATAAAAACATGGAGAAAGCAGATTTGGTGGAACCTAAGCTGGTTGGTGATGTTGATGTGAAATCTGATGTTGCTAATGAAAAAATGGGGTTGAAACAGAAAATAACTCTATGGAATGGAGTTACATTAATTGTGGGAACAATAATTGGTTCTGGAATATTTGTTTCGCCTAAAGGAGTATTAATGGAAACGGGCTCCGTAAGTAGATCTACATTTCTTTAATAAATTAAATTATCTTCGCTTTGCAGCTCTGGCAGATAAGGCATGGCATAATAAATGGTTTCTCTAAATCACGGACCAGAACTAGATCTAGAGCTAGCTAGGTACTAGAAATCTAGATGTAGATTTTTAAAAATCTAGATCTAGTCTAATGTTCTAGACTCGACTACATCTACACAAATTCAAATAATAAACACCGATTTCTAGATTTAGAATATAAATCTAGAAGATCTAGATCTAGATTCTAGATCTAGTCTAGTATCAAGTGAAACATTGTTTTTGGAATATGTACTTTTGATGGATCATTAAAAATGACGTCACACTTCTAATTGGGGGGGGGGGGGGAGAGGGGGATTTTTGACAAGGGGGAGCGGTGATTTCAGAAAGTGACAACACATTGTGATTTTTTAATTTAAAAAAAAGTCATGTTAGAAGCTAAATATTAGCCTTTATTTCGCGTTTATATAGATATAGGCCTATTCGGTGTTACCCGAGCTCAGGAATAAAATTTGTTAAACACAAAGTGCGATTTTGAAGTGTATATATATATATATATATATATATATATATATATATATATATATATATATATATATATATATATATATATATATATATATATATATATATATATATATATATATATATATATATATATATATATATATATAGTTGCAATTTGTATCACCCCCCCCCCCTTCCCATTTTGCCAACTGGCGTGAATTTGTGAACACATTTTTTAAAAATCCACCTATTAATTAAAGTGGAAAAAAAGCAACGTTTTCAAAGTAAATTACTAGTAAGACATAGTTTCACAACCACCCCGTCGTTGACTGGCCTACCAATTATTGAGAATATTAAGCTACTTTTCTCTCTGTTAATTTTGCAGTAGGTCTCGTCCTCACCCCCGGCTGATAGTTTTTTTTAACATTGTGCACAGTTAATAGTAACGTCCGCACCGGGTAACACCAAAACGAAATATTAAGTTCCTTTTTGGAACATGACGGTCCTCGGGGCAAGTGAAGTGGAGTTCACTTAATACGAAATATAAGTAATTTCAATAATAGTCTGGCTTTTTCCGGTTAGTTTAGTAGCTCAGTACATATCTATTATCATTAGGCATAGGGTGACACCAAATTTCAGTTCTTTTAATATATCCTACATGTAGTTGTTGGCAGCGGGGGTAGTTTCTTTCAGGCACCTCCTAGGGGGGGGGAGGAACAGCGTCTACCGCCCCCCCTCCTTGAACGAAATATAATTTAAATAGAAATTATATAATATATACTTTTACCAGTGTATCCCCCCCCCCTCCACGAAAAAAAATCAAGTGCCCTCCTTCCCCAAAGAATATAAAAAGTCTGAAAAAAACCCACTGGGGGGGGGGGGGATAACAACCTGGGTTACCCCATCGGGTATCACTCGACCTAATGTCCCCCACTGTATCACCACACCGAAGCACGGTTGATATCTACACAGAAATGGATCGTAACCTAACCATGGACGTCAGTTCTCTACAGACGTATGTTTCAAACAAGCCGACACTATCACGATATCTGGCTATTTACATGCGATTTTTCCAATGCTAAACTATTCAGACCCAAACGTGTCTGGGTCTTGGCTTTCATCCACAGGAAGTGACGTCACAATTGCTGCCTTGATTTTGCATAAGCTGAGTTGTGTTATACACTGACATTGACAATCGGAGTGTTTACATTTTGTTCCTTAATAATGAGTTGACAGAACAAAATCGAATTTTTAAAAATCCATTATACTAATGTACCTTAGTCTAGCCCCGAGGCGTAGCGACCCTTCCCGGCGCCCGGGGACAAACTTTCAATTTGGCGCCCCCTCGGGATCAACCTTTCAATTTTCGATTTGCACCCCCCCCCCCCCAAACTTTCTATTTGCACCCCCCCCCCTCATATATTTTATATACATATATATAAAGCAAAAATGCAGCTAAAATGAGATTGTAATTTGTTTTTCCAACCCATTTTGGCGCCCCCTAAGGTCGGCGCCCGCGGACATATGTACCCCCGCCCCCCCCCCCCCCCCCATCGCTACGCCTCTGGTCTAGCCTTAATCCTGACTCAAGCATTGACCCTAAACTAACATTAGCAGCGATGATAGCATGAAAAAAAGTCCACAAACAATGTGATGCGCTGCCGAATATCTTGTTGCCTTTTTATTTTAATAAAAGCCATTGGTTGACAATCCTGACACTTTTAGCTGCAGCTTTATTTGAAAGATAACACTCAATCAACCTATCAAAGGTGCACTCGGTTCCCTTGTCAATCAGATTTTATAAACACGTCCGTGTCGAGTTCCGTGACGTGACCCCTGGCATGATGTGACGTGGTCAAGTTACCTGTGGCCAGCCCTAGGACTTTACTTGTATAAGCCCTCATGGCAACTAGATTCTGGGCAAGTTTAACGCTTGTATAAGCCCTCACGGCAACTAGATTCTGGGCAAGTTTAAGCACTTGTATAAGCCCTCACGGCAACTAGATTCTGGGCAAGTTTAAGCACTTGTATAAGCCCTCACAGCATCTAGATTCTGGGCAAGTTTAACGCTTGTATAAACATGCAAGGGATCTAGATTTTGGGCAAGTCACTTGTATAAGCCCCCAAGGCATTTAGAGCTAGATTCTGGGCAAGTTTAACGCTTGTATAAGCCTGCAAAGGATCTAGACTTTGGACAAGTTTAAACACTCTGTATAAGTCTTCAATACATTTAGATTTTTTGGCAACTTCAGATTCTGAGAAAGTCACTTGTTTAAGCCTTGAGATATCTAGATGTTTGGCAGCTTTAGCCACTTTATAAGCCTGCAATGGATCTAGATTTTGTGCAAGTCACTTGTATAAGCCTTCGAGGCAATCTAGATTCCGAGCAACTTTAACGCTTGTATAGGCCTACAAGTATCTAAATATTAGGCAAGAACCGCTCAAGGCGCCTAGACTATGGGCAGTAGCGTCACAAGGCGGGGCTGTGGGGTGCGGTTTGCACCCGTTGACACCGTTTACACGGTGACACTAAATCGTTTTTTTAATTTAAAAAAAAATGAATTTCTACTTATGTCTTAATCTAGAACTGACCCCAACATCTAAAATTATTTTGTCACCCCCACCCTTCTCTTCTTACCACAGGGTGATACCAAATGGCTTTTTAAAAAAAAAAATTCTTTAAAAAAAATGAATTTCTATTAATGTCTTTATCTATAACTGACCCCCACATCTGAAATTATTTTGTCACCCCTCTCTCCCCCCCCCCTTTTTACCACAGGGTGACACCACATCGTTTTTTTTTTTAAATTTTCTTTAAAAAATTGAATTTCTACTAATGTCTTAATCTAGAACTGACTCCCTACATCTAAAATTATTTTGTCACCACCCCCTTTTTACCACAGGTGGGCCTATGTCTGGTGGTCTGGTGTGCGTGTGGTCTCATCTCCCTGATCGGCGCCCTGTGTTACGCCGAACTGGGGACCACCATCACGCGGTCGGGTGGCGACTACGCTTACATCAGGGAGGCGTTCGGGCCGCTCATGGCTTTTCTGCAGCTGTGGGTAAGTAGACGTGGACTTTTTAACGCTAAAATTAGCACCTTAATTGGAACGTCAATTAGTGCGGGCCTTATCGCTTTTTTAAACAAGTTTTTCATTTAACCTAATTAACAACATAATAAAGCAATAAATCACATTTTATTTAATTATATAATGATTTCATGTACTGTTACACTGGGGTAAAAAAAAATACCTTTTCGATGCATAATGTTCGTGTTTTTACTATAGACACCCAGCACCTAATAAATATATCTCTACATGTTTGTTAACCCATTATTAGCTGTGTACTCTAACATTTGTCAGAAACGCATTGATAAACTGGATGTAACTACATATACAAATAAACTCTGTTACCCGCCCCTATTTCTGCCAGATAGCTAATATTTGGTACGAGAGTTTCTTTTAGGCCTCTATCCGGGGACACTGCCCCCCCCCCCCCCCCCGAGCAACTCCCACCCCCGGACGAAACAAACATATAGAATGTATAGAAAAAAAATATATCTTCTCCCTTGGGAAATATAAGTTATGCCACTGTGCCCCCCCCCTCTCTCCCGGAGAAAAAATGTCTGAAAGAAACTCTGTTAGGTACACGCCCGAATATCAGACAGATACTGCTTAATTCGGTGGAGCCTCGATTTTTAATCAAAATCCAACCTTAAACAAATCTCAAACACCATCTTAAATAAAACTGCTACTTCATATTCTAGATTAAATAGTGACTCTAACACAACTTATTTCGTAATTAAACTAATAAAAAACGTATTCATATTTACATATTTACAAGGGATACAATTAATCGAACACGGTGCCTTAAATGCATTAGCTCTATGTTTTTTCTTTCTAATATTCTGACGACCTAATGTTAAAATAAAATGTCACCAGTTTGTTTTACGGCTGTTTTTTTTTTTAAATATGAAGAATAATATTTGCATTTTTTTTTACATTGCGATGGCTTTTATGGTATTTAATAAACTCAGTATTATAGTTGATATACTGCATGTATTTATATCCAAACTCGAATTACGCCCATGCAGAGTTTCTTCCAGGCATGTCTGCGGGGGGAGGGGGGGGGTCTATCGAAGAAATTCTACCGCCCCCCCCCCCCCCCCGAACGAAATTAAATTTATATAGAAAATATATACTTTTAACAGTATCCGCTCCCCCGAAATATTAGTCCGCCCCCCCCCCCCCCCCCCCCCGAAAATTTCAAGTACCCCCATCCCCGGAGAAAAAAGTCTGGAAGAAACACTGCCATGGTACCCTGAATTTTAAAGGCACAAAATGACTTGTATATTTTGCAATATATAAACAATCCTTGGATTATATATATATATATATATATATATATATATATATATATATATATATATATATTTATATATATATTTATATATATATATATAATATATAGTTTCATGGGCGCCTCATAACTTCAGTCTAAAGCTAAATGCACTCCTGCTATTACTTTAAAAAAATAATTAGGACAGTAGGTATTGGCAAATTGATAGTGTATGCATTGAACAGTTATAAACAGTTTTTCTTTCATGTCCATCGCCGCCCACACAAATGTAAATACGTAAATTTGAATGCCACGTTGATGGGCTGTAAATAGTCGTCCTATCACCCTTATGTGGGCGTCGCTAATGGCGGGGGGGGGGGGCATGGTGGGAGGGGTGTCCTGTTTAATTCATGTAACAGGTGGTCATGGTTAAATAAAATTGTGGATTATTAAAGTGTTGGGATTATCCTTGGCTTTGACACCTTGCCGGTATTGTGTGGGAAGAATCTTCTAGACTGTAACCCTGACCTGTGCTTTCTGGGTGGTTTTTTTGGGTTAAGCTCTATTAGAATAATTGCTTGTTTTGTTTTTCTCCACTGTAACCTTTAAGCCCGGCTTTAAAAAAAGGAAATTTAATCTCTCACATGGACTAAGTGAACTGTCATTTACTAACATATGGGTGGGGTGGTAGAGCTCACGACTGCTTGCCCAGAGAGTCTCGAGTTCAGATCCTGGGGTCACGGCCGGAGGACCTTTTCTGGGTTCACCCAGCTATAGTGGGTACCTGAGGGACAGCACAGGCCTCTGTTCATAGAACTGACTGCACTATCCCTTTTATATGCCGCGGTGTCTGAAACATGAACTCTACTTCAACTGCCTCATTGGCCCCCCAGGGTAGCTAAGATACTTATAACGGTATGGATGGAGTGGTGGCAAGGTACGGTGTGGTTGGATGGTAAGATTATGACTGCAGACCCGAAAATCTCGAGTTCGGATCCCGGGTTCGAGTGTGTAGCACGTACCTGAGTCCACCCAGCTATGATGGGTACCTGACTCACGTTATGGAAAATGACAGTCCGCTGTATTCCGCACTAGCCCTTTATAAACCTAGGTCACAGAAACAGATGAACTCTACTTCATCCGCTTTATTGGCCTGCAGGGTAGCTAGCACTGATAAGGGTTTGCATGAAGTGGCAAATAGTTTTAATTGGACCCGTGAGAATAGTCGCGATAATTGTGTTTAAATTAGATTGACCGTTAAGTGTACCCCTCTCCGTACAGGTTAAGTGGGCGTCAATGTACCCCCTCACCATTAGGTTATAGTTTTTATATTTGATGTACTTCAATAAATCAATGGTTACCCGACTTTTGTTAAGGAAAAAATAAAGAGATGACTGGGCATAGTGCTGACCACACCATCCCTTCTTGCCGAGGTCAAGAAACATGTGAGCTCTACTTCATCTCCCCTTTGGATCGTTAAGTCTGAAAAGGAAACTTGACTTTTTAAAAAAAATACATCAATTCCTGATCTTATCTTCTTCTTTCTTAGTTATATTTATATCGGAGGATCCAGACAACTAGTCCAACTTCTTGGACAAATTGGACTATGGTCTCATGATCTGCGGGCACCACACACAGTTTATCACTGGGGTCTTGTCTTCGATACTTGCGATTTTATTGCGTTCGATATATCATCTCCTTCTATGTAGCACCTGTCCACATTTACAAAACAAGGTAACTGTGTTCACATTTTCAAATCAAATTAAATGTTTCCATATTTTCAAAACAAGTTAAATATTTCCACATTTTCAAAACAAGGTAAATTTTTCCACATTTTGAAAACAAGTTAAATCTTTCCACATATTCAAAACAAGGTAAATTTTTCTACATTTTCAAAACAAGTTAAATTTTTCCACATTTTCAAAACCAGGTTAATGAGTGTCCAGATTTTGAGAACAAGGTAAATGTATTCAACACAAAAAAATCTCTTTGCCCACACAGCTGTCGAGATATTTGGGACTCGGCAGTTTAAAAAATTTTTTTTTTACATTCATTAGACGAGAGGTCAAGGTTGTCCTACTAAAAAAATAAATAATGAAGACAGCGGTTTTGTAATTCGAGTCGTGTCTGACACTGTCCTTATCTGTAGGATGTGCTGGATCAGTGGTTCTTAAACTTGGGTTAGATCGAACCCCAGTAGATCGGTGAGTTAGTCTTATGGGTTTGGTGAGTGTTAGGGGTTTGGTGAGTTAGTCTTAGGGGTTCGGTGAGTTAGTCTTAGGGGTTCGGCGAGTTAGTCTTATGGGTTTGGTGAGTGTTAGGGGTTTGGTGAGTTAGTCTTAGGGGTTCGGTGTCTTAGGGGTTCGATGAGTTAGTCTTAGGGGTTTGGTGAGTGTTAGGGGTTTGGTGAGTTAGTCTTAGGGGTTCAGTGTCTTAGGAATTCGGTGAGTTAGTCTTAGGAGTTCGGTGTCTGAGGGGTTCGGTGATTTAGTCTTAAGGGTTCGTTGAGTTAGTCTTAGGGGTTTCGGTGAGTTAGTCTTAGGGGTTCGGTGAGTTAGTCTTAAGGGGTTCGGTGAGTAAGTCATAGGAGATCAGTGTCTTAAGGGTTCGATGAGTTAGTCTTTAGGATTCGGCGGAGGTCAAGACACAAACCCGAATCATATGATTCACGATCGGATTTTGTGGCGGCGGACTATAGCACACTATTAGGAAGGGTTCGTCGAATCCGCATAAGAAACTGCTGGGGCTCGATACCTTCAAAAAGGTTGAGAACCGCTGCATTTGGTCAGAGAAGGTTCGGATCACGCGTGGAGACTAATATTCGATTCTTTTCAGTTACAAGAATTGTTTTGGGTTGTGGGAAATTAATGAAAAAAAAAACAACAAAAGAATTTTTTTATTTAGGGGGGGGGGGGCGGAGGGGGGGGGGGAAGAAAGTGGGGACTGCTGTCAGCCAAGCACTCGGTAACAATCCTCCCATTGTTGTTGTATAACGGGTCTTCTCACTCCTTGTGGCGAGGAATTCGGACTTTGGTGTCAAAAAAGATAATCCATCCGAGGGGGGGGGGGGGGGGAAAGAGTGTGACAGGAGTTACTTTTAAAGTTTAAATAAAATGAAGAAAAAGTTTATTTTCTTTAGGATTTGGCTACTCGGAAAGGGTTGGTTTAGGCGCATTGTTACGCTATCTTTTGTGTGGATGATGGGGGGGGGGGGGGGGGGGGTCGGTTGGGTTTTTTGTGACTTGTGCCAATAGGTGGGGGAGGGGTGGGTGTAAATCTCCTTTATCTATGGATACATGTAGACCTATTTTTAAAAAAAAGTGTAATGGGTTATTGTGTTTAATAAAATGCATGTTGGAATGTGCCAAACTGAGGATCGTTTGTAATTTATATTCAAGTTATATATCCACTCAACACAGCTAGAAGACCATTACAATAAAGACAGTCCGACCGTTTAACACAGCTTGACGTCATATGTTATTTTTACGGTCTCCTAATTTAAATATTGGTCTAGCATCGATTCATAGCGACATTGTTGGCGTGTTAACTGTAGCGTGGCTCTCCCCTTGTGTTAAGAGTTGTTATTGTAATTGTGAAAACCGTTTGATACGGACGAAAGCTGTTTGCTGAATCCTGTTTTTTTTTATCTATGTAACAGGTGCTAGTGGATGCCCTCACATAGCTGCAGGTCAATATCGACTCGTATATGGTTCAAGTTCGTCACGAATATAGAAATTATAGCACGGTATTGTTAAATATAGAAAACGCTGTATGCTTTGAAGTCTTTATTAAAGGGGTCCATGTAGTTTTTAACCCCTCTGTGGGATAGGAGGAGGGGGAGGGGGAGGAGCTGAAATATCTAGATAGTCACTTATCCTATCTGTTAAGTATCCCTCTTTGTTGTAGTGATGTCAAGTAGCGCTGGGTTATTTTTACAAGCTTATATTTAACTTGCTTCCGCATACTTGCCTTTGAAGTGCCTTTTTGTCTTCTTCCGTCATGGATCGAAACTGCCGAGCGTAATTTCGACCACTTCTAACTGACCGATTCGTTTCAAACTTTGCACGTGGGCCAAGACCCGTTGACAATGCCGTCTGACATAAAATTTGACTTTGATGCATAATTATTAATCTGTATTCATTTAATACAGTAGCGTGTTTTTTTTTAAACCTCTAGGTGGAGGTCGGGGTGTGGCTAATTTTGCACCCATGATGCATTTCGGAGATCTGCAGTCACTAGGTCACCAATCTCGCGCAATCAGTAAAGGAAAAAAAAAAAGGGTTTCAGGCAGATTTAAAAACGAAAAAAGATTCCCATCTCTTATATCCAACACAATTGTCTTTTTCTCGTGACGTGTTTAGAGTCTGCAGTGTCATAAACTTAGCCGTAGCCTTGAGCGTGCGATTTATTATTGAGCGTGGATTTATTATTGCCCACAGACCGTATCTCTAGTTTGAGCTGCATCATTTTAATACCTGAGCTACAATGCATACGTCTTCTTGTTACTTAATGTTTATCCGGGAGCAGGACATGACACTCTCCCCGTCAATTATCCCATCCCGGGCATAATCCCCGAAGCTATTACCCCCCTCCCCCTCCACGTCTCTTGACATTTACTCCTCCCCCCACCCATGTAGGGATAAGTTAGGGCTAGGGTTAAGGCTAGTGTCAGGACCAGGGTTAGATGTAGGTTTAGAGTTTGGGTTAGGGTCAGTGTTTCTTCCAGACTTTTTTCTCCGGGGGGGGGGGGGGCACTTGAAATTTTCGGGGGGGGGGGGGGCGGACACTGTTAAAAGTATATATTTTCTATATAAATTATATAAATTTCATATCGTTCGGGGGGCGGTCGATTTTTTTTTCGGGGAGGGGGGGGGGGGCGAAGAGATGCCTGGAAGAAAATCTGGTTAGGGTTCTTTAGCAGTTTTTCAGTTATTTAGTCGTTGCATCATTCTTGAATTATTCGCCCCCCTCCCTAATACAGTTACACAATTTGACATGCCATTTGAGTTTAGAACGTCAACTTTATGATAGATCCTATATAAAACGTCGACCAGATTATCATTTTAAAAAAAGTAGATCTAAAGTACTTCACGTAGGCCTAGTTTTCTGCCGCGTATAGTTAAAAATGTCGGCAAGACTTTGAGAGGAACTAACTCAACAAAATTAAATCAGTTGCTACTAAATAAAACAAGAGTAATTCCTGCGTTTAAATGACGGAAATTTGTTTTACAAAAAAATGTGAATGACTGATTTTCCTTTTTCTCCAGGTGAACTTGATTGTGATCATTTTCCTTTTTTCTCCAGGTGAACTTGATTGTGATCAGATTTTCCTTTTTCTCCAGGTGAACTTGATTGTGATCATTTTCCTTTTTTCTCCAGGTGAACTTGATTGTGATCAGATTTTTCCTTTTTTCTCCAGGTGAACTTGATTGTCATCATTTTCCTTTTTCTCCAGGTGAACTTGATTGTGATCAGATTTTCCTTTTTTCTCCAGGTGAACTTGATTGTGATAAGATTTTCCCTTTTTCTCCAGGTGAACTTGATTGTGATCAGGCCGACGGCGCAGGCCATCGTGGCCTTGACCTTCGCCTACTACATGCTCCAGCCCATCTTCCCGGACTGCAACCCCCCGCAGGTGGCCACCCGACTTCTGGCCGCCCTCTGTATCAGTAAGTCTGCCCTTTCTGCCCTCTGTCTGCCCATACTGCCCTCTATGTGCCATTAAGTCTGCCTTTTCTGCCCTCCTTCTGCCCTCCTTCTGCAAATACTGCCCTCCTTCTGCCAGTAAGTCAGCCTTTTCTGCCCTTACTGTCTCTTCCCTCCCTCTGCCAATATCACCTTCCATGTGCCAGTAGGTCTTCCCAACCCGTGCTGCCCAGTGTATCTTCCAGACTTTTTTTCTCCAGGGGGGGGGGGGGGCGGACAAATTTCCGGGGGGGGGGGGCGAACACTGTTAAAAGTATATATTTTCTATATAAATTCCATTTCGTTCGGGGGGGGGGGGTAGACCTACTTCGCCCCACCCCCGAAGAGATCCCTGGGAAAAACTCTGATGCTGCCCTCCCCTGTATTAGTCAGTCTGCCTTCTGCCCAAACCGCCATCCATGTGCCAGTAAGTCTGCCCTTTCTGCCCTCTGTACCAACCAGTCTGCCCTTTTTGTCCTCATCTGTAATCAAACCATCAACTTCCGGTGTGCTATTTTAAAATCTGAGCTAATCAGACGTAGTACTTTAGTCACATTAAATTACAGTCCACTTATAGAATTAAATAGAAATTGATGATTTTTCCTTCTGTTTTTTTTTAAAGTGCTGCAGTATAATTAGCAAGTAGTGTAGAAAAACAAAAACGCTATTAAAAACTATTAAATTAAGTTGGAGGCGTGTACTGTTGAGAGCAGTGCGTCATGCTTGACCTGATAAGTTATCTTAGTTACTTCTGTCCGTTTTTTAAAAGACATTACATAATACATTAGATGGCTGTCAGTTAAGTGTTTTCACAGTTTTTGGAAGCCATTTGTAATGTTAACACCCGCTTGTCTTGTTATTAACGGTCCTTGCCGCTTGCATCAATCACATACATGCTCCATACAGAATCTCTACAACCAAAATGTTTTTTTTTTGCTGTGCCACCATCATGTATCATCCAAAACTGACCAGAAAATTTTAGTCCACCCCCCTTCCCCTTCTATGGTCGCACCTCGTCATAAAAAGCTAGAACCCCCCCCCCCCCCTCCCTTTCTACTTACGGCAAAGCCCAATCCATCCCTCGCTCAATTTGAAAATCTGATTCCAGGGAAGCGATATTTTCTGACAGTACTCACCTAGTAGATGGCAATTTCCCTTTTCTTAGCTACATTTTCCCCCCACCCACCGTTCTCTACCCCCTACCGACCTCATTGGTTATCTTTGTCGACACTAGACGTATTGTTACTGTGGTAACTGATCGATTATTTGCTACTTGATCAAACGATAAACATGATTTCTGATGATCAGTTCACTAGAATTCGAGCGAAAAAAAGACAGTATTGTAAGCCGCCGTATGAAATGTAAATACACCCTGACGATACCATCACACACTGACGTTGATGACAGTGGCGTAGCTAGGGGAGGGTGGGTGGGGCGGCCGCTTAATGAAGCGCCAAAGGGGGTTGAAAAGAAATTAAGAAGTCCTTTTAAGCTGAAGTATTGAATTATACTCATTCAAAGTGTGGCATCATAGCTAAAGTTAGTGACTGGAAAAAAGCGCCACCAATTTTTTCAACTGGGTGGGGGGCGCTTTTTCACTAACATGAATAAATATAATTTTGATGGAAGGGGGGGGGGGGGCACACAATTAATAGTTCGTCCTGGGCGCCGGAATGGGTAGCTACGCCTTTGGTTGATGATTCCCCCTACACCCACCTCCATGCGGACGATTCCCCTCCCCCACACTCCTCCCACACACACAAAACTGACCCACACCAGTGATTGTTTTGTTGTTTTGCGCGGCAAGCGACTTGATCAGAATGTATCGAGAACGGCTGAGCGTGTGTGCTACCCCCACGCCGAGTCGCCTGTTTTATATGCATGAGATTTTAACACCGTGAGCTATCTACGTCTGGGGTTTCCCGCTAGTTGTAGTCCGATATCTTGTTTGTTTCGTCGTTTTTTTTTCGCTATGTAGATTCGTGTTTTTAAATGAGCCGAATTTTTTTATTGGGCTGAATCTGCTAAGTAAGAAATGGAAGATAGTATTGTGCAATATATTAGCGTGGCTTATTGCTATTAATGAGATGGGGGTGGGGGTTTCGTTAGTGCAGTGGTTCTTAACCTGGGCTCGATTAAACACCAGGGGTTCGGCGAGCCAGTCTCAGGGGTTCGGCGTTGACCAAGACACACGCCCGACTTAAATGAATCACGATCGGATTTTGTCAGAACGAACAATAGAATTATTGAAAAGGGTTCAATGAATGCGCATAAGAAACTAGTGGGGTTCGGTACCACAAAAAAAAGTTAAGAACCACTGCTTTAGTGTCTATTATCTGTTAGCTTAGTTATAAGATTATGGGGGCTCGGAGAATAGCGTTATTTTGGTGTTAGATTTTATATATAAAAAATGAAAACACATTAATATAGATCTAGATCTGACGACTTCTTACTTAACGTGAACAGCTTGTACGAGGACAGTCAGGCTACATCCGTATTGAATACTTAATTATGTAGATTGGCGTGTTAATTAATGGATGGTGAAGAGCTTTTGTAAATTCACAGCCTTGTGGTTTTATAGTATCTTCCGTTTTTGTTTGCGGTGTATGTGATACGAACGTAGGGGTCGTCCATAAACGACGTCACATGCCTGGCGTGGGGAGGGGTTGGGGTGGAGGTGGGTTTTTTTTTTTGTGACGAAGTGAACAAATAGGAGTGGGTATACAAAACATGTGACGTGATATTTAATTTTAGAACAAAACAACTTAAACGTCAATTTACGTCAGATTTAAAACTATTTAAAGGGGGTTGGGGGGGGGGTGTTGGGACGTTGTGATAGGGTTAAAAACAAGTGGTTATAGAACATTGGGTATTGGTTTAGACTTGCAATGTTGTAAGCTTAAGGAAAGTAATCAAAACATGATTACGTAGTCGAGTATTACTGAATGTTCAATGAGAACATTTATCTTCATTTTTCTCTTCTTTTTTAAATGGGATAGATCCATATAGTATTCAGAACCTGTTTACAGAGAACTTGTGTAAACAATGTCTGTAGAGACTTGTATAGATCATGTCTTAGAACATATCGTTAGAACATTCAAGGGAACGGTGTTTTCAGCATCTGATTTGGCATCCCCCCCCACACACACACCACGTGTGCTGTGAACTTATAGGGTTTGATGGGTATCAAGGGGGTCGGCGTGGTCGAGTCGGTTAAGCCCATGTTAGCTAAACCGAAAAGTCTCGAGTTCGAACCCTTGGCAGATGAGGCTCGTTAGCTGGGGACAGCCACTCTTCTAGGAGAGACAACTCCAAAATCAAAGAACTGCTGCCTTGTAGTTTGTTCTTGGTTGGACAAAGGCTATGGAAGCAAATCCAAAAAAGAAAGGCAAGCTGAAATCGGAGTCAATAGCCTCAATGGCGCTTAACCAGTTGACACGTATCCTTTATTGTGATGGAGGCGTGTTGAAAAAAGTCTCCAGTTCAAACCCTCTGGCAGATATGGATTGATACCTTCCAACACTAACAATTAAGAATGAAGAAGAAAAAGATGGGTATCAAGGATATCTCATGTAACTCCATTGGAATTTTGGAACCCTAAATTTAATATATTGTACTCTTTACTTCATGCAAACCCAGCCTGTTATGAAAAATATTTACTGTAGTCTGAACAGTTGCTGATGATTATCAATGACATTTTTTTTTCTTTGATATTCTCACACATTGAGGAATAGAAATTCATGAGAGTTTAAAAAAAAATACAAAACTTAACAAGCATTAGTTCTTATTGATTTGGATTAATTAGGCTAATTACACCAGTGAGCTGCTGATTTAATGAATTGAGTTCTTAGAGTCCTCCTAATGACATCTAATCCTGTCATTTCATGATATGACACCTGATGGCTTCATATCTTGACATTCAAATGTCAACTACACACATAATGCCTCACAGGAAATCGATATACTGGTTTAGGAAGCAGGACATTCCCCCCCCCCCCCCCCGTCATTTACCCCAGATATTCCCTTCACCACTAACATTACAACAGAGCAGTTACCCCCCCCCCTGCAAATCACCCCCCCCCCCGTCAATTACCCCCAGACATTCCTCCCCTCCGACGTTACCACAGAGCAATTACCCCCCCCCCCTCCCTGCAAATTACCCCCCCCCCCCAGATGATTCCCCATGGTCATTTAGAGATAGATGCAATGTGGAGGATATGTTAGGGCTTGGGTTAGGATTAGTATAGGAGTTGGATATAGGTAATGGGTTAGATGTAGGTTTAGATTTGGGGTTAGGATTGGGGTTGGGGTTAAGGGTAATTATAGGTTTGGGGTTAGGGTTTGGGTCAGCTTACTTAAGTTTCTGGGTGTGGTGGTGGTGGTGGTGTGTGTGTGTGGGGGGGGGGGGGTCATTACCCTGTGGGGTAATCTACAGGGGTAATATAAGGGCTAACATTTGTGAAGGTTTATTTCTGTAAGGTACCCTAACATTTCTGAACATTTATTTCTCTAAGGTACCCTAACATTTCTGAACATTTATTTCTGTAAGGTACCCTAACATTTCTGAACATTTATTTCTGTAAGGTACCCTAACATTTGTGAACAGTTATTTCTGTAAGGTACCCTAACATTCGTGAACATTTATTTCTGTAAGGTACCCTAACATTCGTGAACGCCATGAGTGTGAGAGCGGCCACTAGGATCCAGGACATCTTCACGGCCGCCAAGCTGCTAGCCCTAGTCATCATCATCCTCACCGGTGTTGTGCTCATTGCTAAAGGTACAAAACTTGTCGTTTTGATCTACTACAGTACAGAAGTTTAAAAATATTTCGGGTGTCTCAAGTTCGGATTCTGGGTACATCACTGAGTCCACTAAGCTTTGACACATCAGGGAAAGTAATGTCGGCTGGGCATGGTGCTGACCACACTATCCGTTCATATTCCGAGGTGTCACTGAAACAGGTGAACTCTACTTCACCTACCCATGGACTGTAAGGTTTGAAGGGGTACCTTATATGTTATGTAAAAGTAAAGTTTCCCTTTCAAACCTGACGAGCTACGCGGCAAGTGAAGTAGAGTTTACTTGTTTCTGTGACCTCAGGGTAGTGTGGGGATGTTATGTAATAAAATGTTATTGCTGGAATAACTTGATGTATATGTTTGTAGAAATGAGTTGAAGCTTATCAATGTATCCCCCCAGGTTCAGTGGAACACCTGAACACAGCGTTCGAGGATACGAATCTCAGCGTGGGCAAGATATCCCTGGCATTTTATTCCGGACTGTTCGCCTATGCTGGCTGGTAGGTTCAGACGTGTGGTGTGTTTCATTGTCTGCCCTCACAACTATGTTTTGTACCTGTTTTACCCTTATATGTAATGTAGTTAGTAGATTTGTTGTTCTTACCTGTGTAGTGTTTTATACCTGTATGCTTACTTGATGTGCTTTGTACCTCTTATGTGTTTTGTATGTATGTTCTTACTTGTTAGATGCTTCGTACCCGTACTCGTAAGGTTCTTCATATTTATAAGGTGCATCATACCCATAATTGCTTTGTACTCATAAGGTGCTTTATCCCTGTAAGGTGCTTCATACCTAGAAGGTGCTTTGTACCTGTAAGGTGCTATGTACCTGTACGATACTTCATAGTTGTAAAGTGCTATTTTCCCATAAGGTGCTTTGTATCTATAAAGTGCTATATACCCATAAGGTGCTTTGTACCTTTTAAAATGCTATGTACCCCTAAGGTGCTTTTTACTTGTATCTCATGTCCCAATGTTTGTCCACACCATTTGTGTACACCAGCTGACCTTGTAATCCTCACCGCTGTCAACCCTCAGCCCACTGGTTGAGTTAGTAAATGCCGTTGCTGTTAACCTAAGAGCCCTGGTTTAAATCCTGCTTGCGCACTGCTTTGATAGATTTAAAAATTGTTTACTATTATTATTTAAAAGGGAACTTTATAATCTTAAATTATTCAAATTATTATTTTAAAAAAGTGCGTACTTATTGTTTCCCTAAAAATTCTCCCCCTTACATATTATTTTACACAGACCCACTTGATATGAAGCTGATGCATCAAATTCTGTCACATTAGTATTCAGTCAACAAATGGTTTTATAAAGTGCTTGTCAGAAATCATCTTCCCCATCCTCTTCCCATCCCCCCCTCCTCCCCCCTCCCCCCTCCCCCCAATTACACGCGGGGCAGTGTGCACATCAACAGATCAATAATTTCCTCATTACCTACACAGACATTGACGTCACTTGACCTTCGACATGACACCTTAAGCCCCATGTCCCCAAGTTAACCCTTTGGTTGTGAACGAGAAGCCTATACCAATCTTTGTTCATTGGTGGTTACGTTAGGGTTAATGGAGTTCATGTACATTGCTGCTAAAAATAAATGTTGGGTCTGATTTAGAGTTACATTCAAGCAGCTAAAAAAGGACATTTGTCATTTAAGAAAAGTACAGTTCCCTTTTCGAACCTGATGGTGCATGGTGCAAGTGAAGTAGAGTTCACCTGTTTCTGTGACCTCTGCATTTGATGGGAGAAGGTGGTTAGCACTAAACCCAGACGCCATTTTAGAATACTTATTTTAAAAAGTTGTTGTGAAAGATTACATTATTTTAAAAACCAAATGAGTTTTAAATTTCAAAGTTTTAGTGACTGTTATTTTTAAAAAAATCTATGATTAGTTAACTAACAAAAGTTATATACAAAAGTTATATACAGAAGGATGTTGTATGGTAACTATACATGTACATAATAAACATAGTTTGGCCATAGTCTAATATTTGTATTAAAGGGTTATGTGTATATATGTACACCAATGACATACAATGGCATAGTGCTGACCATACTATCCCGAGGTCACAGAAACAGGTGAACTCTACATCACTTGACCCATAGGCCATCAAGGTTCGAAAATGGGAATTTTATTTAACTTTACATGTCAGACAATGCCAATATAAATGAGCCTTCTTTAAAAAGGGAGTGTTAAATTAGTGGTAATAAACTAAACCTTTATACATCTTGCTAATATCAATGCTGACACTACCATAGCCCAAAAAAATCCTTCATTTCTGATCCTAACACTCTGCTTGATATTACAATAGTATGAACAAGTATTATACAAGCATTATACTAAAAACAAGTAGCGGAAATATTTAAGAAGAAAAATGAAATAAATATAAGCTAAAGTGTTAAACCATGGCTCTTGAACGCCACTCCAACCCATATTACTCAATATAACATAAACATATAAAGATAAACCACAACCCCATTCCCTATGTGTTAAGTAATATGTGCACATCTATAAAATTAATGAGTTGACTTGGAGCAATAAAACAATGATTAAATTAATGAGCTGGATTAATCTCCCACTACCTGGTGAGTTTCCCAGGTAAGATATAATCTGTCTACATCAGCCGTTAGGGGCAGGGCCAGGGATTAAGTCTTTAATCCCATTCAAGTCCAAACTGTATTTGAACTGTGGTTAATGGCATGACCCAGGGCAATGTGATCCAAGTGTGTATTTGAAATGCATAGAGTTGGATTGTCTGTGCCCTGTATGCTTTGCTCACTGGCCTGTAGGCATGTCTGCTTCAACTATCAGGGGAGGGGGGATGTGGGTGGGTGTTACTGTTCTATTTATAGAATTTTTAGGTTCTGAAAAAAATACTTTTTTAACATTTAAATTTTTTTTTTTTTAGTTTTAGATCTATACAGTTTGAGAGAATTATTAATAAAGTGTATTTATAATAATTAATGAAAAAGTAAATATGGCATATAAAAATAGATCAAAATAACCATTATGGAATGCAATAATGTTTCTGTTGGTGAACAGTTTTGTTTGTTATCTCACCCCTTAACTGGCCTGTAATAAAATGACAGTTGGGAAAAAGGTACATATGACTACTAGATCTATAGGACTAGATTAGGGCAGAGGTCGGCAACCTGCATCGTGCATGCTGCTCTTTTGATGTCAATTAGCATGTCTCTCCAGTTCCATAATAATTATATTCTTTTATTATAAAAACTAAAAAAAAATTATACTGTGAAAACAAAAAGAACTTTAAACAAAATTAAAAACAATGAGAATAGGTGGAGTAGAACATGGACAGCTGACAGCCGCTGGGCCCAAAACTATGCTATGGCCAGCCCCCTGGCAATGGTTCCATGCTTTCCACTACCAAAGTGCACATTAAAATGTTTGTGGCTCTTTAAAAATTCGGAAATTTTGTAGATTGGAAATTTAGGCACTTTAGTCTCAAAAGGTTTGCAGACCCCTGGGCTAGGGTTTTGGGTTATGTATTTTGTGATACCTGATGTAAGTGTGACAAGACAGTATGCAATTTAAAACCTGCATAGGCTTGTAGACACGCAGACAGTGTTGCTTTAAAATTATTCAGAATATTGAAATTTTCCTTAAGGCCCCTTTTCTTAACATTTAAAGAATTGTGGCACAATATTCTAATATTAAAAAAAAGTTATTTCTGAACTAGTAGTTATAATACATGTTGTTCAGGTAAAGGTGAATTGCTAAATATTTATCTCCCCTTTCCTTGCAGGAATTTTCTCAATTTTGTCACAGAAGAAATGATTGACCCATACAAGTGAGTTAGCACTAGCAGTTTTTTGTTTGCTTGAGCACTTGAACCATGAAGTATTTACCTCCCCTTAATTACACCCTCTTATGTTTGAATTACCTCCCCTTAGAGTTGAATCATGAACTGCACATTAATGTATATTTCAATAAACAATAGCATAATGGTTATAAATAAACACATTAAAAGTTTATATAAAAAGTTTGACAACTAAAATTAAATTTATTGACAGGCTCAAAAATTAAAATTGCGATTTTTGTGAATAGATTTAATTTTAATTGTTTAATATATTTATTTTTGAATATTTAAAAATGTTAACTTTTAAAAAAATAAAATAAAAACATTAATATTTTAATTAGCATTGAGTCATTGTCTTCCCTTCCCCAGAAATTTGCCCCGTGCTATTTATATCTCCATTCCACTGGTCACCATGGTCTACGTGCTGGTCAACGTGGCCTACTTCACCGCCATGTCACCACAGGAGATGATGACGTCCTACGCTACAGCAGTGGTGAGTCCTTTTAGCTTGACCACAGTCCCACCCCACACAATACCACAGGAGAGTATGAGATTATGTTGTTCTATGCTACAGCAGTGGTCACTCATTTAAGCTTGACCCCTCCCCCCATCCACCCCCTATCACAGAAGATTATGTTGTCCTATGGTGGTCAGTTTTAGCTTGACCGCTACCCACCCCCTATCACAGGATCCTAGATATTTTTTTAGTTTTTGAGTGCTAGAGCACTTGACTACTTACCTGAAAGTCTCAAGTTCAGTTACCAGATCGGAGACTGTAGGACGTTCCTGAGTTCACTCGGTGATGCCGGTTTGGCTCAAGTTAGGGAAGTAAGTGTGGCTTGACATTTTCCCTTGAAATGTCAAGGGCACAGAAATGGGTGAACTCTACTTCATACGCCTTAATTAGCCATTGGGCGCTGAAACCAGCAAACTCTACTTCATCTGCCTTATTGACAATAGGGCACAGAAACAGGTGAACTTTGCTTCATCTGCATTATTGGCTGTCATGTCAAAAATGGTAACTTTACTAATAATTTTAAGTTGACCCAAATCATGTTAACATGAGTCTTCTCATATTAAATTGAATCCTTCTCATTTTGTATGACCCATATCAAACAACATGAAACTTTTTTTTAGAAGCTTTCTGTTATAATTTGGTTTTCTTTTTTTCTCATGCTCAGACTTTTGGTCAAAATGTGTTTGGTATAGCTGCTGCCATCATTCCTATTTTTGTTGCCCTCTCCACATTTGGAGGAGTTAATGGCTTGCTCTTCACTTCAGGAAGGTAATTATTTTTTTTTGTTGTGCTACAGTCAACTCCTAGTTTTACCACAAGCATTAAAACAAATTTGTGGTTTTTATGGCTTGTGGCTGGGGGTGTAGAACAATGAACAAATAACTATTTAATTTACAATACAAACTAAAGTAACATGGCTCTGTATGTATATATATAGTCTCACATCCCATCTCACCTGTGTGTTAAATTGGATCTCACCTGTTGACCCCTTGTTTGCCACAGATTGTGTTTTGTCGGTGCTAGAGAGGGCCAGCTGCCTGGCATCATGGCCATGATCAGCGTCACACGTCACACACCTTTACCTGCCATTTTATTCACTGTAAGTATTTTATTCACTGTAAGTATTTTATTCACTGTACGTATTTTATTCACCTTTGTGTTTTTACACATGGCGTACATGACTTTCATAGACTGAAGCAGTGGGTTTGTTTGTTAGACTAATGTGAGTTGGGCATTGTGAAAACAGTCTCCAGTCCTTACTTAGATGTAATAAGAGTATCTGTGTTGTTTACTTATCAAAGTTTGGTAGGTAAAATAGTTTAATTAAAATTAAGCTTTTTTAATTAGATAAACTATCGCGTAACCATGGTCATTTAAAAAATTAATTAAACTACCCTAATTAACATTTAAAAAAAAACCTGGTAGAAAATGTTCATGAAAGGTTCATTTAGTAAAATATACAAAAAACAAAAAATGTGTTTTTTTTATGATAAATTGGGGTGATACCGGTCTTTAAGTACAATGTGTTAGCTAAAGGTCTGTGTGTTGCGTACTATAGCTATGGCTTACAAGTGTTTTTTTTCCTTAATGTATCACTTAATGTTGGTGGTATGGAATAGCATGGTCAGATGGTAGAATGCATAGCTGCTACTCTGAAAGATTCAAGTTCAGATCCTAGACTCGAATACATAAAATGACTTAAAGTTTACCCACCTGTAGAGGTAAAGCCAGGTAAAGATGGCTGGGAATAGAAGAGACCACACTATCCGTTTATTTTATATGCCGAGTTCACAGATTCAGATGATCTCTACTTCATTGGCCTTACACACTGGCTACATAAAAGTAAAACACTGTACTTTTTAAAACATGGGGATCATGTGTTCTATCCTCTAACATAGATAACCCATGGCTGAAATAAAATTCTGTTTTTGTTATAAATTTGTCTAGGGAGGACTTTCTATAGTGATGCTCATCTCCGACAACATCTACTCCCTGATCAACTACCTCAGCTTCACCCAGTGGCTGTCTGTAGGGGGGTCCATTGCTGGCATGGTGGTGCTGAGGTTCACTAGACCTGAGATGAAAAGGCCCATCAAGGTAGGTTTTTATATGTTTGTGTTTAGGTTTACTGTGATGAAAAGACCCATTAAGGTAGGATGTTTTTATATGTTTGTGTTTAGGTTTACTGAAATGAAAAGGCCCATTAAGGTAGGATGTTTTTATATGTTTGTGTTTAGGTTTACTCAGATAAAAAGGCCCATTAAGGTAGGATGTTTTTATATGGTGGTGTTTAGGTTTACTCAGATAAAAAGGCCCATTAAGGTAGGATGTTTTTATATGGTGGTGTTTAGGTTTACTGAGATAAAAAGGCCCATTACGTAGGGCTGTTATGTGGGGGTCTAGGACATTACCCCCCCCCTGTTAATTACCCTCTCCCACTGACATTATCCCCTGGAGTCTTTATCTGCCTTGTCAATTACACCCCCCCCCTGCTAAAGAACCCTAACCCAAACCACAAGCCCATCCTCTTCCCACACGGTGGTCCTTTTGTACACTTGACATTTTAAAAAAAATATATATTAAAAAAATTTCCTAGTAAAACACAAATATTAATATTGTTTTGCACTATTGGAATTATGGCACCTCTTTTTGTGTCGGAAGTTAACCCTAACCCCAACATCAATCGTAACCCCAACTCTAAACCTACATCTAACTCTAACCCTTACCCTATCACTAGCCATAACCTTAACCTAACCCTAAGTCTATCCCTAACTGGGGGGAGGGGGGAGTAATATCCCACTCCCATTACATCAGTTTATAAATACATGTAATATCTCTGGGAATTGTTTAAAAACTAGTGTAAAATCTCAAAAACAACTTTGTGTGAAATCTTTAAAAATGCTAGTGTTAAATTAGCAAGGACATGATAAGTTAGGATTGATGCAAATTCAGTAGGGGAAGGACCTAATCAATTACTAAAAATAAACAGTTTATTAGTGGTTAAAGAGCGTTTTTAAAAATTATTTTGTTTTTGTAAGTTATGTAGCCTATGTGGTTACTATACATAAAACAGTTTTTTTTACCTTACGTGCTTGGTAACAAAATGTTGTGGCCTGATGAAACAAACTGCCAATGCCTGCCTCAACTCACCCCCCTACATTACCATCCCCAGATGCCACTGGTCATCCCATTCCTGTTCCTGGCCATTGTCCTGTTCCTGTTGATTGTGCCGCTGGTGGCCGCCCCCTACGACACAGGCATGGGCGTGCTCATTGTGTTTTCAGGGGTGCCAGTCTACATCCTTGGTGTGGTCTGGAAAAATAAACCTAAAGCATTCCAAGACATGATGAGTAAGTTGACGAATCTTGTTTAGTTTTTTGGTTTTTTAGTGCACTTCGAATATTAATTTTCAGGCTTTAACTACACTTTAAATATCAGTTTTTATGCTTCATCGCACTTTGACTACACGTTTTATGCTTGATTACACTTCAGATATTAGTTTTTAAGCTTCAAGCATACTTTGAATATTGTCTCTTAATTTAAGAACCTAATTTAAAAAGTTTGTAGCAGACTATTAATTTTTGACAGTTTAGCATGTATAAGATTAATATTTCCTTGCTTAATTTTTTTTATACAAATGAGCACAAAAATGAACTTGTGGTATGCCTTTGAAACAGATGAACCTTTAGTTAGTACATTGCTGTGGCACTTTGATTTAATTGTTGTATTAAAATAAACTGCTTAAATTTTAAAAATTTCTTATCATTGTGGATAGGTTAACTATCAATGAAATAATTTTTTCTCATTTTTCAGTGAGTTTGACTGTAATGGGACAAAAAACAATGGGTGTGTCCCCCACAGAAGATCAAAAAGAAATCTAAACAAATTCAACTGGACATTCTGAAACTGTGTATCCCATAATGCACCTGGATTTCTCTTATTTCCTGTTGTGTTGTATTCCACACAGTGCTGCAGTGAGGGATAATGATTAATTTTTTTTTTCTAATGACAGTGCAATGTGATCATCAGACATTATCTACATTATTGTAGTTTACACTGGAGTTTACATTATTATTATTCATAATGTTTTACAAACTGGGTTCAATGACCAACCATGACAGGTGGATATGCAATACTGGCCGAAATGGAAATTGTTTAATTGGGATATATTGCCCGTCTTGGCATTCAGAAAACTCATGACAAAAACATTCATGTTGACTTAAATGGTTTTATACCCAAGTTTTAGGAGAAAGTTTCAGTGTATTCTTTTTTAAAAAAGATTTATTCTTTAGCACAGTGGTGCTATCCACACACTTGGTCGTGCTATACACACACTTGGTCATGCTATACACACACCTGGTGGTGCTATACACACACCTGGTGGTGCTATACACACCTGGTGGGGCTATACACACCTGGTGGTGCTATACACACACCTGGTGGTGCTATACACACACCTGGTTGGGCTATACACACACCTGGTGGGGATATACACACACCTGGTGGGGCTATACACACACCTGGTTGGGCTATACACACACCTGGTGGTGCTATACACACACCTGGTTGGGCTATACACACACCTGGTGGGGATATACACACACCTGGTGGGGCTACAGGTGAACTTCTAATGTGGTGTAGTGTCGTAATGTGCTAAACCAGCATTCTGTGTCTTCCAAACAAGGGCCGGAACTTGCCTGATTGTGCACAACAAAGGGGGATAGTTTGCCTGCATGTTTGTGTACAAGAAAGGGGGATAATTTGCCTGCCTGTTTGTGGCCACGAAAGGGGAGACTTTGCCTGTTGTTTAACATAATGTAGTTGGTTGGGGGGATAATTTTTTTTTGTTTAGACAAAATAGTTGAAAGGACATGACTGGTGGATTAACAGGGGAAAGAACTTGCCTGATGTATTATTAGGGGAAATAACTAGCCTGGTGGAATCACCAGGAAAAAGTATTGTCCCTTTACTTTTTACACTGTTTTAATTTATTGCTGTGGAATTTCAGAATACTCCTTTTAAGATCTGCTGAAACAGAAACGGACTGGTGTTCAATCATTTATTTGTGCATCTTGTGTTTAATTTATTATGCAAATTTATTGAAAGGTCTGAACTGTTAATGGTGTTACTTAAAGTTATAATGGAACAAAGTTTTTTTTTAGAATGACGTTGCTTGAATGCACAATTGGATTTGTTTTGTACATATTCAGGTACAACCCCTTAATTACTTAAAATTTAAACAAAAACATGCTGAAAATATTTTTACCAGTGTCAATTATACTTATATGTTAATGCTTAATACTTCTATTTAATAATTTAAGCAGACATTTTAATTTCTTAGAGCACAAGAGAATAATCAGGATTGCATGAAGCATTGATAATATAATTTACGTTTGTCCTAACTCACTGTTTTCAACATTCCAACGATAATAGGGCTGGTAAGTAGGTCACCAACCAGTTCTATGGCTCATGCAGGTTTTATTGAGCCGTAGAACTGGTTGGTGACCTACTTACCAGCCCTATTGTCTGCTCTCCCGAATGTTAAGTTTAATATGGTCTCAGTTGAATATAATAGGCATTATTTTATTATAGGCTTGTATTTCAAAGTATTGTTTATATTTTAAAACTGTTTCAGGTTTATATTTTAAAACATTTACACGTTTTGAAACTGTTGCAGTTTATTTGTAGTTCATTGCAGGTATACACTATCAAAACGTAATATTTTAAAAACACATTTCGCCACTTGATTTAATTCAGTATGCAATGTTATGTAATTTTCCAAGAATCTCAAATAGTTCCTTCACATCGCTAGTCATCAAGGGTCATTCATAAATGACATCATGCAAGTTCTGTCACGTTTTCGCTCTTCACCCCTTCTTTGACAGTCAAAGCCTGCCTCGGAATAACATGAGTTTTCATGACCTTTATTTTTACCAAGTACAAAAATATATGCTGACACATTTTCTTCACCTACCTTTCATCACAAAATTAGCACATCTAAGAAAAACAAGTCCCCGAGGTGCATGATGTCATTTATAGACAACCCTTCAACCCAGAGTTTTATTTTTTAGTACTGCTCATGATATATTTATCAGTCCAGGAATGTGACATTTCACCATAGTATGTCATTTTACAACTGCAGCTTTTTCAAGATAAAGCAAAAGCTCCTTAATAGTGTTGGAATTTAAAGTTTTTTTAATTCATCCATTTTAGGTGGAATTTTTTTTAAAGTGCTCAGTCTCAATTCAAACATTTTATCGATAAGTAAATTGTTACAATTATTTGTGACATTTTAAAATATTTAGTCATAACTCAGAAAGTAAAAAAAATGTTTGCATTATATGACATCTCCTAAATTTGTAATCAAATATGCTGCAAGTATATTAAAACTATTTGTAACTTATGGAGCAAAAAAAAATACAGATTTTAAGTATCTCACAATTGAAATCAAACATTTACACAATCTAAATAAAAACAGATATGACTAAAAGTGGTGGAGCGTCACAATTTAATTGGGTCCATTTTGTAAACAAACATTTACAAGTTGTTTGATACAAAACCCATGTTCCTTATTGCCACTAAGTTTATTACTGGATGTGTGTGGGGTGTGGTCTATTTATTTTCTGGCAAGAATATTGAATTTCTATTATTATGTTTGTTTCCTAACTTAATTTGTGTAAATAGTATCAGTACCTGTGTCCCCCGTTAGTTAAGTACTAAATTTAATTTGGCATTAAATTAACCTTTAGTTAAGGACTAAATTTAATTTGGCATGAAATTAACCCTTAGTTAAGTTCTAAATTTAATTTGGCATTAAATTAACCTTTAGTTAAGTACTAAATTTAATTTGGCATTAAATTAACCTTTAATTAAGTACTAAATTTAATTTGGTATAAAATTAACCTTTTAAAAAAAGTCTGTTTTATAGATGAGCCAATCAAATGGTAGGTTATTCTAAAGTTATTTTAACATTACTGGTGTTGGTTGTATGATACAGATGGGTTTTTGTGTGTTGTAAATAGTGTAGATAAAAGTTGAACAGAATGAAGTGTTGTTTTACATCTTTTCTTTTGATGTTTTTAAGATAATCACTGCTCAAGAGTTGTATGATTAAGTTTTAGTAATTAAAAGTAGATTTACATATTGGAATTTTCAGTTTAATGTATGAGCGTTTTTAATGAAATATTGTTTTTAAAAGGTTTTATTTTTAGGTTAAAAATTTACATTTGTTAAATATTTAAAGTTAGATGTTTTTACCACTTTTCTTGTGTCCATTATCTGTGGTTGGGTTTGTTTGTAGTCAAATTTTGAAGTTAGCTGTTTTTACCACTTTGCTTGTGTCCATTATCTGTGGTTGGGTTTGTGGTCACATTTTTTTGTAACTCACTAAACACATTTTTCTGACCAACACTTACCCTTATAAACAAAGTTCCTTCTCATATTGAGTTTTGTTAAAAGCTTGTTATCGTAAGGTTTATACATATACTTGTTTTGGTGAACCACTTCCCTAACCTAATCTCATGAATCGGTGTAGATCTTTGTATGTGATATTAGAATTTCTATTTCTTTCTAATAAAAAGTCAATATCTTGTTATCAATGGAGAAAATCGATGTCGTTGTTTCCAAATTTGCTATATGGATACATTTATTTGTGCATGGTTGATTCATATGTAGATTAATTGGTGCACTTGTTAAAGGGAGGTGTTGTATTGTTAAATATGAATAAAAAGTTAATAAAGAATAATTTTAGTGTAGACGTAAATTCTTGATATAATAAACCGGGAGTGATCTCCCCTAAACTTTCTCGAATATTCTTATATAAAATAACAGGGGATGGAAACTCGGGCTATAGACATGATTTTTAATCCATTTCAAATACTTAAAGTTTTAAAAATAGAATAAAATCTCGTAGACAAATTAATTGCACACCAAGTGAACGCAAATAAAAAAAGCGCATAATAGTGCGCAATATTATTAGTACTTTTAAAATTTACATTAGTTTTTTGAGAAATCGGAAGTAGCGTAAATTACTACTTCCAGTCAACGGAAATTACTCAAAATTTAACAGAAGGTAGAGAATTAGATCTTTTACTTACATGTGAAATTTCATTTATCTATCTGAAATAGTACTCAAGTTATAGGCTTTTAAAAAATTCAAAGTAGGAAAAGTACCACTTCCGGTTATCGGAAATCGCTCAAAAGTTGATACGGATCTACGATTTTGATAAAATACTTATATATGAAATTTCATCAACCTAGCTGTAACGGTACTCAAGTTATCGTGTTTACATACGGACAGACAGACACAGACACACACACACACAGACATACGGACAAGATTGCAAAATTATGTTTTTCCGTATCAGTGAGGTGTAAAACGTCGAGATTTGTAAAAATCTCGATTTTTTTTTTTTGCACGATTACAATACTTTCTCTATACTACGTATATACGAGAAAGTAAAAAAGGGCATTAGGTTATGTTATGTATGTAGATGCTTGAAAAAAGGAAAATTAATTTTGTTGAACTTTTTAATAAGCGTAAATGTTAATAAAGCATACTAGATATTCGATTGGTATTATGTTGCAGTTGACAAGTTAGGCATTACTATTAAAATTGTTTAACAGTTGATCAAGAAATGAGTAAAAGGGCATTAATTAATGGTTTTTAGATAGTGTATCAAGCCATGGATAACTGTCTCTTTTCCTACAGGTCTAAGAAAGATTTTTAAAATTACTTGTTTACTTAGAAAACAAAATGTGCACAGGTTATTAAATCAAAACCAGAAAGAATGAATTTTAAAATTGTGAATTTTTCACTGCCATATTTTAAAAAAATGTTTGTTCATTTTTATTTGACTAGATGTTTACAAATTTTTTTCTTATTTTTAATGTCAACATTAACTCAACTCTTAAATTTAGCTTTTGAAATGTTTACTTATTGTGTAATGATTATTTGTATTATTACCTTAACATTTTTTTTTCTTGTTGGCCTTTAGTTTTCAAAATTTCAATTCTAAAAACACATTTCAACAGGCTAATGGCCATGTTAAGCTTTTTTTTTAAAGGATTGACATGAACACATCTTAAATCTTTTTAAAAATTTTCTATATAAACTGGTGATGGATTAAAACTTTTTGTATAGTGGGGGAAAACTTGGAAATAGTATCTTAGTAATAAATATTACCCAAAAGCTTTCAGTTTCTAAAGATTTGAGATTGTTATCATCGAAACCATTTCAGGGAAGATAAAATTATATATATATAATCCTTATTGAAACTTTCAATTTTCAAATACTCTGAATTGTGTGGGAGATGTCTGTTTATTTTGTTTCTTCTGCACAGAAGTATGAATGTGCTTTTATTGTTCAACGAAAAATTTTAAGTTTTGATTCTTTACTTATGAATAAAATGCATTCATAAAATGATATTCAGATTTTTGTATCTGTAAATAAAAAAGGCTTAAATATGAGAGAACGAAATTGATTGAAGACAGGATTTCATATCTTTATTGCAATAGTCAAATGTAGTAGATCTACATGTGGCCAAAAATAAAACAGCAGGAAGTTCTTGTAAAAAAAAATATCCCTTTTTATATAATATGAAATAATAGGTGTGCTTGCAGGATTCTTCCAAATGCTTATTAAAATAAGCCAACATCAGTAAAAAAAGGTACAAGAATTAAAAAAAATGCATCACAAAAAAAATTACTTGCCAATAAAATTTACATGAAAGAAATTTCTCTATTGTTTGTATACAACATGTACATATAAAAACTCAATTAAAAATGTTTGTAAAGGTTGTACAAAAAAAAATAAAAATCGTACAACTTTTTTTACTCCCCGCCACAAATCATTGCTCTACAATATTTGTAAACCCATGGCTAAGAAATATACAAGCCACTGATATAAAAAAAAAACAACATTCAGAAATTTAAGATTTGTACTTCTGCCCCAGAAAAATGCCAAGTGCCACCACTCCCCCTGCCACCACAGCACCTGTTGCTACCTTGGTGATTGCCTTTTTGGCCAGGTACACCATCAAGCCTTTCTTGGCGCCCAACACAACCTTCTGAATGGTTCCTCTCTGCTGGGCTTGGTTCCAGTATTCGATTAGGGCTGGACGCTTCTCAGCAATCAAAAACCTGTAGTGAAATGAAAGTGTTAGAACTGTTTTATTTTTTTTTTACATTATGCTGGAATATGGACAACAGCAGGTGTCTATTTGTTTTGTTACATTGTCTGTTATAAATATTGTGCCCTTTCAGACTCGATTAATTTCTATGAAGTCAGGTATCGTATTCAGCATTACGCCCAGTCGGGACGGCGTGGCCTAGCAGTGGAGCGCTAGACTGCTAACCCGATAGTTTTGAGTTCGAATCCGGGTTCAAGTTAGTGGAACGTCCCTGAGTCCACTCAGCATTAGGGAAAGTAAAGGCTGTTGGGCATAGTGCTGACCACATTATCACCTTATATGCCAAGGTCAAGAAACATATGAACTCCACTTCATCTGCCCAATAGATCGTTAGGTCTAAAGAGGAATTTTTACTTTACTATGCCCAGTCACCTTTACTTTCCCTAATTCCAGTCAGGCACCCACTAGGGGTGTCCTATGGACGAGCCTCTACAAATGTAATTAGTACTCGTTAACCATGCAGACACAATAGGTAATATTAGTAGAGATTATTAGATAAATTTACAAATGTTAAAACTAGTCCCAGCTGAAAGTTGTATTTAAATCTAAAAATGATGCAGAGATATAAAGCTACATTAATGAACCATGAGTTAATTAATACATTTTTAAAATGTATTTTTAAAGTAGCCTATATAAAAACAAATACCAAAATTGAAAAATCATTGGATCAAAGAAAGTTGGAAAATTGTTAATAACGTAAAAATGTTTTTGTAAAAATGAGTTGACCAACCTCTGAATGAGACCAACATTGATAAGCCTGCCAAGAAGGATACAGAGGGTGATATCTGCTGCAGTAAAATTTGGCCCACACAACCAGTGCTGGATGATGTTTTCTGTTAAAGTTGACATGCAAATAAATATTTAACTGAATAGTAATATTTTGTTTACAACGCTAATTTATTTTTTATTAACAGCAAAGCCAGTTGACATTGAAAAAAAAAAGAAAAAATACCCAAAGAAATTTATAAATTTTAAAATCTGAAAATCATTTTATTATCTGTTTAAGTTTCCTCTGTCTTTTTTCTAAATGTGAAATCTGAAAAATACTATGTTTTTATCTTTCTCTCCCCCTCCCCCTATAACTTTTCCTGTCTTGTGTGGTATATCTTTGGTTGATCCTCTTTACCCACTCCCGTTACAGAAAAACTAACTTAAGCAATTATTTATTTTTAATATTATGTTCTAATTGTTTTACTAAATTTTTAAAAAGATGGCAATAATTTTTGAAGGAATTTTAAAAATTAACTTTTTAGTCAAAAAATAAATAAATTCTGAACAATGAGCTCACAAAGATTCATAAGGTTATAATATCAAATGTTAAACTTTATAATATTATTTTGCAATAAAGTATTTTGCTTAATACAAGTGCAGCATCATGATATCACATAAATCAGTAATTTTCTGAGTTTTAAAAATATTTAATTAGTATAGTTCAATAGTGAAATTAGGTGGTGTGTTAACCCTTGCAGCTTGCTTCTAAACAATAACTTATTTTGTTGGTAAATAAATACAAATTTTTAGTTTACTTTAAAAAAAAACTCACCAGTTCTGCTTTTCCTTAACTGGGCTTCTAGCTCATCAAACAATGGTTCAAGGTCATCAATCAGTTTAGCAATGTAGTTCTTGTCTAGCATAATAGAGGGCTTGTTTCTAAATTTCTCGATTTTGTCATCGTAGGCTTCTCTCAGGTCTGGGTTTTTGTCTCGAAGTGCTTCCATCCTTGCAACTGCTTTTTTGGCTTTCGCTTCATATCCTTGATAGTAGAAGGTTTATGGTTCAAAAGTCAGAAAGTACAATCTTCTTCTTCTTCGTTCTTAATTTTTTGTGTTGAAAGGGATCGAGATTTATCTGCCAGTGGGTTTGAACTCGAGACTTTTTAAAATTTATCAACCATGAGCTTTTTGCCGACTCGACCACACCTCCAACACAATTAAGGATACATGTCAACTGGTTATGCGAAATTGAGGCCATTGACTCAGATTTGAGCCTGCTTTTCTTTTTGGGATTTGCTTCCATAGCCTTTGTCCAACCAAGAACAAGCTACAAGGCAGCAGTTGTTTGATTTTGGAGTTGTCTCTCCTAGAAGAGTGGCTGTCCCTAGCTAACGAGCCTCATCTGCCCGAGGGTTCGAACTCGAGACTTTTTGGTTTAGCAACCATTAGCTTTACCGACTCGACCACACCGACCCCCAGAGAAAGTACAATAATAAAGACACATTTTTTGTTCATTTGTTAGATAAAAAAAAATATTTTCACTGTAAATGTATTTATATTTAAAATACAAAACTATGGAGTAGAAAAAGAATTTTGTAATAGTATTAAATAAATGAATGTCAACTATATTTGGTGCCTTTAAAAATAATTTTAAATATAATTTTAAATTTAAGTAGAAAAAAAAATTACATTTAAAAAAATATTTCTGAGTTACCTTCCTTAGTTTGTCTGTACATAGCTGGCATCTTGATTTCACCTACAGCAAGTTCAGGGTGCAACAAGACACCAAAGGTCAAACCTTCCACATTGAGGCTGTTAAACTTTGACCTCCATTCCTGCACTAGCTTGCCCTCTGGTGTGCTGGGGTCAGGGACAAGCACCGGAGCTGATAAAAATAAATTATTATTCATAATTAGGCACTAATCTATACATATTATTCTCTTCATGGACAAGACGACGCAATCTGAAAATCTAACCCTCCGCCCGCCCCCTCCCTCGCTCTCTCCAGGCATGCGCAACAGACCATTTCGCTACCACCCCCACCTCCACCAGTCTGGTGAGCTGTGGTTCACCCCGAATGTTTACAATCGTAGAGCCGGGTCAAATTAGTGACGGCTATAAGGGGCGGATAATTTAGCTTTTAAATGATTTGAAACTAAGGGGAGTTAAGAAGTTCTGCTTGATATTTTCATTGTCGCCTGTAAACTGACATCAAGGACGACTGCTTTCAAGGGAGCGGGGGAAGATAGGGTAGTGTCGAAATCACAAATTATGAATTACTGAAAAGTAGAAAATAAAACAACTAAATAGCGGTGTATACTACGCAGCAGGTCGGCTAGTTTAAATTTTTTAAAAAGTTGGATTTAAGTTTGTGCTTCTGCATTTTTCAGACTAGTTAAGGTCTTTATCATCTGTGTCTGACTATGCAGCGCTGTGCACATTTTGGTTGCCCTGGATATGCAATCAAACAGAAAATTAAAAGAAACAAGAGGAAGGGAAAAACTATTTGAAGACTCAGTGTGGAGGAAAGGGATAGTCAAACTTGTCTTGATTCAATGAAATTATCTATGTATTAACTAAAATTGTAAAGATTATAACATTCAATATGAAGGATTTTTTAAACAAACTTTAAGGTTGAACTACACAGTAGCACCATTGTAGTTTCCATTATTAGGGGTTATTAAAAAAATTACATTACATAACAATATACAATAAGTCTAACAAAAATGCAGGATAATTATAGTTATTATTATTGGAGAAACACAATTTTTTTAACATTAAACATAAAGAAAAGCATACAGTTTTAAAATAGTAACACCACCATCTAAAAGTTACCATTATTCAGTTTATCCACAGTGTCTATGACATTTTCAGACTCAGTGACGAACTTGTCGCCCAGCTTCAGCATGGGTACTTGCCCTTTTGGGTTCAGTCGCAGGTACCACGGCTCAGTCTGTTGGTGTTCAGGCAGGCAGATAACTGTTTGCTTGTACCTGACATTTTTCTCTTCCAGCGCCAACTGAGCCTGAAAACAGGACATGGCCTTGTAAACATCACTGCTATATTAGAAGGGATGGCATGGTTGGATGGTAGAGCTTACGACTGCTAACCCAAAAGTCTCGAGATTGAATCCCAGTTCTGATGGGGACCTGACTCATGTTAGGGAGTCAAAGACGGCTGGGCATAGTACTGACCACACTACCCCTTTGTATGCTAAGTTAATTAAAACAGATAAACACTACTTAATCTGTCCTATGTGTCTTGGGCAGGAATGGGAATAGATGATGATGATGAAGTTATCTAAGGAACTTTATTCTAACACAAACCCTATATTAAACTTTTACAGGGAGCTATAACGGGCTCTAAGGGACGGAGTGGTCTAGCGGTAGAGAGCTGGACTACTAACCAGTAAGTCTCGAGTTTAAATCCGGGTTCAAATCAGTAGACCATCTTGAGTCCACCCAACTCTGATGGCTACCTAACTCATGTTAAGGAAAGTAAAGGGGCTGGGTTGAGTTCACTTGCCCAATACACTGTCAGTTTTGAAAAGGAAACTTTTTTAACTTTACTTTTATAATGGGCTTTGGAAAATATGTTCTATCTCCCAGTATGAAAAAAAAATATCCCTATTTCACCAATAGATACAACGGGTGCACCCCATCTCTTATTTATACATAAAATAAAGTCTTTTATTGATTCAAATCATTTCAGGTTACTGTGCTATTGCATTTTTAATCACATTGATCTCTCAACTGTAATAAAACTTAAAGCAAAATGACTTTAAAGAATGTCAAATAATGAAATAGCACAGTAGGTCATTTGATCCACTGCAGCTTGGAGTGGAGTAAAGGAATTGGGTTTATAATCTGGAACAACCTAGATACAAATTTAAATTTTGGTGTGGGGAATGTTGATTTAGACCTCTGATTAAATAAGAACTACATTTTTGCCAAGGGAATGTTGATTTTGACATTAGGTTAGATAAGAACTTAGTTTCAGCCTATGAAATGTTCATTGCCTATGAGTAAGAACTTAGTTTCAGCCTATGAAATGTTCATTGGCTTTGAGTGAGAACTTAGTTTTAGCCTATGAAATGTTCATTGGCTTTGAGTGAGAACTTAGTTTTAGCCTATGAAATGTTCATTGGCTTTGAGTGAGAACTTAGTTTTAGTCTATGAAATGTTCATTGGCTTTGAGTGAGAACTTAGTTTTAGCCTATGAAATGTGCATTGGCTTTGAATAAGAACCCAAGCTGGAAATATTAAATACTGAAATATTAATGTTACATTTGTAAAAAAAAAAAACTATCTTAACTATAAAGAAAAATTTTAAAACACTCTTTGAATAGATTGGCTAGTTACCTTTTGAGAAAAAAATGATCCTGGCCAGAAAAATAACTGTACAGGTAGGGATGCCATAGTAAAACAAACTTCCTACAGTGAAGTCCTTCTATGTATGGCAACAGAAGACTTAAGCCTATTTTTAAAAATAAAGAAAAACTTTCAGGTAAAAAAAAACCCAAACACTTTTTATGTGTAGCTAATTTTAACACAAACAATTAGTGTAAACAATGCATACACAAAGGTCAATGAGTAAGCTGTTCAGCAGAAAATGCAAGTTCTTTTTTTAAATTTTTTTTGTCGCAGTCATGTCCCTTTAAACTTGTGTTTACTTTAAAGTCTCAATGTTTACAAATTTTGAAGGAGGCTGAGAACAAAGATAAGCAAAGTGTAGATCAAACAAAACTGGGTGAAGGTTATGAGCTTTAGTTTTGTAGAGCGCAGAATTTCTTCTGTGACTAAAATAAGTAGGTCTCGACCTAAAAACAAGTTCATTAGTAGGCAGTTTCTTTCAGACACCTTTTTAGGGAGCAGTGTTGCTTCCCCCCCCCCCCCACCCAACAAAATATAATTTATACAGAAAATGTACATTTTTACCAGTTTCTGTAGACCCCCTCTCCCCCCCCCCCCCCCTCCCTGAGATAAAAGTTTAAAAGAAACTGTTTATGTAAGCCGTAAGGCCTAACTAAATTTTGATAAAAAAGCCAACAAAGAGCTACCCATTTTATCATCTTATTAAACAAAATATTTTATGCTTAGTTTAGTCTTCAACAATCTGCTAAATAAAAATATAATTAATGGATCATTGTAAGCTAAAACAAGTGATTAATAATAATTTATATTATAATGTATTATGTATGAATGTTTTAGATTTAAAAAAAAATGAAATTTCGGCAAAAAAATAATTTCATTATAATAAATTAATATAGATCTATAGCCTGGAATAACTTTTAAGTGAGGTTAATTGAAATACCATGCACAATAATCAATGGGCTCTATTTAAATTAGCCAGCTATACACACATACGGATAGAAGGAGTTGCCTATACATAACTTTAACCTTAAATATAAGGGTAGAACTTGAGGTAAGGTGTTTAGTTTTTTTCTATTACTGGCCAAAATGTTCTTGCTAATTGTTGATTACTAGTGCAGAATGTTAACTCCAGCACACAAGTTTATTCCTGACCCTGTGGCAGTATTTACAAAATCATATTGGCAAATTTCATACATGCTTATTTACACTAAAGCTAAAGGTTTGAAACCCTTTGTGTCTTGGGCACAAAAAATAATAATTTTTTTTTTGCACACAGACAAAAGGTTGAAGTACACCCTGGAAAAAAATGCAAAATTATAAAAAGTGGGCAAATGTATTATATATATATATAAGGCTTATTGGAGGTTTTCCATAAGATTCCTTAGGCCTATAAATTTAATAATCAAAGTATGAAGGTGCAAAGTTAACATTAACGGTTAAAGCTATCAATAACAATAATAACATGGAAATGGGGATTTGACTTTTTGACACCATCACCATAGTCTATAGTAGACTACTATAACTATAGATCTAGTAATTAGTAAAGTTTTTTTGGGAGAATTTTTATATCGGTGTCCGATAATGAAATAAAAGGGGTGTTAGGTTACTGGTAGTTAACTAAATAACTAAATACTAAATACACACTTGGCTGGCTAATGTCAATGCTAACCCTGTCCTTAACCCTAACTAATACTTAGACTGTCAATTAGATTGCAGGTGGTTGGGGTGGGGGGTGTAAACCAAAAAGAGTAGTCATTCAAATTGCGTTTTAGTACTTTACTTTTAGACTCAATGATGATTGACTCAACGAGTAGAAGTCTCTAGGCCCTAGGCCTACAGCCTACGGTAATCTATCGTTTTGGGTACGTAAAATCGCCCGCGATTTGTAATGTGAAAAACAGGTGACTCCTTAAATTTTAATAATTATTTCACATTTTGAGGAGGATTTATGTTTTTAAAAATTCAAAAATGTTTCCTTGATTCATTTATGTACCTGTTTTTAAACAATTGAATTAAAACTTTTCCGTAATAAATGAAGACTAGCGATGTTTCCAACAGATGCAACCATGCTCATTTACTATAGCAGCCATCTTGTCTAAGTTTTATTTTTATAAGCTTTTAGCGCCAGATTCAGGGGGAAGCCACTCTATTTTACAAATGGCTGCTGTTTATATAGCAAATCTTGCTCTCAGACACTGCTGTTTAAAGTTAATTTCTGGCCTATATCGATATATTTAGCCATTGATTTAGGTTTATTATTCATTTATCTATAATATTTGACACAAAAGTATGACAATATACTTCTATTAAAGCCTTGACAATGAGGTAACGTTTTCGTACATAAATAGCCGCGGGCGATTTTACGTACCCAAAACGATAGATTACCCAGCCTACTGACTGAGTATTTAGTATTTTAAGTAAGATTTTTGTTTACAGCATCAGTCAGCTAGATAAAAAGCGCGGGCAAGTAACAAAGGGTGTTTGGATAATTAAATTATTATTTCAGTAAGCGATATGAAGTTACATGAGACCTACCTACGAAAGAATAAACAAGCCGTAGGGACGATGAGGTGAGGGACACCGACTAGGCTTAAAAACAATGGGTCAATAAAACGATTTTACCGGTGCTAGAATGAAGGTCAAAGGTCATATTTACAAAAGTGCGATGCAAGGGCGATAAACGTAGAAACCGTTTGGCATTAACGCCCTTGGAATATCTATATACTTTGTAAAATTGTAATATCAAAAGTTGTAAATATAGGTTATATAGGCCTATCAATTATCACTCCCCCCCCCCCCGAAGTAAGTCTACCGCCCCCCCCCCCCCCCGAACGAAAAGGAATTTTTATAGAAAACATACTTTTACCAGTGTCCCCCCCCCCCCCGGAGAAAAAAAAATCTGGAAGAAACACTGATTATCTTAATCACCATTCTCTGCTAACGTTGTTTACACAATCAGAACCCTTACTCAAATTTTTAAAAAAATTAGATAAAAATTTTGTGAAAATAATTGACAGCTTTAATAAACTTTGTATAGTAAAAAAATTCATTGTTCAAAAATATTATTTTCTTCCCCATTACTAGTGAATAAATGAGCAAATATTGATTCCATAATTATAAAATGTGTTAAAATAGTTGCCACCACATATCACATAGAGAGAGTATTCTATCAGAGTTTGGTTTCAATACATGGGTAGGCTACCTTGATAAAATTGGACTTGAAGGCAGCTCCACAATTCCTTTCATTTTGTTAAACTCTCTACATGTAGGCCTACCTTATGGGTCACTGGTCTGAATAAATTTAAGATAAAGCTGGACTGCTAACCCGTAAGTTCAAATCCAGATTCAAGTCAGTAGACTGCCCCTGAGTCCACCCAACTCTGATGGGTACCTAACTCACGTTAGGGAAAGTAAAGGCGGCTGGGCATAGTGCTGACCACACTATCTCTTCATATGCCGAGGTCACAGAAGCAAGTGAACTCTACGTCACTTGCCCTATAGACCATCAGGTTTGAAAAGGGAACTTTACTTTTACTTTTACACAAAATATTTTAGCTACATATTAACTGGAAAATAAAGATTAAGTCAGCAAGAAGGAGGTAAGCAAATGCAAATGTTACAAGGCAAAGCTAGGCTAAAACAGACACAAATGCTGCTGGAGAGAGGTTGAATTGCTGCCCTTGTTTTCAAAATGAGCGTATAAAGAAATTTTTATGAATGTAAAAGCACCAAAAAAAAAAAAAAAAGAAGAAGCAATCCACATAAATGCACACAAGCTTCCTGGGAGTGACATCACAGAAAGCCAGAAAGCAAAAAGACAACACAACATGAGTTAATTTAATTTTGTTTTATTTATTTTTTATACCCGTAAAAAAACAATAAGAATAAAAATGTCTTTCTCAGATAAATGTTTACAAAAAATTAATAGCAGAAGGCACACACTAGCACCATATTTATTGTCTTTGTACATAAACATATTTTAAACATGAAAAAAGTAAATTGCATATTTAATACCAGGGTAAACAAGGGTAAAGTTAAAAAAAAAACAGTACATTTTATAACATCTCTCTCCTACTGGCAGTGTTGGCCCTTAAACAGAAACACCATTTTAAATTTTCCTCATTTCAGGTTCAAGGATCAGAGGTAGAAAAGTTTATCTTTAAATTTAATTTAAACTTCAAATTTAGAGTTTACCATTTCTGGTTTAGGTGTAACTAAGGAACACCGAATGTTACAATCAGAAAGCCCAATCGGCACAGTGGTTACATAATTTTGTACATTAAAATAAATATTCGACATTCTATAACTGCACAACTCCATGTTTGCATTACATAAAAAAATTTGTAAGTCATCACAAATTTCTATAACATTAACATTGATGCAATTTGATTAAAAACAATCATATTTATAAACGGATTGAATGCAACCACATTATATTCTCACTAAAAAATTATCAATTAAAATAAGATATTTTACTCCCCGCCACAAATCATTGCTCTACAATATTTGTAAACCCATGGCTAAGAAATATACAACTCAAGCCACTGATAAAAAAAACATTCAGCACTTTAAAAAAATAATTTGTTCGAAGCATAAATGCCAAATGCAACCATTCCCACGGCCACCACAGCACCTCTTGCTACCTTGGTGATTGCCTTTTTGGCCAGGTACACCATCAAGCCTTTCTTGGGACCCAACACAACCTTCTTAATGGTTCCTCTCTGCTGGGCTTGGTTCCAGTACTCGATTAGGGCTGGACGCTTCTCAGCTTTCAAAAACCTGTAGTGAAATGAAAGTGTTTGAACTGTTTTATTATTATTTTTTTACATTATGCTGGAGTATGGACAACATTAGTTTCATTAGTGTCTGTTATAAATACTGTGCCCTTTCAGATTCGATTGCCCATAGGGCAGATGAAGTAGAGTTTAATTTCTATGAAGGCAGGTTTTGTAATCCGCACTATGCCCAGTCACCTTTACTTTCCCTAATTCCAGTCAGGCACCCACCAGAGGTGTCCTATGGACAAGCTTCTACAAATGTAGTTTGTACTTATTAGCCATGCAGACACAATTGGCAACATTAGTAGAGATTATTAGATAAATTTACGAATATCAAAACTAGTCCCAGCTGAAAGTTGTAGTTAAATCTTATAATGATGCAGAGATATAAAACTACACTAAAGAACCATGAATTAATTTTTTAATACATTTTTTAAATGTATTTTTAAGTATATAAAACAAATATAAAAATTGAAAAATCATTGGATCAAAGAAAGGTGGAAAATTGTCAATAATCTAAAAAAAATTTTTGTTGTTAAGATGAGTTGACCAACCTCTGGATGAGACCAACGTTGATGAGCCTGCCCAGAAGGATACAGAGGGTAATATCTGCTGCAGTAAAATTTGGCCCACACAACCAGTGCTGGGTGATGTTTTCTGTTAAAATTTCACATGCAAATAAATATTTAGCTGAATAGTAACAATTCTTTTTTTTACAAAAAAAAACCGCTAATTTATTTTTGTCGAACAGCAAAGCCTGTTGGCATAAAAAAAGAAAAAATCCCAAAGAAATTTTTAAAATCTGAAAAATCATTTTATTATCGGTTTCAGATTCCTGTTGTTTTTTTTCTAAATGTGAAATCTGAAAAATACTATGTTTTTATTTTTCTACTCCCCATCACTCTTCCTGTCTTGTTGGGTATTTCTTTGGTTGTTCCTCTTTACACACTCCAGTTACAGAAAAACTAACTTAAGCAATTATTTATTTTTAATTTTATGTTCTAATTGTTGTTTTACTAAAGTTTTAAAAAGATGGCTATAATTTTTTAAGGAATTTAAAAAAATTAACTTTTTAGTCAAAAAATAAAACAAATCTGAACAATGAGCTCACAAAGATTCATAAGCTTATAATATCAAATGTTAGACTTTATAATATTATCTTACAATAAAGCACTTTGCTTTGTTCAAGTGCAGCATTATGATATCGCAAAAATCAGTAGTTTTCTTAGTTTTAAAAATAAAACATTTAATAAATATAGTTCAACCTTGAAATTATGTGGTGTGGTAACACTTGCAGCTTGCTACTAAACAATAATTTGTTTTGTTGGTAAATAAATACAAATTTTCAGTTTACTTTAAAAAAAACCTCACTAGTTCTGCTTTTCCTTAACTGGGCTTCTAGCTCATCAAACAATGTTTCAAGGCCATCAATCAGTTTAGCAATGTAGTTCTTGTCTAGCATAATAGAGGGATTGTTTCTAAATTTCTCAATTTTGTCATCATAGGCTTCTCTCAGGTCTGGGTTTTTGTCTCGAAGTGCATTCATCCTCGCAACTTCTTTTATGGTTTCATATCCTTGATAGTAGAAGGTTTATGATTCAAAAGTCAGAATAATAAATAATAATAAAGACACATTTTTAGTTCATTTGTTAGAGCAAAAAAAAAAAACATTTTTCTCACTGTAATGTATTTATATTTAAAATACAAAACTATGGTGTGAAACAGAATTTTGTAATGGTATTAAATAAATGAATGTTAGCTATGTTTGGTGCCTTCAAAAAATTTCAAATATAATTTAAAATTTTAAGTAGAAAAAAAAAATTACATTTAATAAAATATTTTAGAGTTACCTTCCTTAGTTATTCTGTACATATATGGCATCTTGATTTTACCAACTGCAAGTTCAGGGTGCAACAAGACACCAAAGGTCAAATCTTCTACATTGAGGCTGTTAAACTTTGACCTCCATTCCTGCACTAGCTTGCCCTCTGGTGTGCTGGGGTCAGGGACAAGCACAGGAGCTGATAAAAATAATTTATTATACATAATTAGGCACTAATCTGTACATATTATTCTCTTCATGGACAAGACGACGCAATCTGAAAATCTAACCCTCCTCCCGCCCCCTCCCTCGCTCCCCAGCCATGCGCAAGAGACCATTTCGCTACCACCCACACCACCACCAGTCTGGTGAGCTGTGGTTCACCCTGAATGTTTACAATCGTAGAGCCGGGTCAAATTAGTGTAGGCTATAAGGGGCGGATAATTTAACTTTTAAACAATTTGAAACTAATAGGAGGTTAAGAAGTTCTGCTTGATCTTTTCATTGTCACCTGTAGACTGTCATCAAGAACAGCTGCTTTCAAGGGGGCAGGGGAAGGTAGGGTAGTGTCGAAATCACAAATTGTGAATTACTGAAAAGTAGAAAATAAAACACCTAAATAGCGGCGTATACTACGCAGTGGGTCGGCTCGTTTAAAATAAAAAAAGAAGATGGATTTAAGTTTGTGCCTCTGCATTTTTCAGGCAAGTTAAGGTCTTTATCATCTGTGCCTGACTATGCAGCACTGTGCACATTTTGATTGCCCAGGAAATGTAATCAAACAGAAAAATTAAAAGAAACAAGAGAAAAGAAAAAACTATTTGAAGACTCATCATAGAGGAAAGGGATAGTCAAACTTGTTTTGATTCAACAAAATAATTATCTATGCCTTAACTAAAATTATAATGATAATAAGTTACCATTTGTAGTTTTGTTTTTAAAACCAAACTTTAAGGTTAAAATACACAGTAGCACCATTGTAGTTTCCTGTATTAGGGGTTATTAAAAAAATTACATAACAATAAACGTATAATTCTAACAAAAACGCAAGATAATTACAGTTATTATTATTGGAGAAATAATTTTTTAAAACAGTAAACAAAAAAGGAAAGTATACAATTTAAAAATACTAACACCAACATCTATAAGTTACCGTTATTGAGTTTATCCACGGTGTCTATGACATTTTCAGGCTCTGTGACGAACTTGTCGCCCAGCTTCAGCATGGGTACTTGCCCTTTTGGGTTTAGTCGCAGGTACCAGGGCTCAGTCTGTTGGTGTTCAGGCAGGCAGATGACTGTTTGCTTGTACTTGACCTTTTTCTCTTCCAGCGCCAACTGAGCCTAAAACAGGACATGGCCTTGTAAACATCACTGCTATATTAGAAGGGATGGCATGGTTGGATGGTAGAGATTACGACTGGTAACCCAAAAGTCTAGAGATTGAATCCCAGGTTCTGTAGGGCACCCCTGAGTCCACCCAGCTCTGATGGGGAGCTGACTCATGGTAGGGAGTCAAAGACGGCTGGGCATAGTACTGACCACACTATCCCTTTGTATGCCAAGTTAATTGAAACAGACAAACACTACTTAATCTGTGCTATGTGACTTAGGCACTAATGGGAATAGATGATGATGATGAAGGAACTTTATTCTAGCACAAACCCTATATATAACTTTTACAGGGAGCTATAATGGGCTCTAAGGGATGGAGTGGTCTAGCGGTAGAGAGCTGGACTGCTAACCGTAAGTCTCGAGTTTAAATCCGAGTCAAGCTCAAGTCAGTAGACCACCCCTGAGTTCACCCAACTCTGATGGCTACCTAACTCACGTTAGGGAAATTTAAGGGGGTGGACCGAGCTCACCGAAACAAAGTGAACTTTACTTCACTTGCCCTATACACAATCAGGTTTGAAAAGGAAACTTTTTTAACTTTACTTTTATAATGGGCTCTGGAAAACAATTTCTATGTCGGTCTATCTCCCAGTATGATAACAAATATCCCCATTTCACCAAAGGATAAAATGGGTGCACCCAATCTCTAATTTTATTTATACATTAAATAAAGTGAGTTTTTTATTGATTCGAATCACTGCAGGTTGCTAGACCAAGCTTACTGCACCATTGCATTTTTAATCACATTGATCTCTCAGCTGTAATAAAACTTTAAGCAAAATGACTTTAAAGAATGTCAAATAATGAAATAGCACAGTAGGTAAATTGATCCACTGCAGCATGGAGGAATTGGGTTTATAATCTAGAACAACCTAGATACAAATTAAATTTTTGTGCAGGGAATGTTGATTTAGACCTCTGATTAAATAAGAACTACATTTTTGCCTAGGGAATGTTGATTTTGACAATAAGGTTAGATAAGAACTAAGTTTCAGCCTATGAAATGTTCATTTGCTTTGCATAAGAACTTAGTTTCAGCCTATGAAATGTTCATTGGCTTTGAGTAAGAACTTAGATTCAGCCTATGAAATGTTCATTGGCTTTGAGTAAGAACTTAGATTCAGCCTATGAAATGTTCATTGGCTTTGAGTAAGGACTTAGGCCTACTTAAGTTTCAGCCAATGAAATGTTCATTGACTTTGAGTGAGAACCAAAGCTGGAAATATTAAATACTGAAATATTATTGTTACATTTGTAAAAATAAAATTATATTAACTATAAAGAAAAAATTTAATTTAAAAAAAAAAAGATTGGCTAGTTACCTTTTGAGAAAAGAATGATTCTGGCCAGAAAAATAGCTGTACTGGTAGGGATGCCATAGTAAAACAAACTTCCTACTGTGAAGTCCTCCTATGTATGGCTACTCTATCTACACAAGACCTTAAGCCTATTTTTAAAAATAAAGAAAAACTTTCAGGTAAAAAAAAAAACCAAAAACTTTTTATGTGTAGCTAATTTTAACACAAACAATTAGTGTAAACAATGTATATACAAAGGTCAATGAGTAAGCTGTTCAGCAGAAAATGCAAGTTCTTTTTTTTTAATTTTTTTTAAATAATGGATCATTGTAAGCTAAAACAAGAGATTAATAATTTATATTACGTTTTAGATTATAAACATTTAAATTTCTGCAAAACAAGTTTTATATTAATAAATTAAATACATGACCTGGCTTAATACACTAAATGAATAACTTGTAGGCCCCCTAAGTGAGGTTAATTGAAATACCATGCACAATGGGCTCTATTTAAATTAGCTGTACACACATGGATGGGAGGAGTTGCCTATACATAAATTTAACCTTAAATATGAGGGTTAAGCTTTGGGGGTCAGGACCAGAGTTAGGTTTAGGTGTTTAGTTTTTTCTATTACTGGCAAAAATGTTCTTGCTAATTGTTGATTACTGGTGCAGAATAACTCTAGTACATAAGTTTATGCTGACCCTGTGGCAGTAGGTTGTCATATTATAGTATGTAGGCCTATTTACAAAATCATTGGCAAGTTTCATACTTGTTTATTTACACTTAAGCTAAAGGTTTGAAGCCCTTTGTGTCTCTGGCACAAAAAGGAAAAGATGATGACAGGCTTGAAAAATGGAAAAAAGAAATATTTCATAAAGAAAATTTATACTTTAACCGGTGATTGCCCCCTCTCCATAAAAAAAATATTTTTGTGTACGCAGATAAAAGTGCACACTTGAAAAAAAAAATTAAATTATACAAAGTGGGCAAATGTATTTGATGTAAAATGTAAGGCTTAACTGGAGGTTGCCCATAAAACTCCATAAATATTTAATAATTTTAGTATGAGGCCTTCATATTTTTCAAGAAAACGAAATGCTAATTCAGTGTTGGTCCAACACCGTATATTATGAATAAAATAAAATATTGTCTTTTTAATAAAATATAATGATTGAACATTGTTAAAATATAACTATCAGTTGCAGATGCCTTGAATTAGTTAAGATTTCAATAGATACATAATAAGTATCATTATTCTTAACCGCTTCGGCCATTATCGATAATAGGTAATTATCGACATTTGCCGATCGTCGGCTGAAATTTTAAGACCATATTCACTTCTTGAGGCATTATCTAATTCAAGCGAGGGTTAAATTTAAAAAGGAAAGACTTTATAAGAAACTTAAAACAAAAATCTAGGTGTACATGTAAAAAAACAACGGCTATCAGGTTTAGTTATTAAATAAATTAATTATTAATATTTCTACATACCTGTCCAAGAAGTGTAAATTACTCTAAGATACGTCGATGGTGACGAGAAAAAGTTTAATCAATAGCAGGTCGTTTATTCCTAGACTAGTTCGATATTCATGGTGATTTGAGTGAAGTGAATGATTTTCAAATGAGAATCTGGCTAGCGAGCTAGGTTTTGCCTGACGGAAACCAGAATCAATTTTGATACGGCGGCAGTAGCGCAATTTCCGGGCCGAGATTTGATTCAATTATTGAAGGTGCAAAGTTAATGGTTAAAGTTATATATTAACTAGCTGCATCCCGTGCTCCGCCACGGTAAATCTTTTTAAAAATTAAATGTACCAACTTTGGAACAGAACAAAACAAACAAAAAACGCGAAAACGGTCGGTCACGTGACCTTTTGTCTCGCATTTTACCACAACCCGATATTTACGCTAAGTGGTGTTGAAATGCGAAAATTTCTGCGAAAAATTTACCGCACCCGATTTTCAGTGGTACGAGCCTACCCGCAGCGTATCATACGCCGCTATTTAGTTGTTTTATTTTCTACTTTTCAGTAATTCATAATTTGTAAATTCGACAGTACCAATGCTGCCACTGAAAATATTTGCTTTAAAACACTAACCCCCCCCCCTTCCCACTTTCCCCTAACCCCGACCCTACACCCCCCCCCCGTGAAAGCAGCCTACTATTAGTTATTTCTTAGTTACCTCCTGTATGTTTAAAATCGAACTAAATTATCTGCCCCTAATAGAAACCCGGCTGTACGGCTCTTCGATTTGTAAACATTTAGCTTTGTAAAAATTTAGAGTGAACACCGCTCACCAGACAATGTTGGGGTGGGGTGGGGGGTGATAGTGATAGAGAGAAAGAGAAAGAGAGGGGACTGCAAGGAGGCGCTTGCAGCTTGTTTTCTAACTGATCCCAGAAGAGAATTATATATATAGATTTGGTCCTGACTTCAACGACGTTTCGTTTAAAATGTTAAAACTTCCAATTTTTCCGTCGCTAGACATACTGATGATCTTTTGTGTCAACTTAGAATACCACCTTGTTCGAAACCGACGGAAATACCGCCGACGATAGATCAACTTCTTTCTTTTGTGCGGAACGCCGAGGCCGCCCGATTTACCGTCTTTGAAGATCACCGTGGCCGAATCCGCTGCCGCCGCAAACGTATTATGTATTGTTGCATAGAAATGAGGGGGGGGGGGGGTTAGATGTTGTGACGTCACACTATAAAAAAGCAATGTTAGACGTTATTTCGCGTTTTAGAAATCTGTTTTAATAAATTGTAATAGGAATTGATTAAAATACTCGATTTTGACAGAAATTAGACAAGATTTTGGGATATATCGATGTGACGTCATTTTAGTGGGGGGGGGGGGGGGGTCTGGTATTTTGTGAAAATGTGTGACAGGGTGTAAAAATCGTCAAAAAAAGTGTGACGTCATTTATGGAAGACTCCTTTTAGCTATTAAATGGTAGTTTTGTCGATAGCGGACTTTAATGACTTTATTCAGATTATCGTCAGGCGTACATTTTTTTCCCATTCTGTTCATATTCGTGTTCTGTGTTAGCACAGTATAAACCAATTCACAATGACACAGCTCACGTTTGTATAAACATGAGCGGCCTAGATTTTTAAAATTAATGTCGACTGAGACGGGATTTTCCTCTGGCTAACGAGAGCGGGCGATGACAGTAGCACAGCAACAATGTATTAGGATTTTAAAATAAATAGATCTAGATCTATCTATATCTTCTTAGTATCTATCTATATATATAATAAAATCTAGATAAAAAAATAACAACATACAACACTCGTGTTAAAGGGTATGGCTACATGCTTGTTTATTTTAAAACAAAACAAAACAATTTAAATAAATAAAGATGTAAAAAGCATAAAAAAAACTTTTTTTCGCAAAAAGTGTCTCGCTATTTACCCTTGATTCCGCGGGTATGTCTCGCATTATCTTCTCACATTTTCCCGCCTCGCCATTTCGCTTTTCGCGTCTCGCAATTTCCCAACGCCCTAGATATCTATTCTAATTCTAGATATTTTAGTATTTTCTAGATTAGATTTAATTTAGATTTTAGATCTAGTCTAGATCATAGATCTAATCTATAACTTAACATTTATTAACATTAACTTATTAACTTAATGATTAAGTTAACAGACACGATGAGATTTTCCGTTTTCTTGACCCTGTTTTTTCTTTTCCTAACAACAGCATCTCTGAATCCTGATTCTGTCAGCTAGATTCTTGATTCTAGATCTAGATCTCTAGATCTAGATAAAAATAAAAGGCGAGGCAAGTAACAAAGGATGTTGGGATAAATTTAATATTATTTCAATAAGCGATATGCCGTTACACGAGATTGTAGGGAAAAAAAGTCACAGGAAAAAAAAAACACAGGAAAAAAAACACAGAAAAAAAGTCACAGGAAAAAAAGTCACAGGAAAAAAAGTCACAAATATATATTTGCATGATATTTGTTAATACTTTTATGTATTAAATATTTAGAGAGTGCAAATTAACTTATGATCATAGTATGATGAGGTGGGTCGTGAGTGACACCGACTGAGCATTAAAAACAAGGCAGGGGCGGAACTACAGTGCCGCCAGACCCCGCAATGCGGGGAGGGGGGGGGGGGGCACGCCGTTTAGGGGGCCCACAGCCGCCCATAATCATTTTTTTTTATAGTTAAAAAAATTAATTTTCTTGCATTTTTTACCTGATGGTTATTTTGAAAAAAGAATACTATAGCTGCGGTTGGATTATCTTTATTCTATTGACACCATCCCACGCTCTTGTATATTCTTTTTCCTACAATCAAACACACGCTGTTGTCGGCAAAATTCTTTTGAAAAAAACATCAATTGCGCGAGAGGCCGCTGGATATTAAGACGACTTTTTGAGACCATCCCACATTCGGTACAGGATAAAAGTACATCGGCGCTTTGTTAGCCCTTTTAAGTTCCTTACCCAAACCTCCCCTCCCGCTCTTAGCCTTACAAGAAGCGAATAGATAGCGCCTCAACAACTAAGCTAGCTCATCTCGGTGATGGTGTGGACAATCTAGCGCCCCAACAACTAATATCCAAGAAATAAAGTGCTGACATTGTTTACGTTTAATTGTTCTAGAAAACAAGGCAAACGTCTAAAATAAATACACGATTAATAACGTGTTTTTAATATATATATATAAATATATATATATATATATATATATATATATATATATATATATATATATATATATTAGTTTCGCCACTGGCACCTTGATAGTGGTTTGGTAAATAACAAACAGATCTAATACAGTAGTTATGTTATATAGTAGCTAAGACATGCTGTTGCGTAAAAAAAAAATATACACATGAGCTGTAGTGTGAAAGATAGGCAAACGTTCAAACCACTTCCATAAATTATTTCCCTTTTTTAAATAGTCAAATAGGGCTGCTCATAATTAATAAGCTCCTTTTACTAGGTTTGTACTAAACAAATTAAGCAGCAATTACTTATCTTAATTATTATTTTAAGAAAAATAAGTACTAAAGAATGGCATAGTATAAAAATGAAATGTAGTTAAAATTAATAATATAAATATAAAAAAAACAACATAAAAATAAACAAAACACGAGACACCATTAATTATACAAAGCTTTCATTATTTATATACTTTTGACCGACTTGAGGGTTAGAAGTATTTAGTCGATCATAAAATAAAACAGTTTTTCAAAACATACCAATGCAATCACAGACATTTAGTGATTAGTTTTAATTGAATTTCTTATTTTCAAAACCCGGTCAGGCCAGTATTGAGTATCCTATGTTCGTATTGTGTGTTTGTATATATATATATATATATATATATATATATATATATATATATATATATATATATATATATATATATATATATATATATATATATATATATATATATATATATATACATATAAATTATATATATATATATATATATATATATATATATATATATATATATATATATATATATATATATATATATGTATATATATATATATATATATGTATATATATATGTATATATATATATGTATATATATGTATATATATGTATATATATATATATATATATATATATATATATATATATATATATATAATTTATATGTATACATATACATATATGGGGGGGGGGGTGCAAAAAAAAATTGCGGGGTGGCCCATTTTTTCTAGTTCCGCTACTGAAACAAGGAAGTGGCTTTTCGGACATGGGTCCCAATAGCGGTAGTGGCTATTGGGACCCGGGTCCGAATAGATCAGTGTTTCTTCCAGACTTTTTTCTCCGGGGGGGGGGGGGCACTTGAAATCTTCGGGGGGGGGGGCGGTAAACTTTTTTCGGGGGGGCGGACACTGTTAAAAGTATATATTTTCTATATAAATTATATAAATTTCATTTCGTTCGGGGGGGGGGGGGGGCGGTAAAAAATTTTCGGGGGGGGGGGGGGGGCTTTGTCCCCCCCCCCCGAAGAGATGCCTGGAAGAAACTCTGGAATAGATGCATCCTAAAAAACATGGGTCAATAAAACGATTTTACCGGTGCGAGAATGAAGGTCAAAGGTCATATTTACAAAAGTGCGATGCAAGGGTGATAAACGTAGAAACCGTTCGGCATTAACGCCCTTGGACTATCGTTCGAATATCAGAAGTTGTAAATATAGACTATAGACCTATCAATCCCCCCCCCCTAAAGAAACGGAATTTATATAGAAAACATACTTTTACCAGTGTCCGGCCACCCACCCCACCTCCCCGGAGAAAAAAGTCTGGAAGAAACACTGATTATCAGTAGTTACAGTTGATAAATCCAATAGTCCCGGACAGTGGCGGAACTAGAAAAAAAAGGCCCCCCCGCAGAATTTTTTTTTGGGCCCCTATATATATATATATATATATATATATATATATATATATATATATATATATATATATATATATATATATATATATATATATATATATATATATATATATATATATATATATATATATATATATATATATATATATATATATATATGGCCCCAATAAGTTTTCGAAGTGAGAAACACCGTCTCTATAAATCTAGCCCAACACACTAAACTGACGATGAGTTTTAAGAGGCTTTTATCAAAACGTTACCAACCGTGTATTTTTAGACGTGTGCCCTGTTTTCCAGAAGTTGAATTAAATATTAACAATTTCGGCAGTTCATTTCTACCAACTAGACACGCCAAGGCATGCTGTAAGTCCCTCGGCGACGGCCCAGGTGTCCGGGGGGGGGGGGCTTTGCCCCCCCGAAAATCTTTTACCGCCCCCCCCCCCGAACGAAATGAAATTTATATACTTTATATAGAAAATATATACTTTTAACAGTCTACCGC